AGATTGATGGATGCCTGACAAAGATGGATGAGCACCAAAGACTGATGCTCACCAGTGCCTTGGTACTAAATAAGCCCCTAGAACCTGGATGCTGCCATCTTGAGTTTCTGCCATCTGGTGGAAGAGGAGATTGGGGAGAAAAATGATTTGCATAAAGATGACTTTCTTGCACCATGAAAACTGTGGACTGGGCTTTAGATCACCAGTAAAAGTGCAGGCAATTCTTAGGATGAATTTAGCTGAATGGAGGGAGCTGAGGGAGAGAAAAGGGGGTGGAGGAATAATAGAGGTCTTTTTTTCCCCCCTTATAAGTGAGAGCTTAGAACCTGTTTAAATGCTCAGTGGAGGGATTTGGATCAGTGGGAAAGGCTAATGGTACAAGGAAAGGAAATAACTGATACATGAGATTTGGGGACTGGTTTATTTACTATTGGCAAGAAAGAGCTCAAAACTGGTATAAATTCACTTTAGTTTGCTACCTATGGTAGCTAAAATATGAGTGTATATGTATCTAATGTTTTTTATTTTTTATTTTATTATATTTTTTGGTGAAGTAGGAGTAATGGTTATCTTCTGAGAGGAGAGGTTCATTTAAAAGTTTGCATGAAGAAAGTTTGTAGAAACAGTGGGTACAAAGAGTGAGCTGAGAAGCAAAGAGGTTCAGTAGGCAGAGTGGGATAGAGGACCCTAGTAAGACTGGGTCGTGGCTAGGTGCAAAGGATCTAATTGATCTAACTTTATAATTTTTCTCCAGCTGTGCTCAGCTGCCCTGAGTGGAAATAGAGAAGGAAGATCATTGGGATCACACAGGCCTGAGGTTATAAGTATAAGTAATTGTTAAGAATCTCTTTTTAAAATTATTTTTCTTTTATTGATTTCAGAGAGAGGGGAAGCCGGGGAGAATGAGAGGGAGAGAAACATCAGTGTGAGAAACATCGGATCAGTTGCCTCTCACACATGCCCCAACTGGGAACTGAACCTGCAACCCAGGCAGTGGGGTTTTTTTTTAAGATTTTTATTTATTTTTAGAGAAGGAGGAAGGGAAGGAGAAAGAGACGGAGAGAAACATCAATGTGTGGTTGCCTCTCACACACCCCCTACTGGGAACCTGGCCCACAACCCAGGCGTGTGCCCTGACTGGGAATCGAACCAGCTGCCATTTGGTTCACAGGCCAGCACTCAATCCACTGAGCCACACCAGCCAGAGCTCTTATTTATTTTTAAAACACACATCTTATGCAGCTGCTCTTCAAATTAAGTAAATCCTTTATTTTAAATTTTATGCTACCTTTTTCCCATCCCTTTGATAACTGTTTTTAACTTCTGTGGCTCTTTTCTAGATCTCCCATTTTATTTTTCAAATTAGAGGCAGTACAATGCAGTGGTTGACCAATCTGCTAGGTACAAATCTTACATCTAGCACTTACTTGCTATGTAAACTTAGGCAAATCTCATAGCTCCTCTGTGCCTCAGTTTCCTCATTTGTAAAATAGAGGGAGTGATCCCAATAGAACCCTGCCCTCCACTCCCGCCCAGAAGGTGGTTTTGAGGATTAAATGAGTTAATGTATGTACTATGCTGTGTAGGACTTGTTGCTGTTATTGTAATTCAAATGAAATACTCAAGCTGGGAATTTGACATATGTACATTACATAATGACATATGTAAGACTACATTCTGGCCTTTTTGTATTATGTGACATGTAACACATCCCAATATTTCACACATTTTCTTTTGCTTTTCCCCACAAAGACCCTAAAATCGTGTAGTCAGTCAGCATGAGGAAAGGCCTAAGCCCTAAATTTATTGGAGAGTCATTCTTTCTCCATCTTCTATTCAAGGCATTAATTTTTGTCTCTAAGTATTTAGAATTGGACCAGATTGATAGCTGGCCTTTATCTACATGTCTTTTTTTTTTTTTTTTTCCCAGATCCATCGCCTTTGATAACCACTTCTAAAAATGCTGCACCTTTTCTTCCCAACAGGTAAACTAAAGACTCCTGATTATGGGCAAGTTATATAAAGTACAAGGTCTTTAATTAAGCTGTAAGCCTTCTTAAGACAGGTACTTTGATTTAGCAGCCTTTGTACCCAGGAAGTTGCCCAATGTAAAGCAGGAAATAAAAGCAGTAGATGATAATGATGATGATGATGGTCCCACAACTTCTCAACCCTAGTTTCCCTTAACATTGACGTGAGGGCAACAGAGGGTAGAGAAGGGAATGCAGGGCTCTGAGCCCAGAAAGACGATGCCTCTATCACTGACTAGCTGTAAAGCTTCAAGTTAAACAGACAAACAGAACACTTTAGGTTGTTCAGTAACTTATTAACAACTTTCTCTGTTTCCCCTCCCATTCTGGTCGGCCATTGACAAATGGTCTGTTCCCCAGGCCGTCCCTTTCCTAAAACATCCTACCGCGCCCTACCAAGAGTGAGGGTGGGAATTTTTTCTCTGTCTTAAAGTCCTTCATGCCACTGGCTTCTCACTACCAGTCTCTCAGATGTTCCCTTCATTCACCAGGCAGGTTTATTCCATTTCATGATTTATTACACGTTTATGAAATACCTTCCTTCAGTTCTTCATCCCAGGCAACACTCTATTTTGCAACATGCTTACCTCCCAAGATCTCTTAACTCTTTTTTGGCCCTTTATTCACAGTTGCTGACTTCCTGTTCTGTGATACCTTTCATAACTGGAAGATTTTATTTATTATTTCTCTCTAAATCATAAATATGGCTTCCAATTTCTCACAATGCCAAAAAACACATCACTTTTTTGCCTTTATCAGGCAAATGTTGTAGATATCTGTTAAATGTTTGTCTGGCTGCATTAGGTCTGTATATGGTTTATAACAAGTACCGAAGGGGAGAGACTATCTCATCTACCTTGTACTTCACTGATGATATCACCTTCTGATTATGGTGGTGTCTTGAAATGAAGAAAAATTAAAACATCTTTAATTCTGACACAACTATATATTTCAACTTTTCATTACAAAATAATGACATACACCCACTAAGCACACAAAAACTTAAATACAATGAACATTTTTAAATACTTTGCAAGAAAAAAGGTGGCTTTTTCACATTAAAATATTTATATGATAGCTCATGTTTCATATCTAGTTTAAAGTACTTTTTCAAGTAAGGCTATGAGATACTGAAGAGAAGAGAGGTAGGATGGAAGAAAGAACAAAGGAGAAAACACAAAACTACCTAATAAAAGTCTGAGTAAATGAGTGACATTTAATAAAATTTTATACACACAAATCTTGAATTGTGCTTTTGAATTTTTTAAAAGCACCTTGTTTTATATCTTTCTAAAGATATCTCTTTATCTTGATTGAAGTATGTCTCTGACTTGCCTAAGTTACTAAGACCCCTTTACATTATATAATAATTCTGTATATCTGGTCTCCCTTTCTAATAAAGACTGCATTATTTTAGGAAAGTCATATCTATAAAGTAAGGATCCATTTTTTGTTTTTTAAAAGATTTTATTTATCTTCAGAGAGAGGGGAAAAGAGGGAGAAAGAAAGGAAGAGAAACAGCACTGTGTGAGAGATACATTGATCAGTTGCCTTTCACACGCTCTCAACTGGGTACCTGGCCAGCAATCCAGGTACGTGCCCTGACTGGGAATCGAACCAGAGACTTTTTGGTTCATAGGCCAGTGCTCAAGCCACTGAGCCACACCAGCCAGGGTGGGGTCTATTTTTTTTAAAAAGTGTACCCGAACTTCCAAATATAGGAGAGTATGATCCTCTTGGAAAGCTCTATGATTATTCCAAGAATGGGGCCACTTCTCAAAATATTTTTAGAAGTCCTCTTAGGAAACATCTTCAATTAGCTAAAAACCGTATCAGAAAGTGAAATCTTGTTATTTTATTGAGCTTTTATATATAGGGTCTGGTGCAAATAGTGCCACTTTTTTATTACAAAAATCATAAGCATGTAATTCTATAACATACTAATATCATACTCAAGAACACCATATGACATTTTAGGTGAAATGTTCAAATTAAAACAGTAAATTATTACACTCATATTATTATCCTACCAATCACACTCGAGCAAGCATTACTTCTGCTGGGCCCTGTATATTCACCAGATTCAATCGACCTGAATTGATACATTTCTGGCTGAATCCAAAAATTATTTTTACCTCAGCAGACAAAGATTTTCTATAAGTTATTTTTTAAAAGTGTGAAAGCATTTTGAGAGGGGCATCCCCCAATTTATTAGGAACAAAGTAGCAGGTTAGAGTAAGGGTAATGCCTCAAAGCTGGACAGGGCAAATAATTTTGAGGGTGAGATGAGAAATATTAGTTTCTAAGTATAATCTTAGAATATTTTTTTAAACAGCCACACTTCTTTATTTTCATACTTCAGGTGATTAGGTTTTACAATAATAAACCACTTTTTCAAAATCCTACAATGGTTTTATATGGGATATGAATTTTAAATTTCCCACAAAGATTTTAGAGCACACCTTGTGTAAGGATAAGAATTTTCTGTTCCCAACCTAAGCACCCAGTGCATGTGTCAGGGTAGCATGTTCTAGGTATCTGAAGTTTTGTTGAATGCTAGTGATTTAGAGGGGTGGTAAGCAATTCTGAGTGTCCCTGGTCTTCCTTGAAACTCTACGTGTTTGAACAAATACTGATTGCAGTCAATGATTTTGTTTGTTTCAGTGTGATTCCTATGAGTGTTTCTGTAATTGTGGATTTTATTTTAGACATTTTCAGCACTTACAGTTCACAATTCTTGGTTGTATGGTTTAAGATTATTTTAATGTTTGCATTTTACATTGTCTTTGGCACTTTTCAAGAAGGGGACATTGTCTTGTATGTTGTTTGGGGGAAGTGGGGTAGCCCTCCTCCTCTGTATTTCCTTTAAATGTTTGGTTTTATGAAACACACGATTTTCCCCAGAATCCTGTATCATTAAACAAATCAGGTGAAAAATCTGCCTTCACAAGCTGTGCATCCCAATCCTTCTTAGAGGCTGGTATCCCCAACTTCAGATTTAGGCTGTTTGGCCAATGCTGTCACAGGTTCTGGTGGCCATTCCCGGCAGAAAAGTACAACTGGATTTTTGCGAGCCCACAAGGCCACATCCCCAGCCACGCCGCTGGTCGGATTGGAAGAAACCATTCTGCTGCCGACCCCCAGCCTTTTGTCATAGCGGTTTCGAAGGCGATTACGCCTTCTGGCCTGCAGGCCCGGGCCCTGGCTGGTCAGTGAAGCCTCTGCGTTCCTAGTCCGGTAACCCTCTTCCCGACTGCGCCCTAGGAACATCGATATATTGGGGTTGCGAATGGCATAGATGACAGGATTGATGGCTCCATTGGCCCAGGTCAACCAGACGGCCACCACGTTGAGGAGCGAGGGGGCCTGCGTGGCCTGGGCCTGACGGGCAGCAGCCAGGAGCACCAAGAAGCAGTAGGGGCCCCAGCAACAGATGACGAAGACTATCATGATGAGTACTGTGGTGGCCGTGCGCACCTCGCTGAAGAAGCGCAGCACGCGTGCGTAGGTGGTCACGGGCCGCACGCGCACGTCTGACAGGCGCACAGCTTTGCAAATGTGATAGTGGCAGAAGCACATGAGCAGGAAAGGCAGCAGGTAGCAGGCGACCACCAGCCCCACACTGTAAGCCGCGCCCAGCTGCGCGGGGTCCGGGGTCGTCCGGTACAGGCAGCCGTGGAAGCTCTGCGCCGCGGGGGGCTCCTGGGGTGCGTGGAGCAGCTCCCAGGGCAAGGAGAAGCCCAGGGCCACCAGCCAGGCGCCAGCCAGTAGTTGCAGCGCGCGGCGGCGACCGATCTTCTCCCGGGGCGGCCGCACGATGGCGCAGTAGCGGTCCAGCGAGATGAGGGCCACGCTAAGCGTGGATACGATGCCGAAACACGAGCTGAAGAAGCGACTGGCAGCGCAGAAACCGCGCCAGGGCCCCACGGCGACCTCGGGTTCGGACGCCGAGACCCAGGGCGGTGTGAAGAGATCCAGGAAGGCGGCAGGCAGGCAGAGCAGCGCCGTTAGCAGGTCCGACAAGGAGAGGGACAGGATGAAGGCGTTGGTGACGGTGCGCAGCTGCCGGTGTTTCACTATCACTCCCATCACCGCGCAGTTGCCCAGGCTAGACAGCAGGAAGATGAGCAGGAGGACGAGCGCCTGGGCCGCCACTGCCCCCCCGTGAGACAGCAGCGGCCTCCCCTCCACCCCAGCCGCCCCGTGCCAGCCGAGGCCGCCTCCGGCCGAGGCGCCAGTGTTGTCGCCCTCGCTCCCGTCGCTCTGGTTCCCCAGCGCCGCGGCCGCCGCGGTAGCTGCGGTGCTGAAGGAGAGCACCGCTGCCGCCGTCTCCGCGGAGGAAGTCCCGCCAGGTGTGCCGGCCGGGGAGGGGGCGCCGGAACGTGGGCTGTCCGACAAGGCCGTGCACCCGGGCTGGCGGCCCGGCGGCAGCGGCTGCTCCATGGGGCTCCGCGGCCGCCGCAGGGCTGCTCATCCCTCACCAGAGGAGGCGGCCGCAAGCCGGAGGGTGGTTCGGGCCCGAATAAGAGGCCACTGCCGGTAGTCGGGGTCTGCCCGAGGGATGGCTGTCACCCCGGACCCCGCGGAGCCTTTAACGTGGGTTCCAGGCGTTGCCGGGGGAACCGCCTGTTTACGCAGGAGCGTGGGGCGGGACATCGGCCAAGTACCTTCGGAAAAGTCCGCACACAACTGCACCTCCCCACGAGGTTACTCAGCCCCGGGTCTGGGCTTCAGAGGATGCCAAATCGATCTCCGCAGGAGCCACTGTCTGGCCAGATACAGCGGGCGTGGCCCTCATATAAATGACCCAATTCAACAAGGGTTCATTCTCAGGGTCTCTTCTTGGATACAAATGTCCCACAGGGAGGCCTTCGTAGGGGTACGCTTTGCTCCGTGGGTCTTTTCGGCATATACAGGTAGGGAAGGAAACAAGAACTTGAAGTGAAAAACTGTCCCAATCTGGAGATCTTAAACTTGAGGGGCAGAATAATTTAAACCAGGTGTTCTCAAACTTGAGTGTGTAACAGAATCACCTGGAGTTCCTGCTGAAACATAAGTGACTGGGCTCACACCCAGACTATCAGATTCAGTGGGTCTGGGGTCCTGTCCTAGAATTTACAACTTTAACAGGTTCCCAGGAGGTGGTGTTGCTGGTCTGATGAGCACACTTTGAGAACCGCTGATGCACGGTGCTTATTAAAATGCAAATTCACTGGTTGACACCCGGGATTACTGAAGACAGGCCCGTGAATCTGAGCGCCACAGGTGATTCTGACACAGGTGCTCTGAGGAGCTAGGATACGGATCTTGGAGGCAGGATGTCACCTTGTTTTAAAGAGCCTGGATCTTGGGACCATAACTGACTCATACACATGTGGGGGGAGAAGAGAGAGTGATTGTTCCTTGCCCTGTGGCCTGGCTTCCATAAGTTCTCTAGAATGTGATATATTTTGAGTCTAAGGTGCTGCCAACTTGGCAGTCGCCACAGAAGCAGCCCCAGGTGGGAATCTGGTTGGGAGACACAGGAACAGGAAGGGTTTGACTACCCAGCGAAGCTTCTGGACATGTCAAGTTTCTAGACATGGCCTCTAATGGGGAAAAGTGTGACCTGACCTGGGAACTTGTTGGAAATTCAGATTCTTGGGCCCTGTCCCAAATCAGAATCGGAGATCCTGGGCCACATGACCTGCAAGGGATTCTGACGCACCGTCAAGTTTGAGAAACACTGCGGTAAAGAATGATGAGTACATGTGCAGATCTTAAAATCGATGATATCAGTGCTTTGTTTGCTTATTTCAGTGAGGAAAAATATCCTACTGGAAATTTACAGCATAAATAGGAGTTCCTTTAAGATGGTAAACCAAGCTGGTTTTCTCAGCCTCTGCATAGAATCAACATTCTGAGACAATTCTGCATTGTGGGGGCGACCCTATGCATCACAGATGTTTAGCAGTATCCCTGGCCTCTATCCGCCAGAAGCCTGTAGTGACAACTAAAAATGTCTCCAGATATTGCCAAATATCCCCAGGGATGGAAGGTGAGGGAAATCAACCTACCCGAGAACCACTGAATTAGGACAAAAACATAATAGATTAATTTATTTATCTAAGTTTTCAGAAACAACGAGGAAGATAAGGAAGGATCCTAGCTGAAAGAAACTTACAGTCTTAGGTAAACACAAATATATTACAATGTCCTAAGAGTTGTTAAAAATATAGAAATTAAATTATATGGCAGTGACTAACTCTTCCTAGGGTAGCCGATGAAGGCTTCACACAAGAAGTGACATTGGACTGTCCACCCAGATAAAAAGAAAAAAGGAAAGAAAAAGAAAAGGACATCCGATGCATGTGTAAGTCTGAAGGTTAGTATCTAAGTACTTGACTCTTGGGTAGTGGTGAGAAATTTCTGTATCTTAGGATATGTAGGGGTAGGGAGTGAAGAGGGGAATAAATAATAACAGATTGGGGCCCTCTTATAAAGTCCTTGTGTGCAGTGTTACAGAGACTAAGCTTTACTGGGGGAACATGGGGTAATGGCAATAGCCACCAAAGGAGTTTAAGCAAGAGATGGTCATAATCAAGTGTGCTTCAGAAAGACAAGAGTGACCTCACCTCCTCCTGGTTTCCCTCCTTCTTGGTTTGCCTCAGTGTCCTCAGCCAGTTCATCCTCCCCCACGTGCCTTTAAATCCCGGAGGCCCTGAAGGCCCGGTCCTAGGCAGCCCTGCACTTCCTCCTCCATCTCATTCACACCCACAGCTTTGAAATCTATATTTTCACAACTCTAAATTTTGTCTCCAGCCCCAAACCATGTATCTTGCTACCTGGCTTTGCCCCGTGATGCGCAAAAGCCCTTCAAACACAACATGACCAAAATGGAGTCCATGATCTTTCCTAAAAACCTTGGTCCTCAATATTTTGTGTCTCAAAAAGTGGCATCACCTTCCATCTAGTTTACTACAAAACACAGGGTTCTTTCTAGATCAATGTCTTCCTCGTCACCAGCCCATGTCCAACCACCAACACATGGAATTTTACTTGTTAAATACCTTTGTATCCATTCATTTCCTCCATCACTTGATCATCCACTTGAATCTCAGCCCTCATCCCCTCTTTGGTCTACTACTGTCACCTCCTACTGGGACTCCCCACATCCAGCCCCTGCTCCACACTATAGGCACAATGCTCTTTTTTTCCTTCAAATTTTTAAATTAATTTTTATTTATTATTATTTTTTGAGAAACAGGGAGGGGGATAGAGAGGGAGAGAAACATCAATGAGAGAGAGGAACATTGATTGGCAGCCTTTTGCTCTGACTGGGGACTGAAACCACAACCTAGGCATGTGCCCTGATGGGGAATTGAACCGATGACCATTCACTTTGCCACACAGCGCCCAACCGACTGAGCCACACCAGCCAGGGCAGCACAATGCTCTTTTAAACAAAATAAATCTGATCATCCCACTCATTTATTTAAACACTCTAATGGCTTTCTCCTTTTGATTTAGGATGAGGACCCCAGTCCTTAACACTTATGATGAGGCACTACGTAATCTCTCATCTACTTTCTCTCTCGTCTCATTTTGGGTCACTTTGCTCCTTTTTTTCTCATACTGGACTTTTGTGAGCTCCTTAGGGCATCTGTACCTGTCATGCCTTCTGCCAGGAAGCCTCTACCACGCCTAACCCCCCCACTGCCCCCCCACCCCTCCTCTGCCCCGTCCCTGAGGGTTCCCATCTCTGAAGGAATGTTAGTCTCTCAGGGGACACCTTCCTTGGCTTGGAGGACATATTGCTGCCTATAATTATGTTCTCTGGACTATTACTTGCCTCCCATGGTAGGCGTAGACTGTAGGCCCTGTGAAGACTAGGGCTTTGTCTGTTCATCTTTTTATTAGATTCCTAGCACTTAACCCTCTGGAAAACTGCTAGAAACAGAAAAAAAAATTTTTTCTTAAGTGACTGTCAGAGAAGAATCTGGCACCTGGGAGACCAGTTAAGAAAAGGCGTTATAATGGCTCAAGGAAGAAATGAAAGAGTCTGCAGTCAGGCTTTTACAGCAGAGAGAAGGGATTTTAAGGAGGTAGTGTATTGACTGAGGTATTTGGATATGAGCAATACAAATAGGGCACTGTCTCCCTCAAGCTAGGAAGGAATTTACTGGAAGGAGAGGGGAAGTTCAGATAACAAAAGGACAGTCTTAACAGTCAGCCCCAAGGAAAGGAGAAGTCAGGGCAGCTCTGTGAGCGGAGAGAGCAGAAGCTCATTAGAATCTCTTTAGCGCACTACCAGAGTAAGTCTGTCTCAACCATTTTTTAGACCTTCTGCCATTTCTCTCAACACCCAGGTCCTGGGGGAAAGAGCCTGATTGGCGCACCCCTTGCCTGGTAGAACACCCCAGCAAGACTGCATTCTGGGGATACACAGTTTCCCAGAGGACGGAGAGTGTTGAAAAAAGGAGAAAGTTAGTGACAGTGTCACTGTTTAGAGAGAAGTGATTTCTCTACCATTGAATGTTTGAGACATTAAGTGGAAAACATTACTTTTGTGTAATTAACTTTGGTCCGGTAATTCCATCACAGACCTAATATCTGGGTATATACAGACTTGCTGGATGGCAAAGCCAGTTAAAATGAGTTAATTACTTCAATTTCTGTATGCTTTAAAAAAAAATTGCCTACCTCAAAATGGAGTCTAATGAATATTGAGAGCATCGTATGTTGAAAAATTTTTAATACTTCATTTTTTAATGACTGATAATGATCAAATTTATTTTTAACAGGCTCACAGACAGTTTACTAGCAAGAATACCAAGAGTTAACATTTCTTTCATGTTTTAAATCTACCTGGCATGCAATTGGTAGGGTTTGAGACTTATCCCACTGTAGTGATTCACTGATTGATTTCTACTATGGACCCATATTTCAACAATGCAGCACACAGTCCTTTTTATAAGAGCCTTAAAGATATATCGAAAGTCTAATTATAAGTTGGTCTCCTCACCTCAAGTTATGACTTCAGGCCCCTGGGGTAGAGCTGGCTTTTGCAGGACAGAGAACACATGGCAACCCCTATAACACGGACCCCGAGAAGCTGGCCCACCCACCTGCTCCCAGGTTATGTATAGGAAGTGTGACTGCCCTACAATAATCCATCTCCCTTACAAACAACTTAGAGAGAGGGCATTATTTTACTCAAAAACTGGAAGACTAAAATCATGAACCGGTAAGGGTCATTGTTTTGAGGGCTACAATTTAACCTAGTATACAAAGAGCAATGAGAAAGAATATTATAGTAATTACCATACAGTAATTTTTTAAAAGAAGAACTAAGGTTTTCGTTTTACCTGATATGTTAATAACTAGAAAATTATTTTGAATTTTTGGCATAGTGTATCCTAGACATGGGATTTATACCTAAATATATGCTAATATGAGGTATAATAACCTCATATTTAGCCAGAGTCCTATTTTAGAAAGAATGGAAGTTGGCTTATATGTACAATTTGGATATAGGTTTCTGCATAATTAAAGAAAAATTACTTATAGAAAATAATTGCTTTAAAAAGAAAGCCCTTAAAAGTCATAGAAGTCACTTGAGAAGAAATCCATCCTTCAGTGGGTCATTGCCTTCTACTATGAAACTTGCTGTACCTGTGTAATGGGCTTGTCCGGATACTTCCACTATAACAGCATTAAAATCACCACATTTTGCTTCCTGGGGAAAAAAAAAAAGACAAAAAGAGTGCAATATCAAAATACTGCATTCATATGTATCTGGCTTTAAGTCATATTGTTGATTTTTATCATTTTAAGGAAACCCAAGAGTTAATCTGACAGGCAACGAACAGAGAGCGACCTGATCGGGTGTGTGTTACATAAGTTATGCTGGAGAGGAGAGAGACTGAACGCCCAGAACCCTGTTAAGAGGTCAGCTTAATTCCCTGATTGACTCTAGAGTCACTAGGGTAATTTTTAGTGAGGATGGAGAAAAGCAAAATAGAAAGGTACTTTGGAGGTAGAACTGACAGGCCTGGGCACTGATGTATGTGGGAAGTGAGGAACAGGAACACGTTAAATGTGACTGCAGCTTTTAGCTTGAAAGTGAAGTTGACTCTACCATTAACCACGATAGAGAATGAGGCAGGAGGGGAATGTTTAGGAAGGAGGGAAGGAAGGAAGAGAGGGAGGGAGAAAGCGAGGAAGGACTATTCAACAAGTTGAGTTTGCGGTATCTCTGGGATAGTTTGGAGATGAGTTTACTGGACAGTTGGGAATACAAGTGTTAGACTCGGGAGAGAAGCCCAGGGTAGGCATGGTAGGGAGGAAGGTTTGGAAGTCATCATCAGTGGGTGACTGAGAGTTGAAGCTTCAGAAGTGGGGGAAATTGCCCAGGGGCATTAAATTGCAGAGGAGAAAAGAAGGGAGCTAAGGATAAAATGCTGGGGGCCTCTAAATGGAAGGATAGAGAAAGGAGGCTGGGGCGGGGAAAGAGAAGGAGAAGATGCTGTCAGAGAGCCCGAAAGAGCCCAGAGAGAGGAAAGGTCAGTGGTGCAAGTGAAGATGTTCAGGCAAATATGATTAGCAACTATTAAATAAATAACTTCAAATCTGAACTACAGGGTGTCTTTTTATTTTCTAATTTTAAAAAATGAGAATAACTGAAGCTTAAGGTAAAATGTCAATTATGAGGTTAGGGTACAGTAATTTTATTACCTTTTTATAAAGCTGCTATAATATAAAGCCTCAGTGAAACTTGCTTTGTCTAACAGCAATCTAATGTAATGCTTAACAGCATGAGGTCTGCTCAGAAAGACCTGCATTCCTAATCTGGATCTCTTACCTAAACTCTTGAATTCTCCAATTTATTACCTGTTAAAATAGAATGATAATAACACTGACGTCCTAGGATTCCTATGTATTAAATGAGATGGTATGCATACAGTACAAAAGTGCTTAGTTTGGAACTTGACATGTAGTGAAACACCCAGTAAATGTAGAATCTTCAGCTACAGACTTGAGACAATATATTCTAAATTTCCGCATACAACATAAGTGGTTTGGTATCTCATAAGATCATGTATTATATAGGAATGCCTAACTATTGAATATTAAAGAAAATTCAATATTTAGAAAAACCAAACTTTATAAATAGCTATATAAGGATATAAATATCTTTATTGAGATAGATTGCTATGTTAAAGGACTCTTTATGAGTAGATCATTCATTAGAAGTAAATAAGTCATCCTGTAGACTTCATTTATTAATATGAGTAAATTCATTAATTAACTCTATTAGCATGTTTAATATTTGATTGCATTATAAAAATTCTACTTCTCACAACTTTTCAGGGCTTTCACATCATATTATAAAATGAAACACTCTTGTAGAATGAAAACAGACAAAAAAACCAAAAAATCCAAACCCTAATTCAATGGTTCTCAAACACTTTGGTCCCAGAACCCCTTTCTACCTCCTTAGAGTTTGAGGACATCAAGAGGTTTTGTTGACATAGGTCATATCTATTAATATTTTCTATTTTGGTAATTAAAGATACTTGTCCATTAATTCACTGTAAAAAATAAACTTATTACATGTTAACATAAACAAATTTCTGTGAAAGTAACATGTGCCAAAACAAAAAAAAAAGTAATGGCTGTTTCACATTTTTTGCAAACAGACAACAGCTAGGTCCTGGCATCTGCTTCTGCCTTCAGTCAGCCGGGCTGTCACATCATTCAGCCTCTGGAGAACACTGCGCACGCGTGAGGCAATGGACTTGAAAAGCAGCGATGTCTTGGTCTTATTATGAGTATAGTTTTGACCTTGTGGACCCACGGAAAGGACCTTGGGAACCCCCAGGGCTTTTCAAACCACACAGGAGAACCAAAATCCTAGCCAAGCAGTTTTCACAGGCCTGCTTTAAAATTCCCTTCCGAATGCTGAGTGAAGAAACTCATTTCACACCCAACTCAGGCCTCTTCTGTCTCACAAGTAACGCAGTTACAAAGACGCTAAGGGTGTCACTCACCCTCACAGCCTTCCCTGTGAAGACTGAGCCAGTTGCACTGCTTTTAAAGGCTCTGGTCTGGTTCAGCTCTAGAAGCCCTTTGTGGTACTGCAAGGCAATTCGGGCTGTCACTCCTGAGCCGGTAGGACTCCTGTCAACCTGTTCCAGAATAAACCAAGAGAAGCGAGTTCGTGGTCCTCCACTTTCACATTGCATGGCTTTTGTGCCTAAAAATTACAGTTTTAATACCTGTTCATCTGCAAACACACAAATATTGGTGGTTGGATCCTCACTGTAAGTATCTTTGCCATCTGTTAATATAGTTCCATATAGAAAGGCAAGGTCTTCACTGTCAGGATGAGTGATTTTAATCTGCAAATAATAAAAAATTATCAACCACATGTAAAATAAATATTTTGATTCAAATGTATATTTTTAAATTTGTTGATATTTTTTTAGAGGGAGAAAGAGACACTGATTTGTTGTTCCACTTATTTATGCATCCACTGGTTGATTCTTGAATGTGCCCCAACTGGGATGGAACCCACAACCTTGGTGTTTTGAGATGATGCTCTAACCAACTGAGCTACCCGGCCAGGGACAAATTTATATTTTAAATAACATATATGGGGTGCTGTTAGACATAACTTTTCCATCTTTATCATTTGAAAAATACTTTTAGGGTCAAGGCACTAAATGTTTGAAGTGACATTTTTGTCTAGATGAATAAAGAAAGCTTTATTAAAAGTTGTGATTCCTATCATACTTCGAGTCCTTTGTCCGGAAGCTGCCCCACACATAGCCTCTACTGAAGGACCAGTCCGACCACACACCCACACAGCCTAAGCACACCCACTCGGAGGCACTGAGCCCAGGTGGTCAATCACAGGCCGGCCATGGCCGCCCAAATGGGAAGAGCTGAAACGATCACGGCCTTACTCTCGGGAGCTTGAAGGGATCATGTAGGAAAGTCAGGCAATGAGCATCTAGAGCTGAAGTTAACACCATTGACAGAGACAAAGTCTGTGAGAAGCCACAAGCAAGCAAAAGTGACAAGAATGCAGAGGCTATTAGGCAAAAGAAAAAATTGGACAAAAAAAAGATTTATGGTAAAGGATGAAGTCAGTTGGTATCATAAAAAGCAGCGGATATGCAGAGAGGCAGGCACGGGCAGAATAGCTAGGTCACATCCATGGCAAAGACAGGTCAGGTCCAAATGGGCCCTGCTTCTGTTCCCAGGGGTCTGGTGGTTTATTTCTCCCTGGATTTTGGTAACTTCTGCTAGTTTGAAGGAGACAACTGTAATCTTACTTCCATGAGTATCTTTACAGATAGTACATTCTACTACCCCTTACCTGTCATTTAAAGCAGGTGAAGCGGTTTGGACTCTTAGGCTCCCAAGAGTCCCTTTATAACCAAGTTACAGCGGCCTGCATATGGGACCGTCGTCCTCCGTTCCCGTAAAGCCCCTATGCCCCGCCTCTCCTCTGGCACCTCCCGACCTCACACTGCTCGCAGGGGCGCTTCCCCCCAGACCAAGCTCCTCAAAAGTGGGCTTCATTCTTCCTTTGTGCCTCCAGCAACTCGCATAGTATCTGACATAAAGTAAGTTCTTGGTAAGTAAATGCTTATTAAAAGAATGAGTGAATGAAGATGAATTTACATTATGCTAACTTCAGCCCTACCCCCAAAGGCCTTTCCCTAAATCTAAATCAGCATATGAATGGGCAGCAATTCACAAAGTACTTCTACTGCTTGGTTCATCCCTAATAAAACTTTTGCTCATATTTTTGCAGAATCCCTCCTCAAGTCCACCCTTCACAACCTTGGTGAGAAGTTGAAGCTTCAATGAGAAGTTCAAAATTGCTTCTATTAAGAAAACTATACCTTTTCCTTTTGATTTCATTAAAAACAAGGTGAAATCTTTTTATGCCAAACTGTTAACTCAAACTATTAGCTGTCTGCTTAATGGAACAGAGAACTGATGTAAATTCAGAGCTTAAGAAGTTACAATGATAAAGTGATTCTATGTATTGGTATTGACAGTTCTGGGAAAAGAATAATTTAGAGCCGGGATATAGTATATATTTTAATTTTTATTATTTAGGTTATACATTATGTTAAATTAAAGCTTGAGATACGTTTCATAGGCTCATAAATAATTATTAGTACAAGTATTTTAGACACTATCATTCACAAGTTATTTTTTCTTAGAATAGTAATTATCAAACACTAAAACACTTACATACTGTATATGAGTTATTTGTAGGTCCCAATTTCAAGGTAAAATGGCAGACTGGTGCTAGAAATGAAAAAGTATTCTAGATTTGTTTATTATCTAAACTGATTTAATCAGAATAGTTTTCCAAAGCCAAAACTAGAGTTACTTGGATAGTTATTTACTAACTTCGTAGCAATTCAGGAAAATCCACTAATTAGGAACTAATGTTCTCTGTAAATAAGAGAAAGTCTGATCAGACTTCATAAAATCTGTTTTGTAAGCTCTATTTTATATTCATTATTTTCAAGTTTTGTAGAATGATCATATATAGCAAAACATGTATTTCTAATTAGTGGGACCCTATACTATGATATTTACTATATGTTTAAACAACCACAAATTATATTAGTATATATGTATTATTAAAGTTAATAATAGTTATCATTATTCAACATTTATTATGGGCTTGGCACTATTCTAAGTCCTTTACATATATTCACTTACTCTTACAACCCCCTACAAAGCAGATATTTCAAAATTTCCATTTTACAGGTTGGAAACCTGAGGCACATGGAGGTTACATAACTTGCTCAAGGTTACAAAAGTTACATGTGGCAAAGCTAGAACTCAGAGGTAGTCATGCTCTAGAGCCTACAATTCAAACCCGTACCCTATTCTTAGCACTACTAATAATTTCAATACCAAACATAGGTATTTATATTTCTGTATAAACATGTTATTTATATGTCCTTCATGCCACAGAGAAAGGCAATTTTTCTGATGGCAGCAATTGTACTGACCTGAGCTCTCACTGCTTCTGTGACTGCACTTGCTGCATCCACCAGGTCCCTTGTCTTTGCAGAACAAACATCCAGCCCTAACTTTTCGGCACTCACAAAGGCATAAAAAGCGCCACCATATGCAATGTCCACTACCACCTGTCCGTGACCAGGAACATCCACTAGGAGATCTAAAAAAGATGTTTGAAAATTAGCTTGTTTTAGTATTTTAGCAAGAAACATCATAGAATTTTTCATATGTGTATGTTGTAGGGGCGGGGAGTCTTCTTCCTATCATAAAAAGGAATCAAACAAAAACCCATCTTCAAAATGAGTAAGCATCAAGTAAATACTAATAAACCTTTAGCTAAGAGCATCTTTCTATCTTTGATGTTTGCATAAGTTATACACGTGAATGCCATGTTTTTCTTACATTACACATACATATTTGTTAACTATGCTGAGGACCTTTTTTCGTGGAAACATCATAGAGGCAGAGAGAGGAAAACCCTGGGACATCAATGTGTGAAAATTACAAAGGAAAATGTAGGTTCCCTCTCATACTACCAGGAAGTTTTATTTTCTTATTTTTAAAAAGGATTTTATTTTTAGAGAGAGGGGAAGGGAGGGAGGAAAAGAGGAAGGGAAACATTGGTTGGTTGCAATCTGGGACCAGACCCACAACCTACTAAGCATGTGCCCTGACCAGAAATTGAACCAGCAACCTTTCGCTTTGCAGCACAAAGCCCAGTCAACTGAGCCACACAGGTCAGGGCAGGAATGGTTTTAAATAGTGAGGATTTGGAGTCCTATTCACAAATTGATTTTCTTCAGCTCTAAAGTCAAAACAAAATGAAAAAAAAAAGATATTTTTCCTATATATTATATACACTCACTTATATATTTCATCCTGTTAAAGTATCCTGCAGGCAAATACTGAGAACAAAGCCATTGCAGAATCACTGACCTTTAGGTTATTATGTTGCATTAGGGTTTTAACGAGTATTTTAGGTGCCGGACATCCCCAAAGTTTCACCTGAAGGTCAATTGTTTGAAATCCTGAATGTGTATTTTTGGAGGAATGGAGCTACGTGATGTTTCGGGATATTAAAACTGTTTTCCCCACACTCACATTTCCCTCTCTTTCTCCAGTTCAAGTGGGCTTGGCTCTCACAGCGTCTGGGGGAGGCTTATGGCAGGGGAGAAAGGAGATTTTGTGGAAAACTAAGGTCTCAGGGGTAAGAGGTTTGTTGTCAAAGGAGTGTTCTGAAGGGAGAAATATTTCTCCTGGTCAATAGAGAAATTGCCTCCGGACTGAGAAAGGGGGCTGAAGGTCCTGAGTGCGGAGGACCTGTCTTCTCCACAGCACCATGGAGAGGCTACAGAGTGCGACAGAGGCAGCAAGGACGAGGAAGGCAGGGGCAGTGGCCCCTTGGAAGGGGCAGATGATGTTTCCCTGGTAACCCGCGCAAGCTGAGGACCAAAAGATTCTTCTCTCCAAGGCCTTGGCTCACACATATTTCAGGAAAAGGGGCAGCAGGTGGAGGGATGAAGCTGAGCAGAGTACAGTCTCAAATTGAGAAATGAAGTTGTGAAACATAAAATATTTCTTGTATTCCTGAGTTTGCATGGTCATCCAAAGGTACCAGTACACGACCAGTTGCAGATTATCCCACAGAGCCCTTTTTACATGTGATGTGTAAAAACACGGAATACTTACCACCAAAAGAGTAACACATGTCTGTGGAACTTAACAGCAAAATTGAATGATAAAGGTCTTTTTCTGGATGCTGGTGCAACATGAAAAGCACATTTGATGAAAGGAGAGTATGGAATTAGATGGAAATAAGGGACTGCAAGAAAGCTAAGCTAGATGTGGCTTTTGTGACTTCATGTGTAAAATGGAATTGCTATTCTCCCCCTAAAAAGGTTTCTTTTGAGAAGTCCATGTGATAACGTATGGGGACTGCTTGACACAGATGACAAATGCAATAAATGTTAGTATTAAAGCCAAAAGTTTAATTTCCAATGGAAATAGGACTCTTAAGAGTCCCAGATATTTACATTTGTCAATCAACATAGACTCCTCCAAATTTCATTTTAGTTACTCATTCAACATATGTTCACTACCTCCTATTCTAGCCCTTGAATACAGTGAACAAAACTCAGGAGTTTCCATTTTAGCAGTGGAGTGGAGGTGGACTCAAACATTCTCTGAGGGGGGTACTGTTGTCATCTGTATTTTACAGACATGGCATTGAGAAATAGAATCCTTTTCATACAGTGACCGAGATGGGGAAGGGCAGAGCAATGATCTAGATTGAACACTGTCAGTCCTCCCTTTTTGTATATTTCTGAGAACTTAGGATTTCATTTTCTTTATAGTGCAAAGTGACCATTCATGCTCACTGATCATTGTACAGTTATGCAGCGATGCTCTCAGGACCTACTGCGCTTACAGGGTCGGCTGCCCCTGGTGTCACCAACCCAAACTGAGGCGGTGGGGATCCTGCTGCCTGCTGTCATTTCCCACAAAATCTAGAGTGCTTTCCATCTGCTGCTGCCATGCCGTGGTTAGCCAAGTTAGTCCATTGGTCAGGTTTTTGAGATGCAATCTTAAACATAAACTCCTGTCTCCCTCAAGTGCCCTCCCACTGCATATGTGGCACTGTTCTCTCCTAAAAGAGAAAGTGGCATCAATTTGCTCTAAGACAGACAAATGCCTGGGCTATTAGGGCATCATTTAGAATCAGGCGAATCCTGAATTCAAATCCTATAGGAGGATCAAGATTGAACTGATAGAATACTTTGCATGGCTTGAAGACTTTGAAAGAAAGAGGTGATAACCCTGTTCATGGTTGGACTAAATTAGCTCCCCGCTCACTTGCAGTCATGACTCCTAAAGCATCCTCACTGATAGAATACAGCCCTTTGGAGGGGTTTCCCTCTGTGTAAGGATGATAGTTATTAGACAGCTGTTTTATAGGACAGACAGCTTCTGTATTGGGGAACCCAAAGGCTCAGCACACTTACAGCACTAAACTAGTAATCTTAAATATTCTGTAGCCTGTCTCTAGGAATACATGTATTCCTTAAATTCTAAGCAGTGCCTTATACACACTTATTTAATCCTCACAAAAATCTCAATAAGGTAACACCTGAAGAAGCATAGACAAGGAGAGGGTTAAGTAATTTGACTAAGGTTGCACAGCGTTAGGGGTTGTCAGACTTTGAACCCAGCAAAGTCTGTTTCTGTTTCTAAAGAGTAGCAACGTCCGTATTTTAACGATTTATAAATCGCTTAGTTCACATTTAATATCCCCCCAAGAAGTAGGGAAACACTTTTTACATGAGTTTTTGTAACTTGCATTTAATAGCTTGTCAGGGGGTTAGTGTGTCTAGTGAGGGTATTCTGAGCCAGCCAGGAACCCAGTTAAATTGGTTGTTCTTTGCTCTTTCCTTGACCCCTACGGATCTTGCTTTATCCAACTGTGAAATCTCTAGGAATGCCCGACGATTGGGGAACTAGGTGCTGAGAGAGAAATTCGGAATTTTATACTTTTCAAGGCTCTCTCAGGAACACAGGCTGATAGACCTGGGGGATAACTGAACTGCAGGCACCGCACAAATGCCGAAGGCTAAGATTCTGATACACATCCGCAGTGATTTAGAATTACCATTTTATTATTATATTAATTGCAAAAGCCGTGGAGGTGGGTTAGTTGCTCTGCGTGGGTTTCAGCCCAGAGATAGAGTGTAGTTAGTTGTGTCTCAGGTTGCAGCCAAGGGGTGGGAGGGTTCCTCCGGTTACCTGTGGCCAGGGCGAAGGCCGGGACGCTGTGGAAGCGCACCCGGCCGCAGCTGCGGCCGCCCTCGCACTCCACGAAGGCGGCCACCAGCCCGCACGGGCAGTGGATGTTGACGCGGGCCTCGCGGGCGCCGGCTGGAGGTGCCGGCACCAGGCCGAAATCCAGCGCGAAGCGGCCCAGCGCCAGCACGGCGTGACCGCACATGGAGCTGTAGCCTTCGTTGTGCAGGAATAAGACGCCCAGGTGCGCGTCTGGTAACTCGCTCGACACCAGCACGGCCCCGTACATGTCCCGGTGTCCCCGGGGCTCGTACATGAGCCGTCGCCGCACGTAGTCAAGGTGCTGGCGCATGTAGCGCCTCTTGGCCAGCACCGTGGGGCCCACCACCTCCGGACACCCCGCCAACACGATGCGCAGGGGCTCGCCGCCCGTGTGCATATCTACCACCGACAGCGCCGGCGTCCCCGGGTCGTGCGGTGGCAGCCGGGGCACCGCCAACGTGCCGTTGTTTGTCTGCATCTGGGAACACGGGACACCAGCCGGCGGCGCTCGCTTCGAAACCAGGGCGCACCCGCGTACTCGGCGCGAGAGTACTAGAACACTAGGCCTCCTCAGGGGGCGGGGCCTCCGAGCGCAGAAGGGACTAGAGCGGAGGGGGCGGGGCCTCGAAGGGGTTGCCGGGTTACCAGGAGGCGGGACCGACGAGGCGTCTGTGGCCCGGAAGTCCGGGCCCTGCGGCCGGGTCGGCTGATCCTGGAGATTCTCCAGGATAACTTAGAAGCTGCCAATGGGTGAGTAGTCGCCGGGATCCCGGGAAGCGTTTGTCATTGTCCCTGCTTCTTCTCTAGGCTGCGGGTTCTGGGCTCAGTCTCGATGGGCGGCCCCCGGGTAGCGGCTCCTCTTAGCTGCTTGCTCCCACCTGCCCCGGGGCCGGGCCCCAGACTCTTCCCCGGCTCGGGGGTGGAGTGGGAGGGGGTAGGAGGTCTAGGCTTCAGACCCGCTGAAGGGGGGAAGCCGGCTGCGTACGGGGAGGGGAAAGTCTAGGCCTTTGTTGTTCCGTTCGAAAGGTCACTTCAGTATCTTTGTCAGTCTCTTTGTTTAACATTCCTGAGAATTGACTTCAAAATTTAGACGCGGGCTTTAGTATGTGCAGAAAAACAGTAAAGGAAGCAGAAGCTAATTGACGTATCACTATTGTCTTTTGCTTCAGCGTCAAATCTGTTTACAGGGCTCTTCACAAAGGTTGCAAAAACAAAACAAAACAAAACAGAAAAACAACAACAACAAAGTTTTAGCTCTCGTTTACCGAAGGAAACGTAATGGAAAAGTGGACGGACACTGGGAGTCAGGGTTTTGTTTGTCTCATAAGCTGTTTTTGGTTTTCAGGACTTGGGGTTTGAAAAACTTGACATTACTTATATTCAGATGTACTTATTAAGCATCTACTAGATGCCATGCCTGTGTAGAAGAAACCGCCAATTCTTTAACTTCTGCCTTCTCAAAAACTCTGAAACACTTCATTTCTACCTATCAGTTTAGAACACTGTGATTACAATTGATTTAAAAATAAGGGCCAAATAATGTAAAGAAGCCTGTGGATTTTTTAAATCTTTCAGAAATTTGATAAATGTGAAAATATGACCCTTGAGACATTTTTGTCAGTGCCAGCCCCCCTCACCCCCCGCCCCCCCCCCCCCCAGCAGCACAAGGAGAAAGAAATCTAAAGTCTACTCGAATTTCAAGGGAGAAAGGACATTGTGAATCAGGCAGTTTCTAGATTGTGAATTCATGCAGAATTTGGGAAATGATTGTTCAAGAATAATTATAAAAATGCATAATTTTCATATTAATTTACATTTGACCACAGTTGTTTTGGATTTATTCCACACCAGGCTGTAGATTCCTTGAAGGCAGGGACTCTGTCATGTTCCTCCGTAGATCTTTAGTTGCCCCAAACCAGTGGAATCTGACACTTAATGCACATACATTGTATGACTGAATCAATGCATGAAGGGAAACATGTCACTGAAGAAAAATCCTCCCTCCGCAACTTGGACCTGTTGATGAGGTCAAAAACCATCTGTAGGTCCTGGGTTTGGGTTTTTTGGGGGTTTTTTTGCTTTGCTTTGTTTTGTTTTTTTTTGTGAAGAAGACCTGCTTTTTATTTTCCCCATGCCCTGAGGCCAGGGGATTGATTCCAAGGCAGTAGTTCCCAAGTACGGGTCAGAGGCCCAGTGACAGCTTGATGAAATTTTCACTTGCCCCTGACAAAAATGAGAAGAGTTGGGACAATGTAATTAGCTTTTTGTAAAGGTGAATTTATTTACAGGCCTGCCCTTTATTTTGAAATTATGTCTTTTCCATTTTTTTGGTATTAAAATGTGTTTTAGTATGGAAGAAGGTGATGACAGATGTGTCATGCGTATGTGTGCATGCACTTACTGTCCTCCTGACCAAAATCAAAAGCAGTCATCCTCTACTAATCCTCTTATTAAAAAACAATGTGAATATTAAAAAACAATGTGTATTCGGAAATCTAGACCATCTGATGAAGGGGCGTGGCTGGATGGAGTCTCTGGAGACCTGCCAGACTAAGTCTTGGGTTCAGGGATACATCCTGATTTGCTGGCAGAGGACTGAGGACCTTAATGATAAGAAACTGTATCAACAACAAAGTTCCTGTGTAATTTTCTGCAGTGTTACAGTGTAAAGGAGAAATTTAATTTTTAAAATAAATGCATCAAGACTTTAGTCATAGTACATATGATTTTTTTAATTGAAAGTGTGTTATTTCCACCAAGTGCTTCAACCTGCATTATTTTTTATAATCACAAGAGGTGTTATTGTACTGACGTTTGTTTTTAAAAAGCTGTCGATATTCAACCAGCATGCCTTGGACTTTACTGTGGGAAGACCCTATTGTTTAAAAATGGCTCAACTGAAATATACGGAGAATGTGGGGTAAGTCTTAATGTTTGTATGTTATTTATTTGTAAAATTTTTTTGCTTTTGAAATATTTTTACATGCAGAATATCTTTTCTTCACTCTACTTATTTATAAAAGAATATGTAGGCATTAATAATATCTGTGTCATTTTATTGATTGTCTATACTACAAATTTGTTAACAGTCATAGTAACTGTGTTTTTAAAATATTTTATAATTTTGTGGTAATTTTAATTACTTTTTATTACAAGATAGTACAGTGACTTGGACATCCAAGTAAGTTAACTGTTTACAATTTGAGAACAGTTGTTTGCAATTATTTTTATATGCTATTAATAACTAGGTTTTTCATATACTATTAGTCTGCTCTTTTAGTAACTTAGTGAAAGGACTCCTTTAATAGCATTATACTGATGTAGGCAAATACAGTGTAGATTTCTTTTTATTTTACTTATGCTTTCTCTTTTTTATTTCTGAAAGATGTACATGTAAACAGATGTTTGAACAGAAATGGGATATCTTATAGGAAGATTTTTGGGGGTGTTAATCTTCTCAAGTAATAGCTCTACATACTATTTTTATGTATTGTAGGTGTGTCCGAGAGGACAGAGAACAAATGCACAGAAATATTGCCAGCCTTGCACAGAGTCCCCAGAGCTTTATGATTGGCTGTATCTTGGATTCATGGCTATGCTTCCTCTTGTTTTGCATTGGTTCTTCATTGAATGGTACTCGGGAAAAAAGAGGTTAGCACTTTCTATGAATGTGTCTGGATAGACTGATGTTGGAATAATTATCACTTAGAAGACCTCATCAAGTAAATTATACGTCTTCTGTTGTTTTTATTATTATTATTTATTTATTAGAGAGAAGGGGAGTGACAGAGAAATAGAGGGAGAGAAACATCAATGTGAGAGAGATACATAGCTCAGTTGCCTCTCTCACACCTCCAGCTGGGACCTGGACTCCAGCCCAATCATGTGCTCTGACTGGGAATCGAACTGGCGACAACCTTTCCATTTGCAGGCTGGCACTGAACCCACTGAGCCACACCAGCCAGGGCTGTTATTTTAAATGTGGTAAACGTGCTTTTGCTTTATAGTCTGATTACTTTTGATTGTGGCAAGAAAACTTAATGATAGGGCATGGCTTAATAATTATTATGGAAGGTATCTGTTGTCTGTTTTACCTTAAATGATCTTGAAGAAATTTTAAAAAAAAATTGACATTTTTTAAAAGAAATTTAAAAAAAATTTTAAATTATAATATTTATAGCCCTGGCTGAGTGGCTCACTTGGTTGAAGTGTCATCCCATGTACCAGAATGATGCAGGTTTGATGCCTAGTCAAGGCACTTACCTAGGTTGTGTTTCAGTCCCTGGTCACGGTGCCTATGGGAGGCGACCGATGAATGTTCTACTCTCACATCGAAGTTTCTCTCTCTCTCTCTCTCTCTCTCTCTAAAATCAATAACCATATCCTTGGATGAGGATTAAAAAAAATAAATTATAATCTTTGTTGGTTTTTTGCAAAGAATTGCTTGTGTTTACAAACTGTTTATTGTTCTAGAACAAATACTTTGTAATTTAATTTTCGACTAGTAATCTGCCCCCATGCAGTTAAGATGATATAGCTGCAACCGAATTATAAAAATTTATATGAACACATTAACTTCATAAACATTTATGAAGTACTGTGTCTTACGTTTAGAATATCAAAAGAGGAGGTATACAGATGACCGACATGGTTTATAGTGATAATCATGTAGAGAAAACAAATGTAGAGACAACTAAATGTAATATAAATCAGTCTTAAAAGTGTATAAACAAAAAGTATATAAAAGCATTGTAAACAAAATGCTCTGGAGTCATAAAGAATGGAAGAGATAAATTGTGCCTGCTGAAAGACTTGAAAAAATCTGAAAGACTTGGAAAAAAGGAACATTTTAGGCAGAGGAAGCAGCTTGAACAATGGCACAGAGGTCTGATGTGTGCCATGTTAGGGTGGGAATGGAAAGAGTCCCTGTGGTCAAAGCGTGGACTGCATGTGAAAGAAAGGTGATAAAAAGGAAAGTGGGGAAGGCAGACTGAGGCCAGAATGTGAAGGGTTTTGTTTTTTAATTGTGCCCTTTATTTTTTTTAATGTTATTCTGTTGCGGTTGTCCTAATTTTTTCCCCTTTGCCCCCCTCCACCCAGCCCACCCCCGGCTCCCACAGTCAACCCCCACACCATTGTCTGCGTCCATCGGTCATTCAAATACGTTCTTTGCCTAGTCCCTTCCCCTTCTTTCCACCACTGTCCCCCTCCCCTCTGGTCACTCTCAGTCTGTTCCATGTTTCCATGTGTCTGGTTCTGTTTTGCTTGTTAGTTTATTTTGTTCATTAGATTCCTCTTGTAAGTGAGATCATATGGTATTTGTCTTTCACCAACTGGCTTCTGTCACTTAGCATAATATTCTCCAGTTCCATCTGTGCTGTCACAAAAGGTAGGGGCTGCTTCTTTCTTTCTGCTGCATAATATTCCATTGTGTAAATATACCACAGGTTTTTGATCCACTCATCTACAGGTGGACACTTAAGCTGTGAAGGTTCTTGATGAGGATGTAAACTTTATTCTTGTGAGAATGAGGAATCAAATTCTATCATAGTATATTTTAGCCACACTGGCTTTTAGTTCCTCCGACTTCTCAGCATCCTTCCTGCTTTGGGTCCTTTCCCTTTCCCCACTCTTTTCTGTGTCTGAAATACTTTCTCGTCCCTCTCACTGCAACTTTTTACCTCTCTGCCTTTTTTCCTTCAGATTTCAGTTTAAATTACACCTACTTGGAGAGGCCTTCCCAGGCCAATCTAAAGTGGACCGGTGCCCTTATTTTCCTTTTTTAATAGCACTCTTCATTTTGTTGTTGTTTCTGTTTTGTATTTAGCACTCCACACAATTTATAGTTAGTTATGTTTGTTTCCTCAATTAACCTTCCTCCCGCCCTGACCGTAAGCTGCAAGAGAGCGGTGGCCACCTCTCTTCTTCTCCATGGAACCTCTGGAGACCAGCTCAACAGCTGGCACATTGGAGATGCTCACTTAGTTTCTGAGTGAATGATTTAATGGTGAAGGTTTACTTTAGGAAGATAACTTCTGCGGAAGGTGAATGAGAGGAGAGAGGAATCAGGGGGCTATCATCCAAGAAACCCCGATGGCCAGCCTCCAGTCATGGCAGGGGAAGTGGGAAGGATGGTCGGGTGGAAATAGGATCTGCACTTTTCTGGCTTCTACTTAAGAAGTCCATGGTGATTATTTATGTTGGAAGAACATTCTCTTTTTTTCCCCAGAAGAATCTATAAATATCTTTAAAAAGCAAATCTCATCCTTTTAATTTTTGTTATGATTAGTGAGAGATGACAGTGAGAAATATGTGAGTATGCTTAAAGCTAACATACAAGACATGGTCAGTTAATTGTTGGAACTTCTCAGGTCAAAGTAGAGAAGAGGTGTGGGTAAGGGATGTACCTTCCTGAGGTGGAGGCAGACTCTGTCCTGCAGAGCCGCTCCAGGTCATCATGGACGGGGAAATAAAATAAGTTGTTCCAGATATTTCTTGCTCTGCCAGAGAAAGGGGGTGGTGATTCCCTCTAGTGGAGAATGGCCCGAGCACCTGTGCTCAGTGGCTTTTATTGAAAGGATTATCAGTGGAGGATAAGTAGCGGGAATGTACAGGTAATCTCATTACATCCGTATGTTAATGTTTACAGAATGTAGGTGATGCTTGAAGAAGACAAAGGGCAAGAACACACCGATTTGCATGGGTCCAAGATGAGTAAACATGAGAGTGCCAAATGGTTTAGGTTCAGGGTCTATGAATAACATAAATTTCCCGCCCAGCCTGAGCCGGTTATCATAGCTTTGAGGGAAAAAACAAAGCATACTTCAAGGAGTGTAATTTACTTCTAGGCCTGATTTCCCCCGGGAACCACTGGATCCAGTTTAGGGCTGCCTCTAGTATTGTTTAAAGCCTGAGCCAAGTGGGCAGAGCAGAGCAGCCAAGAGATAAGGAGACTTCTTTTAGATAGAATGAGGACTCTGGCCATATCAAAGCCAAGGGGTGAGGGTCCTTTGCCCCTTCTCCGTGTCCCCCAAGTTCTTCTCTGATGGCCCCCATGTGACTGTGCCTGTCTTAGGTTGCCCCTGCCACCAAGGGGTCTTAACTGACATTGACTAACCAGCCATTGTCTGGGGTTAAAAAGGGGGACATGTTTTGTCTCCTCAGTGGCCTATTTCCCCAAGACCTCCTCGCTTAGCTCCCGCCTTGGTGCCCTCTTGCCTCTTGGCGAGGCTACAGTTCCTGAAACCAGGCAGGACGGTTCCCAACACCTTCCAAGTGTATTACAACTAAAACATCAGGTATGTTTTGAGGGAGAATTTTGAAGCAGAGGCTAGAGGTTCCTTTTTTTCTTTCCTTCCCCTTATTAATTCCAGAGAGGAGAGGCGAGGGAGAGAAACACCAATCAGTTGCCTCTTGCACACGCCCCAAGTGGGGACCAAACCCACAACCGAGGCATGTACCCTGACTGGAATCAAACCCACAGACTCTCGATTTTCCAGATGACACCCAGCCACATGAGCCTCATTGGTCAGGACGAGGGTAGAGCTTTGTTTTGAGGGTAGAACAAAGGAGTGATCAGTGCTTAGGCAGGAAAGGAAGTAGATTTAAAAAGGAGTTTGCATAAGTAAGCTTAGCCTAGTAAGTTGGTAGCAAGGAACACAAGGGCCATCTGTTTCATTTTCCTGAGACGACGTACTTTTAATGAAGGAAGTAGGAGCCTCGCTGTCTGAGACTAACCAGTGTTTCTCAACCCCTTTGTCATTGTCACCTCTTTAAAGGGCCTTATAGATTCCTTTCATTCCATAATTTCACCTACCCCCATGAAATTTATGTTTATCTGTTTATGTAGTATATGTACATATGTCCTTTATGTATAAAAAGTATGAGTGTTTTATTCCTAGTTTCAGGAGTTGACAATTAAAATTTCTTTTTAGAAATCATACCTTGAGTCCTGGCTTGGTGTGGCTCAGTGGACTGAGTGCTGGCCTGCAAACCAAAGGGTTGCCAGTTGGATTCCCAGCCAGGATGCTTTGTCTGGGCTGCAGGCCAGGTCCCCAGCAGGGGGCATGCGAGAGGCAACCACAGATTGATGTTTCTCTCCTTCCCTCCCTTCCTCCCTCTCTAAAAATAAATAACCTGAAAGAGAGAAAGAGAGAAAAAGAGAGAGAGAGAAGGAGGAAAAGAAAGGAAGGAGGGAAGGAAGGAAGGAAGGAAGGAAGGAAGGAAGGAAGGAAGGAAGGAAGGAAGGAAGGAAGGAAGGAAGGAAGGAGAGAGAAAGAAAGGAGAAAGAAACCATTATCTTGAATCATATCCAGGTTTTAGGAAAAGCTATTTGGCACTAAAAAATTTTTGGTAACTGTGCTTCTTTTGTTTTACTAGTTCCAGTGCACTTTTCCAACACATCACTGCATTATTTGAATGCAGTATGGCAGCTATTATCACCTTACTTGTGAGTGATCCAGTTGGTGTTCTTTATATCCGTTCATGTCGAGTACTGATGCTTTCTGACTGGTACACAATGCTTTACAACCCAAGTCCAGATTACGTTACCACAGTGCACTGTACTCATGAAGCTGTCTACCCACTGTAAGTATTTATTTTGACTAAAGGTCTTTTTTTGAAAAATGATAATTATAGATTTCATGTATTTCAACAGTTTGAGCATTGTACCATGGCATCTAGGTACTGGGGGAAGTACACAGAAATGATTTTCTTAAGGGACACATCCTCTGATAGGAGAAAATAGAAATACATCTTAGTATAATAGAAGTGAGAGTATTTTTGTATGGGTGTTGAAGTGTGTGTAAACACTTACAAAATAAGCCATTCATGTTTCTTAAAAAGAGATTTCTAAGGAAAACCTTTTTGATTTGCAACAGACAAGTAATATCTGACATAGAGGAAAAAAAAATATGGGCTTTGGAGTTAAAAACAGGCTTGAGTTTAATCCCAGGTCTGCCAATTGTGTGTTAGCTTGAGCACGTTAAGAGCCTTTTGTAAAAAGCTCAGTTTTCCCATTGGTAAAATGGGAATGGCGGTCCTGTATAAGGAGATGAGGCAGATTAAGTAAATCCATATGTATTAAATACAGTGTGGTACATTACTTACAGGAGGCACCTAACTGCAGCTGAAATTAGTGTTGGGATAATGTTCTTTTTGTTTTTGTGTTTTTTCCTAAATAAATGCAATCTTCATCAGACTGTTGTTTGAAAAATATCAAATTCCTAACATTCTGTATAATATCATCCCAGACTACTTCATTTTTAGAATTTCTGTAAGTTTTTGTGTTCATTTGAAGTGTTTTGAGAAAGTTCTTAATAGTACTGTCAAAACACAGATACATGTATGTAAAAAGGTAGTTTTCAAAAAATAAGATCCAGATATAAAGGTGTGAAAATCTTTTACACCTGCCCAGCTTTAAGCCCTGCAAATTATTTATTCCATGTATATATTTTCTCTCTCTCCATATATATGGCTAAAATTTATATATAAAGAACTTATAAGTCCTTTGATGATTTTTAAGGAGCTGTACCCTGAGCTTCAATTAATGAAATAATGGCTCCATAGTATTCCAGTGTGAATGTACTATAACATTTAACCAGTTTTCTGCCATCGAGTATTTATTTTCTTCCTGAATTTTCTTTATTCCATGATCCAGAAAGAGCTTATTTATAAAGTTTTTTTGTGTATCCTTGAGTATTTCCCTTTGATAAATTTCTACGAGTATAATTGCTGGATTGCAGGATGTAAACATTTTAGGATTTTGGGTGCATATTTCCAGACCGCCTCCTGGAACGGGACCAGTGTCCACTTTTCACTAATGTGTGCGAGTCCTGTGGGCCAACCTCCCCCCAGTATGAATATTTGATGAGTAGACTTAGTATATTTTTTTAACCTCTTATAGGATATTTCATTTAAAAATGATCAATGATAAAATATTTTAGAACATATTTTTGATAATATTTCTTATTTACTTTTCAGCTACACCATTGTATTTATCTATTATGCCTTCTGCTTGGTATTAATGATGCTGCTCCGACCTCTCCTGGTAAAGAAGATTGCCTGTGGGTTAGGGAAATCTGATCGATTTAAAAGTATTTATGCTGCACTTTACTTCTTCCCAATTTTAACTGTGCTTCAGGCAGTTGGCGGAGGCCTTTTATGTAAGTTTGATGGGAAAATAGCTTGTGTAGTTATTATTATCTGTGATGAACAATATTTTCACTGGATGTAATTTTGGAGGTTTTTCTTTAACATAGAATTTTTTTTCATTCTGGATAAGCCATAGTACATATTTTTGCCGAAATATAATCCTTATTTTAAAACATGATGGGTTTTTTGGAATGAAATAGAAATTCTCAAGAAATCAGTGGCAGAAAATCAAAACAGATTTCTATTTAGAGAATGCTTTGTATTTGAAGATTATAACCTAAACAGGGAAATCTTTAAGACCTAAGTATAAAGCAGAAAACAAAAGCTGGTTTTTGCAAATAATACATGGAAGTTACTCTTGATAATGTATCCTATTTATCATTGTTAGGTCTTAGATTTCTAAGTTTCTTTATGGAACCCTTTTCAATAGAGTAAATGAATCTTCAGTATATTCTTTATCTTTTTACTTTATTATTATTATTTTTTGTCCTCACCCGAGGACACCCTTATTGATTTTAGAGAGAAGGGAAGGGAGAGAGCAAGGGAGAGAAATGTTAATGCGAAAGAGAAACATCAATCAGTTGCCTCATGTACGCACTCCCATCAGGGACCAAAGCCTCAACCAAGGGAGAAGCTCTGACCAGGGCTCAAACCTATGGTCTTTGGGTTTACTGGACGAAGCTCCAACCAACTGAGCCAAACAGCTGTGGTGATCCTTTTTTTTTTTTTTTTTTAACTTTTAAATCATGTTTATTCTATGACAGTTGTCTCAATTTTTCCCCTTTGCCCTCCTCCACCCACCCCACCCCCCACCCCCTGGACCACAGTCAATTCCCACTCTGTTGTCCATGTCCATCGGTCACGCATACATGTTCTTTGTCTAGTTCCTTCCCCTTCTTTCCACCATTGTCTTCTTTCCCCATTCCCTCTGGTCACTTTCAGTCTGCTCCATGTGTCCATGCCTATGGTTTATTTTGTTCATTAGTTTATTTTGTTGAATAGATTCCACTTATAGGTGAGATCATATGGCGTTTGTCTTTCACCAACTGGCTTATTTCATTTAGTACATATTCTCCAGTTCCATCCATGTTGTCGCAAAAGGTAGGAGTTCCACCTACCTATTGTTCGTTCCTTCGTTCATTCGTTACTTCTTTCTTTCTTTTATAAATGCAGATTAATTTTAATTATCTTTTTAAATGTCAAAGTCAATTATAAAATGTTAAAAAATTTAAAACCATTATAAATTCTCAGCAATTAAAACAACATGGCACCAGCACAGAAATAATCAAGGAGATCAATGAAATATAATGAGCGTTCTAGAAACAAATGTATGTATCTATCTAACAAAGTAATATATGATTAAATTGATATTTCAAATCAATGGGGAAAATAAGGTTTATTCAACAAATAAGGTGCATGGACCACTATTACTTGAAATAAAACAAATATAGAGCCCTATTTCACACATTATACAAGAAATATTCAGGTGAGGTAAAAATCAATATGTAGAATCTAAGGAGTTTTAGGAGATAATTCAAACTAGTATTTTTCTTACCCTGATGTAACATATTCAAACCCAGAAGCCATAAAGTAAAATATTGACAATATGACTATATTAAACATTTAAGACTATATAGTAATATACATATAAAAAAAGTTAAAGGACAAGTAATAAAATGGGAAAGTATTTGCCACACATCTAAAAAAGGGTTAATAGTTGTTCTGGGTTTTTTTGGGGGTGGGAGGAAGAATTCTACAAACCTTTAATCAATAGATGGATAAAGAATACCAAAAAGTCATTTAAAGCTTTTTAAAAATAATAGAAATAGGCAAGAAATATACAAGAACAGGTTTAGTTTCAACAAATAGTAAAAGAACAATTAAAATACTACATCATTGTCACAGTCAGATTAATACGTATAAAAAATATTGGTAATATCAAGTATCGGTGACTGTGAAAGGAACTGGGTATTCATAGACTCTTTTTCTTCATTTCCTTAAAGCAGTCCCTTTAGCATATTTTGCAGTGCTGGTTTGGTGGAGGGGTATTCTTTTAGCCTTTTGTCTGGGAAGCTCTTTATTTCGCCTTCCATTTTAATTGAGAGCCTTGCTGAGTAGAGCAGTCTTGATTGCAGGCCTTTGCTTTTCATTACTTGCAATATTCCTTGCCACTCTCTTCTGGCTTGCAGTGTTTCTGTTAAGAAGTCAGCTGCTAGCTGTATCAGGGCTCTTTTATATGTTACTACCTCTTTTTCCCTTGCTTCCGTTAGGATTCTCTCTTTGTCTTTGATATTTGCCATTTTAATGATGATGTGTCTTAGAGTGGGCCTCACTGGATTCCTCTTGAGTGGGACCCTCTGTGCTTCCTGGACTTTTGTGGCTTTTTCTGTCCTTAAATTAGGAAAGTTTTCCATCATTACTTTTTCAAACAGATTTTCTATCCCTTGTTCCTCTTCTTCTGGTATTTCTATTATACAGATATTATTACGTTTCAGGTTGTCCTGCATTTCCCTAAATGCCTCTTCATTCTCTTTGAGTCTTTTTTCATTATCTTGCTGTTTCTGGGAGCTTTTTTCTACCTTGTCCTCCAGCTTGCTGATTGGTCTTCTGCTTCATCGAGCCTGCTTTTGATTCCTTCTACTGTGTTCTTCAATTCAGAAATTGTATTTTTCATTTCCTCCTGTTCCTTTTTGATAGTTTGTATGTCATGTTTCATGCTGATATAGTTTGCAGTAAGTTCTTCATAGTTTCTCTGTAGTTTTTTGTAATTCTGAGCTCACTGAATTCATTGAGCTTCTGTTGAACCGTTGTTTTGAACTCAATATCTGAGTCAAGTTTACTTGCCTCTATTTCATTTAGTTCTCTTTTTGGGGATTCCTTTTTTCCCTTTGAGTGGGAGGTATTTCTTTGTCTTCCCATTAATTGTGAGACTCTTCTTTTTTGCTTCTGGTTCTTAAATTGATCTGTCTTGATTTCCTGACTGTGTGGTATGAACTTCTATGGTAGGAGACCCCTGTTTTTACTTTCTGGATCTGCTTCGGATGATGTGAGATGTTGACCCTGTCTGACCTTAGGCAGTCTGTTCGAGACTTCCAGGAATCTACTGTTTGTGGCTGTCTCCTTCAGAGGTTAATCAAGTCACTCTGCACTCAGCAGGCAGGCTTAGACACCTCAGGGTGGGGCAGAGTCCCTCCTGGCGGCAGGGTTACTGGGTCCTCTGACACTGCTGCTGCTCAAGGGGAGTGGTCTCTGCCTGAATAAGATGGCTGCTGCTGTATGGGGGAGGAGTCAGCACAGGGATCCCACCGGCTACTCTCTCCCTTCTCTCCCCTAAGCCTCCATCCCCAGTCTCTCCTCCAGTGTCTCCAGACCACTCTTTGCCGCCTTTAGCCAGGGATCTACTATCTGTGGCTGCCACTCTGCACTCAGCAGGTGGCTTAGAAAGCTCAGGGCGGGGGCAGAATTCACCTGGGGGCAGGGCTACTGGGTCCTCTGACGGTGCTATCGCTCAGGGGGAGTGGTCTCTGCCTGAGCAAGATGGCTGCCACTGCATGGGGGATGAGTCAGCACCGAGATCCCACTGGCCACTTTCTCAGTTCTCTCCCCACAGCCTCCTTCCTCAGTCTCTCCTTAGGCATCTCTAGTCCACTCTGCCCCCGCCTTTGCTGGAGACCAGGGTAAGTGGCTGCAAATAAAATTTATGTGTTGGCCCTTTAAATGGCTCTTTGTGTCTCCAGGCGCCTGTCTCTGGCAGATAGTAACCCTGCCGCTCTTCGCAGCTGGCTGTTTTCTGTGTACTTTTTGGGCTCTGGTGCTGTAGGCTGGAGATGTCCTCTTTTGGTTTAGACCCCACTCTTCTCAGGGGGATCCAACTGACTGTTTCAATATCCTTCTGTTGCTGCCTCCCGTGGGCACTCTGCCCACCTTCTTGAGTCTGTACCGCACTCCTTACCAGTTAGATTGCGCTAAAGCTGATTCTTCTGTTTCCGAGGTTATAAGGCTCCTTTCTCACTATTGTTCAGTTCTTTGTTCCAGGTGATTTCTTCACAATTTAGTTGTAATTCCAGGTTGGTGCTGGGAGGAGGTCAGTGAGACTTCCACTCACTCCTCCGCCATCTTTATTCTCCCTGCCAGGGTGATTCTTTACTGTAATATATCCATTCATGCGTGTATTCATCAGCCAATTATACTAAACTGTTATGCAAAAGGAGAATGAAAAAAAGTTGGTATTAAAGGGCTCACATACTACTAAGAAAGCTATGAGTAGCTGAGAGAACATAATGTGACACTGACCGTTGTTGCAAAGATATTAGATACCATCTTTGATATAGAGCCTACCAGGTGCAGAAGGCAAGCCTTGTGGCCCAAAGGAACTAGGCACAAGACTGGGCATCAGTATGCAAGTCATGGGGCTTGGTAATGAATTCGGTTCAAGATTAGGGTGGTGCTTGGAGGGTAGGGCAAGGGAAATTGGACAGTAGTCGGAGGTCTATGTTGCCTCATATTCTGGTTTACAGATGTATCGTTCTCGGTTGACCTGCATTGTATTTGGAAATCTACAGCTCCTTCTAGCTCTTGCTATCCCCCGTTTTCTTACATTTGGCCCACTTCAGCCACTCACCTGTCTGGCTGGCCTCTGCAGGCATTTGAGGTTGCTAGTCCTGCTCTAGGGAATAGAAACCTACTCTTACAAGGATTTTAGGCAGAAGAGAGACATGACTAGGTTTGTATTCTAGAGAGAGAACTTGCTGGCAGCGTGGAAGATGGGTGGGCAGGGGAAGAAAACCTGGGGGATCAGTTAAGAGGTTATAAGCCAAGTCTGACCTAAAAAGCAGAAAGACACTCCTTTGAAGATAAAGTTAACTACATGAGGTAACATTAAATACAGGGGTTGAGGGAATGGGAGGAGGACACCTTAAAGCAGCTTTCTCACCCAGTAACTGGGGAATGGGTGAATGGAATGAGAAATGGATAAATGGAAAAAGAAGCAAATAGGTTGGTGAGAAGGGAAGTCAGTTCTAGCTGTGCATGAAATGGTCAAAAGAGTACAGGTTATTTACACTAGTCCAGAGCTTGGGAAAGCTGTCAGGACTGGAAAGATTTCAGAATTGTCAGCTTTCAAATTCCTGTGTCCTAAACTTCAGGAGGTGCTATTGTATGGAATCTCTTGGTTAAGAAATGGAGGAAAGGAGAACAGTTGTGAAGAGCAGGGAGGGGTTTGGAAAGTTAATCCAAGGAGGCTGCCAGACATCGTTGCTTCCTTCATTATAGCCACCTCTCTGGGCAATAAAAGCCTTTTTCCCCACACTGAATGACTTTAGATCATTTTCTGAAGAAGTCTCTAGCTCACAACATACACAGAGGAAGGATCAAGGAGTTACTCTTCACTTGTACTGTGCAATCTGCTGAAATTAGTCACGGAGGGCATCATACCAACTCACAATGTTACGATGTCAAATAGAAAACAGGTAATTTTTTATTGTAGGGATAGGGGTGTGTGATTTCAGGCTGCTGTACCAGAAAACTATAAAATGGGAGGCTTACAAACAACAGGAATTTTTTTTTTCACCATTCTGGAGAATGGGAAATCCAAGGGCAAGACACGAGCAGATTTGGTGTCTGATGTGAGTGCACTGTGTCCTCTGTGGAAAAAGGAAAGAGAGCTCTCTGGGATCTCTTTTATATAAGGGCACAGGTTACATTCATGGGGCTCCACCTCATGGCCTAATCACCTCCCAAAGGCCCCACCTCCAAATACCATCACATTGGGTATTTCAGCGGAAGAATCTGGAGGGCACAAACCATTCAATCTGTAACAAGGGAATATAAAAATCTGAGCCAAGTAGAGCAGCAAGAGGCTTCCAGTAGTTTAAGACGCTGGAGTGTAGGGAGAGAGACACTGGACATTACTAGGAAGATGCCAGTGGCCAACGTACTGCTTGGGAGTATTCCTGAAGCCAGATGTTAGGTGTGATCTGCATCTGAATCACCAGGGGAAATAAAATGCACATTTCCAGGTCCAGCCACCAGACCTAAGGCTCAAAATCTCCAATTGTTTTTGATCCTAGAGTAAAACCCCACTAAATCCTGCCATGAGCCCAGGACCTACTCCTCACATGCCTGAGGTTTGGGCCTTGTGAGGAACTTCCTCTTCCTCCCTAAGCGTTTTACTGCCAGGTCTTAAATTTGTATCATTTGTAACGTTTTCTGGCTAATTATAAATGAAATGTGGTTTTTGTTGTTTTGTTTTGTTTTGTTTTTGAATGGCTGATTCAGGACCTAATCACTGTCTATGAATTGAAAGGTTCTAAATTCCAAGCAAGCCATTCAATTATTTAGTAAGCTGGAGTCAGGCCTTTATAGATAATTCAGAGTTTCTGGCTTGTGCATCTTGAATTAACACTTGAAATTGTTCCAAATGGGCTTTACTGCAATACGGAATGATTGGTTTCGTAACTGAATTGTTTAAAAATAATAGTATGGAAAATAATTCAAGGTATCTTTTTCTCAGTGTGTCCCTTTGTTTTAGTGTGCTATATATTTAAAACATTTAAGAGAAAGGTGATATTTTGTAAGAAAAACATTTTGGTTACAGCATTTTTACTGTACTGCATTTGAAATATGCCCTTATCCAGTTTCACTTTCTGTGGATTCAGTAACCTGCAGTCAAAAGTGGTCCAAAAACATTAAGTGGAAAATTCCAGAAATAAACAATTGTTTTAAACTGCACATCACACTGAGTTCTGTGATCCACTCCTGCGCGGTCCAGCTCCCTCCTGACCCTGATGGGAGCCGTCCCGCTGTCCAGCGCATCCTTGCTGCACGCGCTCCCACAACAGCTGCAGAGTTGCTGCTGGGGCAGAGACGTGTGGGCTGTGGAGCCAAAGAGCCTTGCCATCTGGCCTTTTAGGGAAGAAGTTTGCTGACCCTGCCTTAGGTGCCATCTGGCCTTTTAGGGAAGAAGTTGGCTGACCCTGCCTTAGGGCTGAGCTTAAGTCTCTCCTAGGACTGGTTGAAAACATTACAATATTGGGGACATCTATACTGTTTGGGATTTTTTGTTCATTCAGAAAATTTGCTTAATTTTCAACATAATGTCCATGTTTGTTTTTCAGATTATGCCTTCCCGTACATTATATTAGTGTTATCTTTGGTCACTCTAGCTGTGTACATGTCGGCCTCTGAAATAGAGGTAGGAAAAGTTTTTCTTTTGTTAGAAAAAAGTTAAATTTTTTAAATGGATTTGACAACTGAATAGGAGAATACTACATAGGATATGACATAGTACAGCTGATCGTCTTAGTAATCCTTGGCTAATCGATGACACTAAGTAGCTTTTAGCTCACTGGTTATTTTTATGAAAGGTTGTCTACTGCACTGTGTTTGCTTGGAAACCAGTGAAGAGTCAGGTGCTCAGCTACCTAGCATGTTGGAGAACAAAATCATTTCAGTAATTTACCCATAGAAAATACGTAATTATGAAATGTTGAAACTTACTAGCATCATTTTGAGGGAAACATAAAGTTGCTTTATTGTATAGAGTGCTAATTTTATACTGTTTTACAATGGCAACACTGTCCTCAGTAATTACATTATACATTTTCCGCCCTTTTATGTTGTGGCCCCAATTTAATTTTTTTGACTATGGATGTTTACTTTTGTCCTCTGGTGTCTATAATGTTTTGGTGATTTGGAAATAACATTAGTAGTAACATGAGTTCTGATACTGCTTCTGTTTTGAGATACCCATTTTGGGCCTCTAACTTTTCATTATATCAGTGGAAGGTCACTGTTAGAAAGGACTCTATTTTGAGGCTAAACTCTAAGGGAATGAGAGTGTCCTATGCCACAGCACTACTCTGCCCTGTACCTGCTGACCCTCTTCTTATGCGCTGGTTTTAACTGCCTGCTCCACTCCATAGGAGTGTGTGCTTTCCCATAATTAACATAAAAAATGCTCAACCCAAAGAAAGTAAGTTGTTAATTATTTTGGAATGGTGATGCTTCGCTTTCTATTACATTAGTGAAAAAGTGAGCGGGAATGGCTTTTAGACAGAATAATATAGTGGAGGAACTAGACAGAATATTTTGATGGTGATTATTCAAATGTTCCCATTTGTATACTGTCCCCATTTCTCCTTTATCATCTGCAATCAGTGTTGCAGTATATATAAAGAAGATAAGCAAATCAGTTTGGGCACTGTCTTCAACTCTAGAGAAATACTTGAGGGGGGAAATGGTTGAATATTGGAATAAAACAAAGCTTTTGAATTTTTGTTTGTTATCCATTCCTGTGGATAGTAGTTATGTTAGCCAGAAACTTCCTTGTCTCTCTGGCCCTGGGAATCTCCCCTGTATAAAATGTTTATGTACTTCAGTGAGCTCTCTACCCATAAATGAGAACTAGAGACCTGAATCAGGAAAAGAGAGCCTAGCTGTAGGTGAGCTGATGAGCCCTTTAGTAAAAGAAAATAATGTAATATTGCAAATTACCCTTCAATGTGTTTATTAGCACATTGAGCTATTCTGTAATAATTGGGTCCTTCCAATTTTGGCATATTATAGAGCGGTATTCAAGATTAAAGGGAAATCAGAGCAGTCCCATGTCATTTCTGCTCCTTGCTAATTATCCAGGCAGCAGGTTCCAGGAACGCTGGAGGTGAAGGAATCTGGCGTGTGCGCCTCCTGTTTCTCAGCTCTAGACACAGCTGCAGTGGAGTGGGGCAGGGAGAAGGCACACCATGGGGAGTTCCCCTCCTGGTTCATTCTTTCTGGGGAAGCTATAGAGTGTCACGCGCCGAATGGTGCTGTAGCCTAGAGCTCAGAGATGTGGGCTCTTGCCCTGGGCTGCCCTGCCTGCCCGTGGGACTGCAGGAGCCTCCTTGCCTCGTCTGTGGCGTGAGATGGCTAGTGTGAGTGCCCCCCAGGTCCTTTTTAGCTCCAGCAGTTTGTGATTCTGAGATTATGATTCTTAACTAATACATTTAATTAAAATATAATAAATGATTTAGCTGATTCAGTTCAATAATGTTTCTCTTTTCTTTCTTTCATAAAATTAATAGAACTGCTATGATCTGCTGGTCAGGAAGAAAAGACTCATTGTTCTCTTCAGCCACTGGTTACTTCATGCTTATGGGATAATCTCCATTTCCAGAGTGGATAAACTCGAACAAGATTTACCCCTTTTGGCTTTGGTACCCACACCAGCCCTTTTTTACTTGTTCACTGCAAAATTTACTGAACCTTCACGGATACTCTCAGAGGGAGCCAATGGACACTGAATATAAAATGCCAAAAAAGCCTAAGAAGTATTCTTAATAAAAAAGTACAGAAATAAAAAGTATGTATTAGTATTCTTCTGTCATACATGGGAATAAGATTGTCAGTATAACTTAATGTTTTTGGTTGGTTGGTTTGGTTTTAGTTTTGACTAGAGACTTAATGGTTAGACTTGGAAAATACAAAATACTCTGTTACATAGTAAAATACACTAGACATTTACAGCACACTATTAGATGGCACACTATTAGGAAGCACTTGCCTTGCAACAATTTAGTTATTCTTTAGAGTAAAATCATGTTTCTGTGTACCTACCAGTATGTTGTTTCTTTTGTTATTAAGAAAAACTTTAACAAGTATAATCTGAAATCCGTAGTTTTGCCACAATTGTGCATGCCTGTTGTTTTTGCTGGTTATGTATAACTAATTATAAAGACGTACATACCTGTGGGGTCTGATAGCAAACATGGAAGTAAAGTATGTTGTTTTTATCTATTTATTTTGACCAATACAGTATTTTGATCTATTACAAAAATAGGCCACAATTTATATAACTGGTTTCCTGTGTACGGGTAGTTTGTTTGAAGATCTATTAGGGTTATTCCTGTTCCTGTAAAGAAAAACAGTCATGAACAGCTTAGCTACAAAAAGCCTCGGATGTTCCATTTGTATTTGCCACAATAATCATGGGAATTCAGAATATTAGGTAGTGAGGTTAATGTCTTTTTCCCAAATGAATAAACACATGTACTCACATACTCCCTTTTACATCTTTTTTTTTTTCAGAACATCATTAAAAAAAAATTTTATTGTTCAATCAATTACAGTTGTCCCATTATTCCCCCATTACTCTCCACTGCCCACCCCTCACCTCCTACATTCAATCCTCCTCGGGCCCCCCTCGCACCCCCATTGCCTTTGCCCGTGGGTCCTTCATACATGTCCTTGGGCCCTTCCCCTTCTTTCCCATTATCCTCTCCCCACTCCCCCGTGGTCACTGTCAGTTCGGTCTTTATTTCCGTCTCTGGTTCTGTTTTGCTCCTTGTTTGTTTTGTTGATTAGCTTCCACTTATAGGTGAGACATCTCATTTCTTAAGGATGCATACACATGCCATATTTTTAGATTCGGAGACACCTTTTTTCCCCACATTGTGATATTTCCGAATCTTGCAATCAATGGCTTCTTAGATTTAACAAAATACAGAATATATACAGCATATAAACCTCCTGTGGTGCTGGTTGATAGGTGTGCTGCTTGTTAATTTTTATGGTGGCAGCCATGGAAGCGAAAATAAGATTTTTAGTGCTTAACCTGATAATCTGACCATGTTTATTCTTTTGTATTGTTTAGGAGGTTATTTACTGATTCTGCTATTATTGGTGGGGGTTATACAAGTTTGTTAAATCTCAAACTTTAAGATTTCTATTGACAGTTGCAAACTGTGAAAAAAGTACACTCACTTTTTTGTAGTTTTGTTTATGCCTTTTCAATTGACAGCAGTTGTATTCTTGGAATTATTTTGTTAGTTTGTTTTTCGCAGTACATTTAACCAATGGGAAAGAGGCTTTTTTGATACGTTTTTCTTTGTTCTTCTTTTCTGTAAAAATAAAAATAAAATGTAAAAATTCTATGTGTATCTCACACATGTTTGGGCAATTATTAGTGTCCATTAAAATTCTAAGTTGCCCAAAGAATCCCTGGATTGGACGCTGTACAGTTGGAAAGGGGAGGCTTGGCGGGTCATGTATCCAATTACCAGGATTATTTTTGTCCCACTACATCTGGGGCCATTTTAAGTGATGTCCTGTTCTGGGAGAAAAATGTGTATGCAGAAGAAGAAATCATACAAGTAATTATCACAAGTCCTCAAATGCAAAGAATTTCAGGAATACTTAACATCTGCATTTTTAATTTGTATTTCAAGAACAAGACAACTCTTGACAATTCTTAGCAATTGTGGTTGCTGAAATTATTAAATAACTTGTTAAAATGTAGTTATTAAACATGCACAAAAACTACCTTTGCCTTAGCTCAACTTTGTTTTGACTTAGGTCCTTGTGTTAGTACAGTCCTCACACCTAGAGTAATTATTTTGCTAACCAGTGCTGGATAGGTAATTTAAAAGTCAGAGTGCTCCCTAGCCGGTGTGGCTCAGTGAATTGAGTGCTGGCCTGTGAACCAAAGGGTCGCAGGTTCGACTGCCAGTCAGGGCACATGCCTGGGTTGCAGGCCAGGTCCCCAGTAGGGGGCGTGTGAGGACACACAGTGGTGTTTCCCTCCCCTCTCTCTAAAAATAAATTTTAAAAAATATTTTTTAAAGAAGTCAAAATTATTTTCTTGATTTGAGCCAATTGACTAATTTGTTACATTGTTAAGTGTTTGTCTAAAACCATTAGTTTGCAAGACTTGACTGTACATTGGAGCCAGCTGGAGAGATTTCCAAAAACAAGCCTGGGTCCCTCTCCCAGAGATTCTTGCTGAACTGGCCTGGCGTGTGGGCCAAATAGGAGGGTTTCTAAAACCTCCTGGTGATTCTAATGTTTGAGAACCATTGTCCAAACTTTCTTCCTAGTTAAAGTCTTAATTTTCCCAAGAGGCCTTTTCACAATTTCTGGGAAAGTCATTTTTTAAATTATTTCTTACTGAAATTTTGATTCTGCTTGATTCTAACTGTTCTTTTCCAGAATTAAGTGATCAAAATACAGATAATTATATAGTCTTTTTCCATCAAAATAACAAAGATAACTTCAACCGACAGTTATATGAATTATTTGATCTTTCTTTTAAAATATCTCTTGGCTTGAAAAGTCTCTGTAGAGCCAATATCAAGATATTTGGTTACTACAAAAATTGTTTATCTGCAACCTAAATTATAGTTATATGGTATATAGTGTATAGTATAATTCAAGGGCTTTTGGAATTTTAAAAGAATTCTTTTTAATACTTTCAAAAAACCTGTCCTCAGCTACTGTTGGTTTAGGTATACACTAAGAATTACCTTTCATTTACAAGAAAGATTATTAATGCAAAAAGTTAGGAACTTAGTTTCAAGATGAAGTCTGTCACTTCACAGTCTGACAAGCTACTCCCCCATTCCTGCCATTTGGTACCCCCAGAAGATTTACATTCAAGTAAACTGTTGCAGTTCTTAGCCAGGTTGTGTGGGCTGCTCCTTTGGGAAGACATCCGGGTATATTCCCAAAAAGGGGATCCCAAAAAGACTTAGATGTCCTTCTTTCTCCTGCCCCATAGCCACTCATTAGAAGGAACCCACTGGATCCTAATCACCTCTTGCATCACTGTCACAGTATGAGCACTTTTAAGTTCAAAGACGGGGTGTCATTCAACTTTAAGGGCAGCATTTGCTCTAGTGTCAACTCAAAGGCCCTCAATACGTTAATGAAACTAGTGCAGTATTTCTGAAGAGAGTTAGGACCTGCAGGTCTGCAGTAATATCGTGTGTCCAGAAGAGGGCGAGGCAGAGCTGTTGAGCTGGAAAAGATGCAGGATTTCTCTAGAAGTCCTGCGAGAGGTCCTTCTGAGAGAGAAGTCATTCAACTCAAGCCTTGAAAAGCTAGGAAATTACAGATGGCTCAAGGATGGCCAACTAATTCAAGGGGTCAAGGTTGATCTCTATCACCTCAAGAGGGTGGTAGATTCCAGAAATCTGACGGGTGCCTAATAAAGGTCTAATGCTGTATTCCCGCTGTTATCCTCTATATTTTACAACCAGGGAAACAGAAATGGAGGTTAAATAACATGTAAGCAGCAAAGCTGAGATCTGAGCTCAGTTGGGGCCAGGGCCCCAGGAGCAGAAAGAAGTAGAGCTAGGGGAGCAGAAATCTTCCTTTAGATCTCAGCTCCATTTCAGCTCTTCAGAGATCTCTCCCGATTCCTTCACTACACCAAGGCTCCCTCCTTGGTTCTCAAGCTCTTACGCCTCTCCTTCAGCACACTTATGACACGGAGACTTTACACACGTTTGTGTAACACCTGATCCTCCCACTATAACAGGGTGGAAAGGCTACTCCTGACAGGCAATTGTGCTACCAGGGCACAGTGGAGTAGTTGAGAGAGGCCTGTAAGGGCTGCTAATGCCAAAAAGATTGACTGGCACTTTAAAGTTTGCCGAACTCTAAACCTGGCTGTGATTTCCATTTTGGTAGGGACTAGATCTGTTTCCATTCACTATTGTAACCCCACCGCCTAATAGAATATTTGGCACAGAGTAAAATCAAGATGGCGGAGGAGTGAGTGGAAGTCACACTGACCTCCTCCCAGGACCAACCTGAAATTACAACTAAATTAGGGAGAAATCACCTGGAACAAACAACTGAACAATAGCGAGAAAGCCTTATAACCTCAGACAGACAGAAGAATCAGCTTTAGCACAAGCTAACTGGTAAGGAGTATGGTAGAGACTCGAGAAGGCAGGCGGGGTGCCCATGGGTGGCAGCACCAGAAGGATATTGAAACAGTCAGTTGGATCCCTCTGAGAAGAGCAAGGTCTAAACCATAGCCAGGGACCTCCAGCCTGCAGCACCGGAGCCCAAAAAGTACAAAGATAACAGCCAGCTGCGAAAAGCGGCAGGGTTGCTCTCTGCCAGAGACAGGCAGCTGTAGATGCAAAGAGCCTTTTAAAGGTCCAACAAATAAATTTTTAGTTGTGGCCACTTACCCTGGGCTCCAGCAAAGGAGGGAGCGGAGTGCGCTAGACACACTGGAGAAGAGACTGGGGATGGAGGCTTTGGGGAGAGAACAGAGAGAGTAGCCAGCGGGATCCTGGTGCTGACTCATTCCCCAAAGAGCAGCAGCATCTTGCTCAGGTGGAGACCACTCCCCTGAGCAGCAACAGTGTGAGAGGACCCAATAGCCCCGCCCCCCTGCAGATACTATGCCCCGCCCTGTGGTGTCTCTAAGCCAGCCTGCTGAGTGGAGCGTGACTAGATTAACAGCTGAAGGATACAGCTGCAGACAGTAGATTCCTGAAAGTCTTGAACAGACTGCCTAAGGTCAGACAGGGTCAACATCTCACATCATCTGAGGCAAATCCAGAAAGAAAAAAATAGCAGTCTCTTACCATAGAAGTTTACACCACAAAGTCAGGAAATCAAGACAGATCAATTTAAGAAGCAGAAGCAAAAAAGAAGAGTCTCACAATTAATGGGAAAACAAATACCCCCCACTCGAAGGGAAAGCAGGAATCCCCACAAAGACAACTAAATGAAATAGAGGCAAGTAAACTTGCCTCAGATATTGAGTTCAAAACAATGGTTCTAAGGAAGCTCAATGAACTCAGTGAGCTCAAAGAGAATTACAAAAAACTACAGGAAAACTATGAGGGACTTATTGCAAACTGTATCAGCATGAAAAAGGACATAGAAACGATCAATAAGAGACAAGAGGAAATGAAGAATACAATTTCTGAATTGAAGAATACAGTAGAAGGAATCAAAAGTAGGTTTGATGAAGTAGAGGATCAAATCAGCGAGCTGGAGAATAAGGTAGAAAAAAGCTCCCAGAAACAGCAAGAAAATGAAAAAAGACTCGAAAACAATGAAGAGACATTGAGGGAAATGCAGGACAACCTGAAATGCAATAATATCCATAAAATAGGGATACCAGAAGGAGGAGAAGAGGAGCAAGGGATAGAGAACCTGTTTGAAGAAGTAATGATGGAAAACTTCCCTTATTGGAGGAGACAAAAAGCCACACAAGTCCAGGAAGCACAGAGGGTCCCACTCAAGAGGAATCCAGTGAGGCCCACTCCAAGACAAATCATCATTAAAATAGCAAGTATCAAAGACAGAGAATCCTAAAGGGAAGCAAGGGAAAAAGAGGTAGTAACATATAAGGGAGCCCTGATACGGCTAGCAGCTGACTTCTCAACAGAAAAACTACAAGCCAGAAGGGAGTAGCAAGAAATATTCCAAGTAATGAAAAGCAAAGGCCTGCAACCAAGACTGCTCTACCCAGCAAGGCTCTCAATTAAAATGGAAGGCGAAATAAGGAGTTTCTCAGACAAAAGAAGCCTAAAAGACTACACCTCCACCAAACCAGCACTGCAAAAATGCTAAAGGGACTGTTTTAAGAAGATGAAGAAAAAGAGTTTATGAATACCCAGTTCCTTTCACAGTCACCAATACTTGATATTACCAATAGTTTTAATACTTATTAATCTGATTGTGACAATGATGTGTTTTTTTAATTGTTCATTACTTGTTGAAACTAAACCTGTTTTTGTATATTTCTTGCCTATTTCTATTATTTTTAAAAAGCTCTAAATGACTTTTTGGTATTCTTTATCCATTTTTTGATTAAATGTTTGTAGAATTTTTGCCCTAAAAAAAACTATTAACCCTTTTTTAGATGTGTTGCAAATACTTTTCTATTACTTGTCCTTTAACTTTTTTTATGTGTGTATTACTATACACATATAAATGTTTAATATATGTGTATAGTAATATTTTAATATAGTCATATTGTCAATATTTTACTTTATAGCTTTTGGGTTTGAATATGTTACTTCAGGGTAAGAAAAAATATTGTTTTGTATTTTCTCCTAAAATGCCCTAGATGCTCTTTTACATATTGATTTTTAACTCACCTGAATATTTTTTATATAATGTGTGAAAGAGGGCTCCATATTTGTTTTCTTTCAAGTAATGGTGGTCCATGCACCTTATTTGTTGAATAAGCCTTATTTTCCCCATTGATTTGAAATATCAATTTAAGATATCATTGTTAGATATATACTTTTTTCCCTAGAATGCTCATTTTATTTCATTGATCTACTTGATTATTTCTGTGCTAGGGTCATGTTGGTTTAATTGCTGAGACTTTATAATGGGTTTAAATTCTTAACATTTTATAATGGATCTTCCCATTTAAATAAAGAAAGAAAATCTGCATTATAAAAGAAAAAGAAAGATAAAAGGAATGCGTACCTTTTGCGACAACATGAATGGAACTAGAGAACATTATGCTAAGTGAAATAAGCCAGTTGGTGAAAGACAAATACCATATGATCTCACCAAAAAAACTCAACAAAATAAACTAGTGCCTCATGCCTCTGCTTGTTCTCATTCGGGTGGTCTTCCTTCATTTCCACACTGCAGTTCTCCATTTTCCACAGGTTATCAAGAAAAAGGGAATATGGTATCAGTTGTTCACTGGGCTTGGCTCTTCAACAGAGCCTGTTTAAGTTTGTTCCAACACAAAGATCCCATCAGACTTCAGACAAAAATGGAAGCTTTGCTCATGTGAAAATAGTGCAATTGACACTTAGAGATGATTTAGCTCTTAAAATTCTCCCTCATCTATGGAAGGTTGCTGGGGGTGGCTGGGCCTTGCAAAGAAAACTCAAAGTAAAACAAGGCCCACCAGAGGTCCATCATGCACTTATACATAATAAGTATCACCAGGCACTGGCAGAAACACCAAAATAGCTTTTTGGCTGACAAGAAGGAGCTTACCCACAAAATTCTTCAATGGCTCCCAAACCATTATTTCTTCTGCTGGTAATACCCTCAGATCACTGTGGGTTGTTTTTTTTTAACCAAATATTGAAATGTTTTTAATTCTATCATTTTTCCTCATTTTACTTTTATTATATTTCCTTTTACTTTCTCCAGCCCACCTTTATAATGACTTATCTAATGATGATGCTTTTTAAAATGAAACCTTAATAACCTCTAATAAACCCATACTCTTGATGACATTTTTTTCATTTCACAACTCCCCTCCCCTGCACTCTATTTTCCTTCCCTCTCTACCTCCGCTGTTCCCCCTTATAGAGGGATTCCACCCCTGGGACCTCGGGCTGTGCCTGTGCAAGGGCTCACCCCCATTTCTCACTGCAGCCCTAATCTGGACAGGGCTCTAACAAAGACATGGGAGCAGGAATTAAGGATGACGTTGCCATATTCCTCTGGACAGGCCTGGTTGCTGGTACAAGAGGCAATCGGCCCTGTTGTACAGAACGTATTAACATCTCAGAACCCCGGGGAGGCAACACTGGATTTTCAGAGAAGGCAATAGTTGGAGTTTTCAATGCTCAACTTACCCCGGGAAGAAAAGGTAAAATGATGTTCAGTATCTTCTGTTTATGAAAATGAGGAAATACGTAAGAGTTTCAAAAGACTGCTTTGGAACGTATTTGAAATAAGAGTTTTAACAAATCAAAGAAGTTGAGATTCAGTTATTCAGCAAACGCACTTAGGGAGAAGGGAGATGTGGCCAACGCCATTGCACTACCATGTGTGAGCCCACAAATGAGAAGCGCTGCGCAGGGGAATGTTTGTGGCATGATCGGGGTGGGTTACTGGGGATAACTACATTCTTTAGTAGGCACTCCTATTTGGGGTGGTGGCCTTTTGGATGTCACCAGCTACAGTAAAAGAACAGGAAGTTCTTTGTTATCCAAAGTTCTTGAGATGCTACTTACCAGGAAGGTCCACAGAGGATAGAAAACGCAACTCCTCAAGATTCCCTTCTAACCAAACACTGATATGCTCAATTTTTTCATCTCTTTCATGCAGCTTGTCTATTAGATTTTTTATTTCTTGCAAGATCTCTACACTATTGCGTGCAAATCCCTTTAAAGAAAACATTTTTGGGTGTGTAAATATAAATTGCAATAAAATTAAAAACATATTTTGTCCAGTGACTGTGTATACACAGCAAATTCACAAAGTTCTATAAAAAAGCTCAGAAAAGGGGATTAGCAAATGAGATTTAATAAGTTGCTAACTGAACTCAAAATTTTTTCAATGATTAATTTTTTATTGAGCTATACTGACATATAGCATTACATTGATTTCAGGTCTACAATATAATAATTCAATATTTGTATATACTGTGAAATGATTACCACAATAAATCTAGTTAACATCACCACCATATAGTACAGGATTTTTCTTATGATGAGGACTTTTAAGATCTACTCTCAATAACTCTCAAATATATACAATACATTATTATTAACTGCAGTCATCATTCTGTACATTATTCCCCGGTGATTCACGAAGTTTGTACTGTTTAACCTCTTCATCCATTTCACCTCCTGCACTTCCAAGACCCCCACCCCGACCCCAACCACAAATCTCCTGTTTGTACCTGTGAGTGAACTCAAATTTTTAACTGTTCACCCTCAGAGCAGCACAGAATTGAAGAGGAGATTTAGCATGACTTAAAGTTTAAGAGAAAGGACTTTGGAATCAGGCTGGATCTGAGTTTTAAATCCTGTAAGTTCACTGTTTGGTTGGTCTTGGGCAAGTTACTTAAAAGCTCTGAGTCTCAGTAGCGTCATCTGAAAAGGCATTACTAACATTTCCCTTGTCCGGTGTTTTAAGGGTTAAACAAGTATCATATTAAATGTTAAATACTTAGGAAGGGGCAGAGCCAGGATTTAAACTGCAGCCCACCTGCCTCTAAAGGGGGTGGCTCTGGGGTGGGCATGTTGCATGGCTGGTAAAACTCTGAGGATGGATGGAGAACAGAACTGATGACTTTGTCCTACAACAACACGTTCACATTGAGCTAGTAAAAAAAAATATATATATATATATACATATATACATATATATATATATATGACATGTCCACTTCAGTTGAAGTGGTGTAGAGGGAAGACAGTTTCCCAAAGGGTTAAGATTTCACAGTGACATTCGGCATAAAGGACACATTTTAGGATGGGGTGGTCACACTAGCTCTGTGACTCCCCAGTAATCCTGACTTCCTACTCTATGGATGCCCATGTGCCCACACACTTGTTAGGTAAGTAAATACTCTTAGAAATATGATTCTTACGGAGATAGCTCAGGAAACTCACCTTGACAGTAATCTGAAATTCAGCCCACAGATCCAAATATTGCGCTAAAATAAAGATTTTCAAAATGTTAAGGTTACTGAAACAATTTGAACATTTTTATAAAAGTAATGCTATTTTTGTTTTTCAAATACTGTTTTTATGTGAAAATTTCTAGTTCCAAAATGACAGAAGAACTAGACTGGACTTGTCCTCCCGCTGCAAACAAGCAGAAAACGGGACAGCATCAAGCACGTGAGTGGGTGGGTTTTCCAATGATTCCAGGCTGCAGCTGCTGATTTATGCCCAGGCATCTAGTTGCCCCAGCTGATGCCATGTGGAGCTGATCTGTGCTGTCTCCACCAAGCTCTGACCAAACTGGCAATTTGCGAGCAAGGTAAATGATATATAATATTTGTTATGCTGCAACAGAACCCTGGTTCAAGATGCTTCACAAAAGATGAAATACAAGTGGCCAGAAGCACATGAAAAGATGCTCAACATTAGTCATCAGGAAAATGCAAAGTAAAATCACAATGAAATATCATTACATACCTATTAAAATGGCTAAAATGTTAACAATTGTAAGTATTAAGTGTGGGTGAGGATGTGAAGTATCCCGTAGCCGGTGGGATGATAAATTTGTAGAACCACTTTGGCAAACTGGCAGTTCCTATAAAGTTAAACATACACTAACCATATAACCCAGCAATTCCACTCTTTGGTATTTACCCAAAAGAAATATAAACAATTATTCACAAAAATACTTATAAAAACACTTGTAAACAAACAGTAAGCGCCAACTGGAAATAATCCAAATGCCCTTCAGCTGGTGAATGGATAAAGACAATTATATCCATGTAGCAGGATACAGCTACAAAAAGGAGCAAGCCAATGATACCTGCAACAACATGGATGGATCTTAAAAAGAGTTTGCTAAGTGAAAGAAGCCAGGTACAAAAGTATTCCAGGCATATTCCATCATGCCATTTACATACAGTCCTTAGTGACAGAAAGCAGAGCAATGGTTTCCAAGAACTGGAGGTACGTGGGACACTACTCCAAAGGGACACCAGGGACATTTTTCAGGGATGAAAATGTTCTCTATCTTGTTTGTGATGGCAGGGGTTACAGTGGAATGCACATTTATCAAAAGTCCTTGAACTTAAGATGGGTGCATTTTCTTGTATGTGAATCAGTAAAACTTGATGTAAAATTGATTTAAACAAAAACTTTATTTTTTAAATGTAAAGATCACCCATGACACATTACTTACTGTGGTGAGCTATCAGGTGCCAAGACAGGTCACTTGAGACGTGCATGAGGGCTTCTTCTCCCTGAGAGTATTGCTCTATCTTGTTCTTCAAGTATGCAATATACTGGAAATCAAAGGCATGCAATAATTGCTTTAAGCAGTTTAGTTACTGTAGATTAGTTATCTATGCAGCCATCCAGCAAACGTTTACTGATTCCTCCTCTGAGCCACCAAGTGTTCCAGGCGCAAGGGTACCAGTGGTGAACAGAGCCCTTGTCAAGCTCACATTCTAGGGAGGGAGACAAAGGGTCCTACTTTCTAGCAAGCATTCCAGCATCCAAATACACAAAGATCTGAATACAATTTTACATAAAAAGCAATTAAAAGGTAGTCTGCTTAAATGCATCACGCGCACGCACAATGTTCCTCATACAAAACGTGTGTGCAGTGAACGTCACAGCAACGCTTCCTGACTGGAGGGGTTTCACATAAGGCCTTAGACTCTAGGTTTACTGAGTCAGAAGACCCCACAGGATCGCTCACTTGAGTCAAATGTTCCACCGGGTTGGGTGACAGTGGAAGACGTAGTTTGGATGCAAGTCATGGCTTTCTGTTCTGACTATCCCAGTACTCAGGAACTCTGAAGTGTCTGGGAACTTGGAAAGTATGGGTTTTGGGATACGGACTCGGCACTTGTCCAATTTCAAGAGAGAAGAAGAAGCTACTAGAAACTACTGATACAAATCTAAGAACTAGCATCCAGGACCATGGAAGGAGATGACAGATAACTGTTTTTAAGCACATGGTACAGGGCCTACTCGTGCAGCCTGGACCTTCGCATGGCATGTTGGCAGACATTATAGTAAGCCAAAGCTAAGCCCAAGTCATCCTTCCGGTCCCTCTTTGAATGCGAATCACTGTTTGTAGACTTGCCTAGTTCAACTAGCCTCCCAGAACTCTCAAATATGTTAACACACTGAATTTTAATTGTCTATTTATATGCCTTCTCCTCAGCCAGATGGTGAGCTTCCTAAGGGCTTGGGGCAGTGCCTCATTCCTCTCTGTGTTCAGGGCACCTGCCCCAGGGTTTGGGACTCAGTGGGTGCTTAGGGGGTTTATTGAGTGAAGGGATGTAACTAGCCAAACAGATAGTGAGTGAATAAGACAAAGGCGCAAGGTCATCCAGGGGATTAGTGGATTGGGCATTGTATCCAAAAGCAGAACTTTTAGAATGTCTTTCACATAGTCGTTCATTTGCTCATTCATTACCAAAATAGCAACAAAATTTCAATTATTTTAATAAAAAATACACATCATGTTGACGGGAAGACAATGTAGTGGAATATTTCCATGAGTAGATGGAATTCCTTATGAGTTTGTTTCAAGAGCTAGAAGAACAAAGATGTGTTGTGTGTGTGGGTTATCGATGACGGCTCCTGGGCTCCATGGAGCACTTTTCCTTTTCCAAAGTACATCAGAACATATTATGCCATTTTAATTCTTCCAAAATCACATGCTATTGGCTGGAAAACTGTTGCCATTGAAACAACTACCCAGAGAAGTAAAGGAATTTCCCCCTTAATTAGAGTCTTACTGCTGTAGGACTGTTTTATTTTTCCAAGTAAAAAATGTAGAGCCTCAGTTTCCTCATCTATAAAAGGGGCAGAATACATTATCCACATTATAAGGTTACTGTCATCATATAGGACTGAATCCCTCCTACATGTGAGGGATTGTGCAAAACACTTGGGATACACTGATATAGTTCCTGACCCCTTAGGGGTCATTATGGTTTACTGGGAAAAAAAAGATACAATCAATGCAAACCAGACAACCTAATTTTTAACATGGGCAAAAAAACAAGCCTGTCACAAAGAGGGTATATAAGTGACCAACAAGATATGAAAAGGTGCTTCATTAATCATCAGGAAAATGCAAATAAAAACCACAATGGAACATTACATACCCTCCATAATGGTTAAATTGAAAAAGACCAAGTTTTGGTGAGAATATGAAATAGCTGGTGTCCTCATCCATTACTGCTGGACTGTCAATTACTGCAACTCCTTTGGGAGATGGGCACTGTGCACAAAAATGGATGATATGCATCCCTATGGCTCTGTGACTCCACTTGTGTGTACACCCAACAGAGATATGCACATATGTTCACCAAAAAACATGGACTAGAATGTTCATAGCAACACTATTTGTAATAGCTCACATTAGAAATTCTCTAAATCCCCATCAACGGTAGAGGACATAAATAAAGTAGAGTGTAGTCATGCAATAGAAGACTACATAGAATTAAGAGTGAAGGAGCCTTAACTGCACTCAGCATAAGGATGAACCTCTCAAATATAGTGCTGCGCAAGAGAGTGTGTACTGTATCATTCCATACATATAACGACTGAAAACAGACAAAACTAGTCCACATTGATTGAAGTCAGTGTGGTGCTGCTCTTGCGGGGAGGTCGCGATGGGAAGGGACATAGAGGATCTCTGGATACCATATATGTTTTGTTTCTTGATCTGGGTGCTGATTACCCAGGTGTGTTCATTAAACTGTATACTTAACAATCTGGGCACTTTTCGGTACGTAACTTAGGCTTCATTTTAAAACTTGTAAGAGCTATTCTCTCATAACTATTCCAGGACTAGGCAATCAACCAAAACCATTGTGCAAATTGAAGTGCTCTTGAACTTACTTCTTTTAATCTTTTATTTTCCAAGAGCAGAGCTTCTGTTTTTAGGTCATATGCATAGATTTCATTTTCTAAGTTCTTCATTATTTCAACATGACTTTTGATTTTATGATTTTCTTGATCTCGTAGTTGTTTTAATTCCTGCTTCACTTTCTCCTGCTCAAGCATAAAAGCCACAGTTACCTCAGAGTTCAGTGTGCAGGGCACTGAGGTATTCGATTGCCTGGACCACATTCAGAGAGGAGTCCTAGTTAATTCCTGAGACATCAGCAGAGGCTATGGATACCTTCCCTTATAAATACCTTATATTAACTTCAAAAGCTGATTCGTGGGCATTTATGCATGGACTCTGGAAAGCACGTCCATGGACCCCAAGTTAAGCTGTTGAGACAACTTCACAAAATAAAATATATGTTGATATATGAACAATTGTCTGGCAAAAAGGGAAAGGTGGGGGAGAGTGGAATTTGTTGAGGACTTTCAGAGAGGATTTAATATTTCTTGAAGGAAAAGAATATTACTTTATGGATTTCTCTGAATTTTCCACTGCTTTCTTGACTGAATCTCTATAGTTACTACACTGTTATAAATCACATAATCTTTATTCATTATATAACCATCACTAGCAGCATCTTATTAAGAAAATAGAATTGTATATATAATAAACTTATTTTCCCCTTCATGTCTCTCAACACTCATAACATGTTAAAAGTTACTTTTGATATCAGTGTATCTCAAAGAATAGGATGTTTCCATTTTTAATTAAGCAACTCTGCATACATGTTTATCATTAACTATTAATTATAAATTTTACCAAGTTAGTAAACATCTCTAGACTTGCTCCCATTTCATCCACTCCCTCCCTAGCCTGAAACCTCTGACCACTTAACTTATCCTTGTCTTCACAGGAACTGACCAGTGAAACAGATCTGAAAAGAACCTTAGAAGCCATGATCCAATCTCTATCTTATGAATAAGGAATCCGAGGCTGCCAAGTGATTTTTCCAGGGTTACATGTTAGTTGCTTCTAGAATCTGTGTGTGTGTGTATACACACATATGCACATGTATGTGTATGTGTGTATGTATGTAAATATATGAATATGTTGTGACCAAAATTTTAAAAAGTGGTATTAAAAGAGTAAGTTTAATCAATGTGGATTTCCTAGAAACTCCAATGGTGCCAGGTAAGCATTACTGTCCCTACGTAGCAAGCATTCTAATAAAAGAAAGAAGAATGAATGCATTTACTCTTTACCATGTTGTTAAAGTATCGTGAAAAGTCTCTTGTCATTTGAGAAATGAGTTCATTCAGTAAATTCTGATCCTGCTTTTGTGCTGTAAAAAAGAGAGAGAGAAATAACTATCCACAATGTTCTTTGGTTAAAAAATAACAATCAAAATAAGACATGTACATGGTTTTAACAGTCAAATACTATGTCTTACAACAAAAACCAGCAGTCAGGTGCCCCCCACGCTGCCTCCTCCCATGTGTCTGACTCCTAAGAATCAACCATTTCAAACTCATTTTAGCTCTTTCTTGTTCTATTTTCTTTAAAAATGCTTATATGGCTCTTGATTTGTCATTTTAAGACACTTTCTATTTATTTCCTAATCTAGTAGAGGAGGATAGAGCATGGTTACCCCCACCCCCACCCACAATGTCTACATTTTCCTCCTCTAACCTCCCCATAAAGTTATGTTTTTTGTTTAACTGAACCTTAACTGTTTAGATCATTATGAGAATGTAAATATTATTCACTCATGAGACAAATGGCTAGTGTGATTGTATTCCCTTTCTTGTATAATTTTTTTGTTTTCTCAAGTTAAAACTTGCCTCACTTTATTTTTATTGGCTTGGTTTTCCATGTACATACCATAGTTCATATAAAACCCAGAACACAATTATTAAATCTCTGCATATGATTCCCCGCGTGGTCCGATGCTTTATAGGTGATTTATCAGTTCCAGTTCTCTGCCCCCACTGCCCTCTGTGCTTGGTTCCTTTTGGTCTGACACACAGCTGACCCCCTGGGCCTTCCCTTTGCATTGCTCTCACGTTGGACCTCCTGTTTCCTGACTCTTATATCCTCCTCTTTCTTGATTTATTCCCTCTATTTGCTGAAACAATTTTTTTTACTAGCTTTCCAGACAGAGTAAATGAGATATTTTGAGATCTTATATATCTAAATATGTCTCTATTCTATCCTTATACTTGGCTGATAATTTGGATGGGTATTTAAGGCTGGTAATCAATTTCTCTCAGAATTTGGAAGGCTATGTCCTCTGACCTGTAGTATAATTATTATAGTGAAGAAGACTGAAGCAATCTGATTCCTAATCTTTTGTGAGATCTCCTTTCTCTCTAGAAGCTTTTAGGGTACTCACTTTTTTTTTCTCCTGAAATCCCACTGTGATGTGGCTTAGTGTCTTATCTTGTATATATTGTACTGTGGATTTGATGGGCCCTTCCAAATATAAAATGCATATCTTCCAGTCTTGAGACATATTATTGTATTATCTTTGTTAATTTTATCCTTTTCACTTATTTCTGTTCTTTTTTTCTGGCCTTCCTGTTAGATATTTGACATCTCAGAATAGCCGATTTTTTTTATCCTTTTATCCTTTTCTTCATCTCATTATTTTGTTTTATATTTGGAGAGATTTCTTTAACTTTTCTAATAATCCCCCTATTGAGTTTTAAAAATTTTAATTACTATATTTTTCATTTCTAAGAGCTCTTTCTTGTTCTCTGTTCTTTCTGTTAAGCTCCTATTCTTTTTCATAAATGTAATAGGTTCTTTTATTTCTCTAAGAATATACCAGTAAAATATATTCTTTGTAATATATAGAGAGTAAATTCTCTAAGAATATGTTCTAATGTTCTTTGTGTTGTCTGTTTCCACCAAGTTCCATTCCATTTTTCTGTCTGCATTAGTTTGCCTTTCACGTTAGAGTTTTCCCTGAGATATCCAGTGACCTTTCTTGTCTAACCGTATTTAAGAGTAAGGCACTAGCCTTGGCCAGGTGGCTCAGTTGGTTGGAATATCATCCCACACACCAAAAAGGCTGCAGGTTTGATCCCTGGTCAGGGTGTGTACAGGAGGCAACGGATCAATGTTTCTCTCTGTCTTTCCCCTTCTCTCTCTCCTCACATATCCTTGGGTGAAGATTTGAAAAAAAGAGTGAGGCACTAAAAGATTTGGTTCCTGGCTGGGCTTCCCTACACAGTGATCAGGAAGGGATCAGCCATTTTTGTTGGGGGACCCTCAGCTATTAGAATCTGTGGGGCTTTTCTCTAAAACTTCAGTTTCCTTAGAGAAAAATCCAACCATCTCCTTCTTCAGGATGGGGGAAGGGAATGCAGAAGAGTCGTAACATGACTAGCTAGCAGCCTTCAGCAAGCTGAGAGTGGAAGGGCGTCTCAGATCAGCACCTGTCTCCTGCCTTCAGTCATGTCTGATATCCTGCCATTTCCAATCTTCTGGTCCAGTTTCTTTGCCAGCACTGGGGAGGGATAGCCACTGAGCTGCACAGAAGGCGGCATCTGACCTGGAGGTCTAACTGCTCGTTAGCAAGACTTTCAACCCATCTTCAGCCCCATGACTCATCTCGGTCTTCGCAGTATCAGGGTCTCCCAATGGCCAACCTTCCCAGGTCCTTGGGAGAGAACGTCTTGACTTCATGGTGGGCTTCTCTCCAGACCCCTGTTATTCTTAGTTCTCTTTCTACTAATCCTTCTATCCAATTACTCCTTCCAAAAATTCATTAGTGTTTATTATATGCTGATAACTTCTCTGCCAGTCTCTTTGTACTTGTGGGTTTACATGTTTTGTTTTGTTTTGTTTTGTTTTTTTTTTAAAAAAAAACCTTTTACTCATATTTTTGTGAAGTTCCATTAGGAAGCAAAAATAGATGCATGTGTTTTATACATCACATTTAATCAAAAGTCACCACATGGCGCTACGTGTCCTCAGCCCTGGTGTTTTATCCTCTGTCAACCTCTCCACTGGCAGGTGAAGTATATTTTCTACCCTCTGAAGCACAGATGTTTGATGGCCCCTTTCCTTCCTTTCTCCTGCCTTCCCTTTTTTCTCGACTTTCTTCTGTTTTTTCTCCTCTTTTCTTTAACCATAAGAGAATCAGTACTTGCAATATGCTGCTTGCTTTCATACTTACCGTGTTTCCTATACCCTCTGAAGAGTGCAATAAGGGGTCAGAGGAAATGTTGGAAGGTAGAAAATTCTGAATGGAAGACATATGTGTCATGAGTTAAAATACCAAGAAAACCCACCTGAGTTGGCTAAATGAAAACCTGACAAGCAGTGAAAAATCAGCAGAGGAATGGGAACGAGGCCACTTACCCAGGCACTTATTCTTACTGTAGCCTCATATTCCTAAAAGGCCACCTTCTTTGGCAATAACCAGTATTCACTTAAAATAATGGTTTATTTCACATCTGAACATATTGGGCTTCCATATGACTGTCCTGTTTTGACAGACTGTCTTAATGCCTGTCCCCCTATTCATCTTTGCCAGCAAGCCATTCCCACCCTACGTTTTTTGTTCCCATTCCAGTCCTTTCTGTAGCTTTGGTCCTGGCCTTTCAATTCCCATGGCACTTCTGCAATCATCTAGAAGGCAGAAATTCTGGAAGTTGTTCTGCTTAACAACCTCTAGGGACTCCTTGGATAATGATCCTCTACTCCCCAGAGCAAGACAAGACTCACACCTCTAAGGATAATTCTGGATCTGTGAACTTTTGGGTTCAGGGTTAGGTGACCACGTCCAATTATTGTGGAGAAAGTGATTTTTATATTAAACACGGTAATGCCGTGTCATAGAATGCAAAGTGTGCATGCTTTCAGACACATTTCATTCTCTACAAAGTTCTCAGATCTGACACAAGTTCTTATCTATCTCTGCCTCAGCGTTAGGTTAGTGAAAAAAATCTGAGTGGTACCTACTTACTAAGTGGTTAAAGTCATAGGTGGAAACAATATAACTTGCAAATTCATCTTAAGAAACAGAAAAGAATCTCCACATGGCAGTAGATAAAGAAGTTGATTCTACCTTTACGAAGCACAGAGAGAAACCACACAATATAGTTGCCACTAATTCTTAATTTTAAAGTCTTTGAAAGAGAAAATGAAAAATTTGACAACAGCAACAGTAGGATTTTGTGATGTGGAGGAGAGGAAATCCGTAGATAAGGAAAAAAAAAACCCTAGAGAATAAAGAGTAATGGGAAAAGTTGGAAGAATTTCACCCTTACTTTGATGGGTGACCCACCTCACTTCCTGTTAGAAGACAACAGAGAAATCCTTACCTGGCCTTGAGGTCAATTACTAAGTGCTTCATATGTACCTGTGATAATATTATTGAGCTCTTCAAACTTTTTGATTTTGCTCTTATATTCTTCTTCTGCCACTTGAAGTTGGGGAAGGCACTCAACTAGTTCATCTTCCTTTATTTTGGTAGTTTCTGTTTCCTTTACAAATTTTTGCTTTAAAGAAAGTAAAGCTGATTGTGAGGTATGATTTTGGAGAACTGACATAACACTCTAAAGTAGAATATAAATTCTTTGGCTGGGAGAGTTCTCTCTTGGTCTGCTCCTATCCTGAAATGTATAGCAAGGTATCTGGCACATACTAGTGTTTGAAAAATCTACTGCCTGACTCACTGACTCTCTGGCAATTTATAAACTAGGGAGATTAGATCCAATGGCTTTCCAAAGATCCTTTCAGTTCTATAGCTCTATTGCTATAATTATTCTATTAAGGCTACCTTGTATTTACCTCAATATCATTTGAGGAGTTTCTCTTGGTTGATCACATTTTATGGGGGAAGAAACCAAAACAGGTAGCTGGACAGAATATACAGAAGTTCTAAGAAATGTGCATGTAAGTAAGAAACAGAAAGGCTGTATCAATAATTGGATAAAAATCTACAACAAATGGGTAAAAGTGCTGAAGCAAAACATGAATTTGCCTGCTTAATTACTCAAACTCAGGTTGTATTTAGTTTCAGACAGAGTAACACTTGGGCCTTTTTTAGAAAGTCAGGATGGGTTTAAGATGGTGACAAAGGCAGAGACAACGAGCTGACATTTACTATCCATGCTCTGTCCTTGGATGTCAGGACTCCAGAGTTTCAGCAAAACATACAGCTGCCAGCTGGAGTGATTTCTGTTTCCTGTGCAGGTGGAGGTGACCAACAAGTTTGTGAGCCCATGTGGTTTGTGCCACTTCTGGGCCTTGTCCCTGCAACAAGAAGGGGCACGTGCTCCCTTGGCCCTTCCCTCCTTCCCCTGGCTGGAGACCATGAGAACAGAAGCCGCCACTTGGCCGCACAGGTGTCGGCCTCATGCTGAGCACGGAACAGCTGCCCTTCCCGCCCTGGATTGCTTCCCTTTGGCCCACACCGAGAATGAAATAAATGTCTTTCTTGCTGTAATGACCACACCAGTGCGTCTTCTCAACTAGATATGCAGATGCTTAATATTTGAATAGACCATACTTAACCCAGTTTACTCTTAACAACTTTTTTATCCAAGTTGTTATGGCACAGAATTTGAAGAAATCCCCAAGTGCCAAGCATGCTTCCCCAGCAGGAGGGGCCCTAAAACATGGCCGACTGGAGGCCAGTGTCCTTGGACCTCACCAAAGTGATAACTCAGATGAAAAAGAACCACACAGGTGGGTGTGTTAGCCCCGTGTTCAAACAGGACCCAGCATCTCCTGGGCATACCTTCTAGGTCCCCGCAAGGGACATGCCCACTGAAAAGAGGCACCAAACCCGGAAAAGCCCATGTCATAGTTTCCCACCAGTTTTTCTCCCAGTCAAGATGCAGCATACCAATCAGGTTGTTCCACACAAATGATGCTACCCGATAAGACCACCGACATTCCACCTCTATCAGGCTACTAGGGCAAGAAGCCAACAAGACAAGGTCAGTTTCCCAGTAAAGGAAAGAGGCTTGCCAACCCTTTAGGACACACCTTGCCTGTGTCCACTGTATTTGACACCTCTCTGATGCAACAGCTTGCTCACACCCTGATGAATACAGTGATACACCGGCCTGATATGCCCCTTTCCAAATTGCCATTATAATCCTTATAAGTAAAATATAGAAAGAAAAACACACTTGAAATACCATAATATCACAGTGCAGAATCAGGAGAAAATTTCTCACACTGCAGCGCTAAAAAACACAATATCTACATTATGTTCTCTACAAATGCATAGCCTTGTGGGGATACGGAGGCGTGGGACGGCATTAATTCATCCCCATTGTCTGCCCTCTTCCCCCCTCGCTGCTCACGCCACGCTTCCCCATCATTCCTCCAACAGGTTAGTCCTGCCTCAGAATCTTCATGCTTTACAGGCGCGCTGCGGGGAGCCAGCTTCTGCAGATTTCTCCGGGGCCTGCTCCCTCCCATCCTGCAGGGCTGTAGCCTTCGCTGACCACCCTGTTCGAAATGGCACATACACCGCATCACACAGATGTCCCCGCTTTCTTTTTTCTCTGCAGCAGTGGTCCCCAACCTTTAGGCACCAGGGACTGGTTTTTCCAGGAACGGTACGGGGTGGGACGGCGGACAGGAGGCGGAGCTGGGGGTTAGGAGGCGGAGCTTGGGTGAGCCTCACTTGCCGGCAGCCTCCGGTTGCAGGCCGGGTTCAGGGGGTAGGAGGGGTGGACGGAGAAAGGAGGTGGAGCTCAGGCGACCTTCCCTCCCTGCCAGGTTTGTCACAGGCCTCTGACCAGTACCTGTCTGCGGCCCAGGGGTGGGGCGGCCTCTGCTCTATAGCGTGCACCACCATCAAACAGACTACACATTCTATTTGTTCGCCTTGTTTATTTTTAATCCCCCCACCCCTACCTCCGGGGATGTAAGCTCCATAAAGGCCAAGCTCTACTTTTTTTTTGTCTCTTTTTCTTTTAGCATCTGAAAGAATTCATGGCACCCAGACAAGGTATAACCAACAGAGAAATGCTCCCCACCCCAACTGCTCTCCACTCTGTTTCTTCTAATTTTGTACCAGTTCGTGCTTTGATTTTTTTTCTTTATCTGTTCCCTGAGTTGTGCCTGTTTCCGTTTTCCCCCTTCCTCGTCCGGGTCTCCCCCTTCTGCCTGTACTCCCATGTTGCTGATTTTCCTGGGCACCTCTACGAAATTATACATATATTTTTTAATTCACAAAAGAACATTTGATCACAGTTTTCATCTGTTTTAGCATCATTTTTGTGAGTGCTCTGCATTTGTTGAAAAGGTTTGCTCCATCTTTCATTTGTTTTTCTCATAGCATTTTTGTGTGGAAGACATGCCTGCTTCCTTCTTGTTATTCATTTCAGAGAGAAGTGGCCTTTTTCTGCAGAGGGTTCCTGGAAGATGTGACAGGCAGTGCATGTGGGAGGGCGGGCAGGGAGGAGTGGGCTTGGACCAGGGTAAAATCTAAACTTTGAAATACAAGGACTCCCTACTCTATGGTTACAGCAAAGGACAGTTACCTTCAGATAAAGACCCTGTTTGGTATAGCCAGGCAGCTTTTCCTCCTTCACACACAATCAAGTTCATGAAGGCTTCTCCCACCATCTCTTCCGTCCTCAGCTTCTCTAGCAAGGGTGCTCTCCAAGAAACACAGCCTTGCCTCTGACGCTCACACCATCTGTTTTCTGCTCTTTCCAGACACCTGCCCTCTCTGGGCCCCCGGGGGTACTTTTGGTGGCTGCCGGCCCACCTGCCGCAGCGCCCATGCCCTATGCCACCCCCAGTCAGTTCTCAGGTCAGTGCAAAAATATTTCTTGTTGCTCTATTTCCTTTTTTGGGAAAGAAGAAAGTTTCAGAGTGAAATTGGAACCTTGGTCCTACAAAAAGATTTATTCTACATTTAACTAATTAGAAGAGCATGAAGTATACCATTCTCCCCTGCAAAGAGCCATCTAAAATTATTCTCAGATGCAAAATAAAATTTACCTCATATTTGGTCAACTCTTTAATTAACTTTTTTTCTTTGATGATGAATTCCGCCTCCTCTTGCTTTAATTCTAAGGTAATTGTTTCAATCTGTGCCAAATATTCAGCGATCTCTTTTTCTCTAAAACTGGTCTAATTGGAAAAAAAAAATAGAGGATTTGTCATTTGCCTTGTAACACTCATCCTTATATTTTCAAACAGCCAGGTAAGTGAATACCCCTTTGTATTAGATTGGGCTCTGATTTCAGGTTGTTATTTCTCAAAACCACTGAGAAGTTTTATTTATTGATTTATTTGTTTATTCCCTTCAGGGATTACTGTCTTCACCAAACAATACGTATAAATGACATGAGGAGATGGAGAACGGGGGTAGCGGACGCTGGAGGGTGGGAGAGGGTAAATATGGAAACTAAAATTATGTTTGGTCTCTATTTTTAGAGATAAATTCCTGAAAAACTATCAAGTTTCTCATTACAGGCTTCAAAAACATATTCTGGAGAGAATTACTACTTTGATTGCTAAATTCCTACAGTTGATACCCAGCAAATGCATACACTTTGTAGGAAAGTTACATAATTCACCTTAAACATGAAGTCAGCAGAAAGAAAAATACCCTTCAGTTAAATTAAATATTGAAGGAGAATCACTGATATGCAATACAGGGGACTAATACTAGATCTGTTGAGTTCCCTTACCTCTTGTAATAATTGACAGCGCCTAGATTCTGTGGCCTCAATTTTATTGATAAGTATTTGCAATTCAGCATTTATCCTGAAACGCCAAAGTCTATGTTTTTTTCTCAAACAAGCTATTTTCCACTGAATTATGATACTAGAGAATAGAACAAAAATAATCATTATTAAATCGGCATAACACTCTATTGAAAAGATGAAAGGATGCAAAACAAAACAGGTTCTACTAGGATTACACAAAATTGTTTGTGCTGTTGGAGATGCAGATTGCACATTCCCTGAAAAAATAGGACAAAACACTGACTGCCTCAATGCCGGATGTGCATGTTGCTTCCAAGTAAGAAGCTATGTCAGTGCAAACAACAGGACAGCGGACAAGCCACGCTTGGCAGCCTGCCTCCTATAGGAAAAGGATAGAAATGGGGAAGGTTCAGGGGCAGGTGGAAAAAGAAGAGGCCCAGGCAGAATTAGTCATGGAATTACCTAAATTACCCAATGTGCTAATAAGAGATTTCAAGCTTCTAGGTTCTCAAATTTTTCTCTCCCCCACAACATAGAAAAGTTACATAACTAGGGGTGAAAATGTGCAGGTCAAGTCTTTAAAAAAACATATGACTACCAATGACAACAACAATAATAAAATAGAGCCAAGTTTTCCCAAGTGCTTCCTAGGTGCTGGGAATATTTACATGGATCCTCTCATTTACCATTCATGGCAACTTTACAAGGCAGGTGCTACTCTCATTCCCTACCTTGTAGGGATAGGAGCAGAGATTGTTAATTAACTGAGGTCACAGAGCTAGTTAGAGGCAGAGCAACCAAAGTCCATCTGCACAGGCTGTGCTCTTAACCATTCTCCCTGGTCCCTGCACATCACCTGCCCTACTGTGCACGCAGGAGCCTGGGTGAATGAGAGGCATGATGCAAATCCTGGCATTTGTACTCTTTCATGATTTCACTCTGTTCAAATGGAAAACTTTGGTTCTGTTCAGTGCCAAGAAAAGAAAATCAGACTAACACATACATCTAAATCTGAGAAAACTCACACATTTTAACTTAGGGAAATCAGTTCCCTGGACTCTAGCAACCAACGAGCACTCTGATTTCCTCCCTGTGTCAGGGCACTGCTCATTCAGGTAGCACACACTCATTGTAACACAAGGAACTTGTTTTCTTTACCATCTCTGACGTTCTCTTTCCAGGTTATCATTCAGGACTCTTATTTGTTTCCGATAGACTTCTTTTGTTGCTCTGAAAACAAGGGAAAATATATTGGACTTGGAATTTGTGGGAGCTGTTAGACTACATAAAACTTCCTGTATAATTCTTATGTGCAATAAGGTTATTGCCTAATTGGGAGACAAGACAAACCTTGTGAGACAATTTAATGGCAGACTAATAGAAAGACAATTACAATTCTATGCAAACATGAACTGATTGTGCAAGTATTGAGGTGGATTTCCAAGGACAGAGCACAGATTTTGGGGAGGCAGTAGGGGAAAGGTTATTGGAAGTTAATGTTCAATAGGAGGAGGAACATGGGTTGCCAGAGTGGAGGTGCAATCTCACCAAAGAAAGGACGTCATCATTTGCAAAGAAACGGGAAAGGAACAGCAAGTCAGGACTCTTGGGACCAAGGCAGGCTCGCTGCATACAGAGGACATGACTGGAAATAACACTCCCTGATATATAAGGGGTTAGAGTCAACAAACTGGTGAGGAGCTCTGTCTTCCCGAGTGAGTTATAATTTGATACAATGTTTAATTCAGAAAGTTAATAGAAATTCTTGAACTAAGAGTAAAGAGTAATTAAGGATGAAAGATTTTCTGGTGAATCTAAAATGGATGAAATCGTGAAGACTCTAACATAGATATTAGAAGCTTTTATTATTGCTGTTCGCTCTTTTTCATATTATGTGCTTCATGCACAGAGAGGAATTGAAGACCACATAAGTAAAATGTGACTTTGTATCTTTATAAAAGATATTTGTAAATGTAACTTAGAGTATGAAATGCTGTTAAATAAACTTGAAATACACACTGTGCTTATGTTCTTTTTTTTTCCATTGTATTTGAAACCATTGTATGGCTCTCACATTCTTACCTAAATAAACCTAATATCCTCCCCTGCAACTATGGGGTTCTTCACAATTTGCCCCAAAGTTTTTGATTTTATATATTTACATTTTTAATTTCATCCACAAAGGAGCTCACTGGTTTTAAATAAAGCAACAGTAATATTAAAAATCCTAAATGGATACCAATATTGGGCCACAAATTTGGCTCTCAGCTTCCTGGCAACCAGAGTAATGATGACACAATAATTGATTATAAATTTGCATTATTCATGAGGACAAGAAAGCACCAATCAACCCAGTTCTATTTTCTTGCTCTTCATAGATAAGAGTTGATAGTTTCCTTTCTGTGGCTCACATGATTAGAAATGGATGTCTAAATTTATTTATGGACAAGCTACACTACACTTCCTGCCTTGGTCTACATTTCTGTTGGTATATGTCAAATTTTCATCCCCACCCATCTTAGTTTTCTATAAATTGGTCTCTTCAGTGTCCTATACTCAAATTTCTTATATCTTTATGTGTGGTGATACTATTCCCCCATTTGATAAGCAAAGAAAAAGATCTGACTTGCTTTTAAAAGTATATTAAAGTTTAAATCTTTATACAGCAAAGAAGAATTTCTTTACTTTCTTTCATCCTTCTGTTTTTTAAAAAATAATTCACACTATTCTTTAGTCACACACAATCCGTTAGTTCATATATATCTTAGTCTTGATCACTGCCCAACTAAAGTATAAGTGGCTTTACGCACAGTGTTAATGAGAGTGTAAAATGGTAGAATATTTACAGAGGGTGTTTTGATAGTAATTATAAAAATAAATACACAGCTCTCTTTGATCAAGTAATTAAAGTTTTAGGACTCTATTATAAAGAAATAGTCACACAGATGGACAGAGATATGTTAACGTTAACTTTGAAAATCATTTATAATATAGGAACAAAAAAGAAACAAATGTCCATAAATAATAGAGTACAGGTCAAATAAAATACAGTGTAATCTGCAAAAGGAAAACAATGCAGCTAGAAAAAAGAATGAGGAGAGAAGTCGTGTGTATATGACTTTTATCTTTCTTTTGAAACAGCTTCAAACTCAACAGGTAAGTGTAAAATCAGTACAAAGAATTGCCATATACCTTCTATCAACTTCTCCAAATGATGCCATTTTACCATGTTTTATCATTCGCTTAGAAATAATTTTTTCCAGTTTATACTATTGACATATAACATAGTGTATGTCATCCAAATATAATTTTAAGTAGAAAAATCCAATTACAAAAGAGTACAATCCAAGTTCCGGATATATAAATAAATACATATATACATATATATTATATACATACATAAATATAAATACATATATATTAGAAAGCATGTATAGCATACTGTTAACAGTAATTATCTCTGTGGAGAGAGTAGGTAACTTTTACTAAGTTACATATTGCAACATTCTAATTTTAAAATCAGATATAGGCTTTATTTCTCTAATTTGAAAAATTAAAAGAGAAATTAAAGTGATTTAGATGGTAGAAATGAATGTCATAGGGTGTCAGTATTGTAATAATGTTTGGGCACATTCTTGTCTCTTGTGCCCTAACTCATCCAACCTCATGCCTAGCAACTTGTATAGTACTCAGACTCATCTATCCTTTCAATGAAAGAGTCTATGACAATGACTTTCTGGGACTGTAAAGCAAATAGAACTCATTATAAACCTCATTTTCTTAGTATATTAGACATTGACACAGATTTGTTGTTACTATTTATTAAAAATAAATGAAGAGAAGAATGAAGATTAAAAATTTCAAAGGCAACAAACGTACTGAAGAAGGTCAGTGAGTGTGATGAGTCCTTCTTCCATATTTTTGATGTCTACTTTTCTTTGTGATAGGAAGTTTTCTTTCTGAGCAATAAATGTCAGTTGTCTGTGATTCCTACCATGAAAAGAAAACAGAGCTATTATATATTAAAGGTTTAAATGATATTTTTAACTCCTCAGCATGAGAAAATATGCCATCACAAATAAACATCTCAAAAGTAGTTTGAAAAATTTAGTTCGTGAACTATTTACCCAATGAATCAGGAAAAATAGAAACAAAGTCTTTCTGCTTGTGGTGGCTAAATCTATGAAAGTCCCCACATTAACCACAATAGTAATCATAAAACAGTAACAAAAGCTCTACAGGACTTTAACCCTCTGAGTGGGTGTCCCTCTCCCCCTACATTTATCAATTCTGTCATGTTCTTTCGTGAAAGGTAAAGGAGTCAATTGGACCAATTTTGAATACTGGCTCTACCTCTTCCCCAGAATGTGACTTTGAAAAGAAACTTTACTTATTAATGAGCCTCTGTTTCCCCATCCATAAAATGGGGATTACAATGCCTATCTCACTGGAAATAATGGTTAAATGAGATGAAAGCATTTAAAAAAACGTGGTTACTTTTTTTTTGTCTCTAAATTGAAGAAAGAATGATAGGAAGATTATGGTTTTGTTCACACTCCCAGACATTGATAGGAACATGGCTGTAACAGAAAATACTTTATCTAAGTGTCCTGTCTTCAAAACCACTGTGGACTAAGTTGTGTCCTCCACAAATTCACATGTTGAGGCACCAATGACCACTGTGGAGGTATTTGAAGAGGGGGCCTTTGGGAGGGAATGAGGGTTAGATAAGGCATGAAGGTGGGCCCCTCATGAAAAGATGAGTGTCCCCATAAGGAGAGACACCAGTGTGCTTGCTCGCTCGCTCTCTCTGTGCGAGGACACAATGAGAAAGTGGTCATCTGCAAGTCAGGGAGGGAGCCCTGGCCAGAATCTGGCTATGCTGGCATGCTGATCTGGGATATCTGGGCTCCAGACTGGTGAGAATAAGCTTCTGTTGTCTCAACCACCCACTTGAGGCTATCTAGTCATGAAAGCCCAAGCTGAAGAAGACAAAAACCAATAATGGTGGTAAAAGTTCCAGTGTGACAATTATTTGTCACCAGTTCTTTTTATGTTTCAAACAGGTAATTTAGTATTGATCTGAGGGAAGTTTTTGCCTGAAGAATATTAACAGTATTATCCTCAGTAGGCTGTTGAACTGGATGAGAAAAAATGATTGCAACAACCTTTGCAGCTTAAGTGCAACAGCAACTCAGCTTTACAACAAATGGGCTTGGACATTGTAGTTACACTTCTCCCAGATGTTATTCTGTAGAATTCATTAAGAAGATAATGCTGAATGTCCACAACCTGCTAAGCAATATACAAGATCTTGGGGATCTTGTGCTGAGTTGAGTCAGAGCAACTGCCCTGATCTGTTTGAAGCTCGCAAGGACAAAGGGATTTGTACCCAGTTGATTACAATGTGGCATCTGAAGAAAAGGAACGCGTTAGAGGGATGTTCCATAAGGGTCATTCTGCTGGAAGGGAGGAAGATGAGATAAAGTGGGAAGAACTTTTCAGCGGAAAGCGCAACCAAAGAGGCTGAAAGAGGTGAAAAGTATGAAGTTGGAAAGGAGGATAGGACATGTTTGAGAAATATTTGGGAGGTGGAATTGACAGGCATGGTGCTTAAATGGAGTGCAATGAGTAGTAAAAGTTAGGGTTTTCCTTGAAAATTTCCCAGTCTCTGGGTCAGAGGACTGTGTCAGGGACCACACCCTCCTCTGAGACAGGGAATACAGGTGCAGAGTCAGTTTCCGATGAGGGTAGATCTCACAGTTTCTCTAGATGCCTTCCAGGTAAAAGCATGATTATTCTTTCAGGAGTATGATTTAGAAGTAAAAATAATGCATTTGCTGTTTATGAATTCAATCTGACCCATATGAGGGAAGTATTGGTATTACAGAGACAGACTAGGAGTTGTTTATTTATTATTAGCTAACAAATATTGTATCATTGTCAATAGATTTTAAAACGAGGATAAGCTTAAGTGGAGAGTTACCACTTTGACAGCAATGAAAGCTCCCCATAACTATGGCACATTGATTCATATATGGATCATGAATAGAAACATACTCATCATGCATTTTCTTTTTCTGCATTAAAACTTGATCCTCCTCCTGTATGACAATCTTATATTGTCTGGTAAGAGTAGTCAATTTCTCTTGTAGATCTTTGTTCTCTAAACGAATTCTGTGTATTTTTTCAGCCATCTAGGAAAAAAAAGTAATGAAAGTAGAGGACTTGCTTCACAGTTCCTTTGAGGGGAGTCAGGGTCAGGTGGGCAACTCCCTCAAGCATGAAGCACATTGCTTAGCACGTAATTACCATGCAACAAAGGTTGAGTGTTTTATTTATATATCAAATATGCAATCATTTTGGGACCTCTTCAATGAAGTATGACAAAAGTGTAGGAAGGTAGGAAACACTGACGCAAAACCATAGAGTAATAATTAATATTTAAATAAAATTGAGATTCATAAATTGAGATCATTCAGCTTATGATATAGGTCTTTTTTTCTAGAAGATAAACTGCACTGGGGAAGTAAAGTGTAACATCACCAGAAGCTCTTGCTCACAACCCCTTTGACTGGATATTATACTTGCTTCTTTTTAAATATTTCTATTCAAGGACAAAAAAAAAGAGTACTCATTAGTGTTCTGAAGGAGACAAGGAAAAACCTTCGTGTTTGGATGTCTCTACTGAATTGCATCAAATGCAGTGAAAAAGACAAACTGAGTACCAATGGTGGGTTCAATAATTTAAAATAACCTTCTGGCTGACAATCACTAAAACAATTAGGTGGAAAAAAATTTAACTGTTGAAGAACAAACAAGATGTTGAAGAAGGAACAAGATACTAAGGAACTACTAAGCCTACTTCTACAGGAAAGCAAGACTCCACAATGATACATCTAACACTGAAAAATCCTTTTACCCTAGGACATTTACAGATGGAAGAAACCACTTGAACACTGAGTTTTGGTTCTCATTCATGACAAGGGGGATGAAGGTCAATACTTAGAGCCCATCAAGGTGTTGAGTCTGATAATTCTCCCACTGTCTTAGTCTGGGATCCCAAAGAGCTTTACCCTCTGGTGAAGGATGGATTGGCAGCTAAGAAGCCATGGTCCATGATCACAAAGGAACCAAAAGGTGGGTTAAGGTAGTTTGGGACTGGTGTGCATGTGCATTTGTGTATCAATAAAATAAATTGGGTCATATTAAATGTACTGTTTTATATTTGTCACTCAATAATATATTATAAACTATGACATTTAATCAAGGCACTTCAGTTAAACTTTCAACTTTAATTGTATTTTCCCTCTGTTCAACTATCATAATACATGCTTCATTGATGCTTTGTGCAGAAATCTTAGTTTTCACCCATGATTAATTACTTAAAATATCATATTTGTTTTAACCTAAGTTTCAAATGTTAGAAAATTCTCCTGGGGGCGAAATTTGACTCAAGTGTTTTACTAACATTATTAAGTGCAGTATGGGTTCCTACACATCATAGCTACCACACAGCAGCAAGAAGCTCCTAATTTTTCTAATTAATTCACATGAACATTGTCCATTAGTCATGGATAGTCTTATTTTAAATTTTTTTCTTATTGATGTTCAATTACAGTTGTCCCCATTTTTTCCCCCATTACTCTCCTGCCCTACCCCCCCACCTCCCACAGTCAGCCCTCCCCCCACCCCATTGTCTTTGTCCATGGGTCCTTTATACATGTTCCTTGACTTGACTCTTCCCCTTCTTTCCCCTGTTATCCCCTCCTCCCATCCTCCAGTTACTGTTAGTTTGTTCTTTATTTCCATGTCTCTGGTTCTATTTTGCTCGTTTCATTTATTTTGTGGATTAGGGTCCACTTATAGATAAGATCACATGGGATTTCACCACCTGGCTTATTTCACTTAGCATAATGCTCTCCAGTTCCATCCATGCCCTTGCAAAGGGTAGGAGTTCCTTCTTCTTTCTGCTGTGTAGTATTCCTTTGTATAAATGCACCACCGTTTTTTGATTCAATCATTTACTGATGGACTTTTAGGTTGTTTCCAGCACTTGGCTATTATAAATAATGCTGCTATGAACATTGGCATACATGGGTTCTTTTGAATTGGTGTTTTAGGATTCTAAGGGTATAATCCCAGCAGTGGAATTGCTGAGTCAAAAGGCAGTTCCACTTTTAGTTTCTTGAGAAAATTCCATACTGTTTTCCATAGTGGCTTCAACAATCTGTATTCCCATCAACAGTGAAGTAGGGCTCCCTTTTCTCCACAACCTTGCCAGCACTTGTTGTTTGTTGATATATTAAAGATGGCTATGCTGACCAGTGTGAACTGGCAGTTCATTGTGTTTTTAAGTTGCATCTTTCTGATGGCTAGTGATGCTGAGCATCCTTTCATATGTCTCTGGGTCCTGTGTATGTCCTCCTTGGAGAAGTGTCTATTTAGGTCCTTTTCCCATTTTTTAATTGGATTGTTTGTCTTCCTGGTGTAGAGTCAGGTGATTTCTTTATATACTTTGGAGGTCAAACCCTCATCCAAGGTAACATTGGCAAATATATCTTCCCATGTGGTTGGTTCTGTTTTCATCTTGCTGATGTTTTCTTTAGCTGTAAAAATATGGACCACCTCACGAATTTGCATGTCATCCTTGCACAGGGGACATACTAATCTTCTCTGTGTTGTTCCAATTTTAGTATACGTGCTGCTGAAGCGAGTACAGTCATGGATAGTCTCAATGTAAAATAACCATACCCATGTGAAAAGTCATCAAGAAAATGATTCACCTTCACGTGGACTATCTTTGCTCTTTTATATACATAAAGAACTTTGGGATGAGTAAAATCTTTAAATCAATTACTGTGAATGATCACAATTATTATTAGTTCATAAAAATCTACGCCTCACATTTATTTAAAATATTAACCTAAAACAAAATCTAATTATAATCTAAAAATTATTTCTATTTTCTTACCTCCTTTATTTTCTGCAATAATTCATTTTTTTCATTATTAGATATATTATTCAGTTTATCCTTGTTCTTCTTAAAAAAATGACTAGAACAAAGGAAATAAAACAAATTCCTATTAAGACATTTTTTCAGCAAAGCCACATCGCCTTACAAACTTACTTATGTAGCCATTATAATAGAAAAAATATTTTATTTTTATGAATTGATTATTTATTATTTTATTCAATCATTTATAAGGAATTTTTGAACCCCTGCACTTTGCATGTGTTATAGGTACAAAAGCTACCACAGAGGCAGAGTACCTAGTCTCATAAAAATTGCATCCTAGTGGAGTAGTCAGAACAAAGCAAGGTATCAAAAAATAAACAAATAATATGTATCAGACAGTGTTAAGTGATGAAAGGACACAAAGTAGGGTAAAGGATAGAGAAAGCCAAAGAGCGAGGATGCTACTTTAGACAGGAAGGACCTCTTGGAATGAGTCATGAAAAATCTGAACAACGAGCAGGAGCCAGATATGTGAAGATCTGAAAGAACAGCTTTTCATGCAGAAGAAACAGCAGGTGATAACATCCCGAGGCAGGAACAAGCTTGGTGTATTTTCCAGAGAGACGGGTAAGAGAAGGCAGGAGAGGTAAACAGAGACTAGATCATATAAGGTCATGGGCACAAGGTAGAAGTTAAGATTTTATTCTGGAGGAGACCAGGGAAGGATTTTTACAGCAGAGGAGTGACATAAACTGATCTACGTCTTATAAAAGTGACTCTGGCTACTTAGTGGAGAAAGACAATAGTACAGAAAGACAACCGATATAGATGGCTATAGCAGTGATCCAGAAGAGATACTTGTAATGGTGGAGGTGGTGGTAAATAAGTGGGATATATTTTGAGATGAAGGCAACAGGACATGCCTTTGGATTTGGCTGGAGTCAGAGGAGGGTTAGGGCTAGGCAGCGACGAAAACAGGGAAGGGTAGATGAGGTCTACGTTTTTTGTTGTGTTAGCAAGGTGAAATGGTGATATGCAAGACTGAAGGAAGAGCTGTTTCAAGGAGGTGGGGAATTAAGAATTCTGTTTAGGATGTGTTCCAGTTGAGCTCTCTCATGGTGAGCCTCCAAATGCAGAGGTGAGCTGTAGAGTGGATGCATTTGGAGGTCAGGGCTGAATCTATAAATTTGGGAGTCATTGGGATACTGAAGGAATTCCAAATCATAAGTCAAAATAAAATCATGCATGGAGAATTATGAAAAGATCTGGGAACTCCAGAATTTTAGAGTCAGAAAGAATTGAAACAAGTAAAGAGTCCCAAGAAGGATCAGTGCAGTGAGTGAAATAAGAGGATGTGAGTTTGGCAAACCAAGTGAAGAAAGTATTTACAGAAGGTGAAAGTCATTATCTATGTCACATTCTGTTAACCATTCAAAAACTTTAAGGAATAGATCAGATCACTAAAGTCTGGCAGGATAGAAGTCATTGGTTACTGTGAAAATTTTAAAACCATTTCAGCACTTTTAAAAAACATCTATAATTTTCATAGTTTCCCATACTATAATGGCGTTTTATACTCTTAGTCACAAATTAGATGTCATTTCTATACAACATTTAGCTTCTAATCCCCTCCTTCTTGTGTGTTAAAAACCAATGGAATTGGCAAAGAAAGATCTTAGTAATTTAGAAAGGTAGGCACTAATTCACCTTTATTCTGCAAACACATCATGCAGAATATCAATATTAATAAAAAGCAAGGATTAAACTATCAATACCTCCCCTGGGCTTATAGACCACTGAGGTACTCTTAACTGTCTACATATAGAATTTAAAATCATGGTTGTGTGATTTTTATTTTCTACCATTATTTTGATCTCAAATAGGTAACAAGCTTTCAGGTTAAAGATTTCATACAGTGAAAATTAAGGCTTATAGATTAATAGGAGAATAGGTTGTGCAAATTACTTTAGTTTCTTGTATAATTTATCCTTAAAGAATCTAATAAAATAAAACTGTCTGATTCTTCAGATCTACCAAGCAAGAACTAGGCTACTTCTCCTTACCTCAATAGAGAGAGAAAATGAACTAAGTGGCAAAATAAAAAGAATGCAGAGAATTTTTAAAAATTTGCCAAGTAAAAAAGAGGAAAAAGTAAAGTTTTATTAATAAAAAACCTATATCCTCAATCACCAAATTAATCAAAAACATTTTTCCTCAGTGAGATTGCAATTGAATGAAAACTCCTGAAAAGCTGGGATTGAACAAAAAGATGAGCCATTATAAGTGAAAAATCTATGAATTCCCATTTTATTCTTGAACATATATTTCAAACAGTTAACATGAAGAATGTTTAGAAATGAAACCTCATCAGTGTAGCAAGAGTTTTAATTATAACTTTTAAGAAATAATTTGAGTTAATATAAATATTTTACTATTTTTGTTTGCCTAGATTCTCTTTAAAACATGTATGAATTAAAACTACTGAATCAGTTTCAATGGAAAAGATTTCTTATCCTGAGTTTGAATTGTAGTAATACTTGAGTTTTCCTAGTATCAATCTGGTACTGAGTGCAAAGGTTATGGCCAAAATATATGGTTCATCATTTATGGACCAATGATGATAACTATTATACTGTGCAAGTGCTGTTTTAGAAGACGTAACTTTAATCACAATGCATTCAAACCTGTGTATGTAGAAATGGGCCATGTTATAACAGGATTCCACATGTGAAGTTATTTGTCTTCTGCAGAATCTACTCGGTTTACAAGTTGTCCTTCACACTGTCAGGGAACCCTGGGTTAGGCCCAGAAGGCATATTTGTATTACAGGAGCCCATCTTCCTGTCCAGAGCTGAGCCAAACAGCTTTTGACTGAAAACTGGGGAATTTTCCTGGGAGAGTCGGCTTGCCAATCGCTAAATATGGATGAGTCTGGGATGGCCATGCCTAGCGATGGGCTCACCAGGAAGAGAACACTGAGTGTAGACAGGTAAGGATGAAACACTTTTGCAAAAGGAAGAGAGACTGTGGGCCTTGGGGTGGACTGGAAAATGTCCTTAAGTTTCTGGTTCCAGCCCCATGGGTAACAGGCTTTGTCCTGAGGCTTCCCTGTATTTTCTCAGTCTAGTCTGCAAGCCCCGTTTGTCTAAGAACAACCACAGCATGGGTAGGTGAGTTTGTAGCCTTGTGACAGGCCTCACTAATGTCTTCTGGGGGCATACTCGCTTGCAGGGAGTCAGGAACTGAAGTGGGGGTGATACGTTCCACTGAGTCCCTTCCTTTTCCTAAGCTGACAGCATCGTCCCCAACATTTTCTCTTGGTCACCTGAAAGACCGATTAATTTCAAAATAAAGAGGTGTTTCTATAAAGCATACATTACACAAATTTCAATAAATTAAAATCGTAATTTTCATCTAATAAAAACATGTTTAATGAAAGGAACAGAATATCTACAAATGCTTCCGTAAAAAAAGGTGTCATACTTACATTTTATCCTGCAGGATACTACAGGATTTCTTCGTTTCTTCAATCTGTTGTTCCCAATGTCTTACTGATTCTTGTAGTTGTGTTATCTCTAAATTATGGTCACTAAGAACCTATTAAATTTTTAAAAAATTATGGCATTCAATCATAGTCAAATAACTCATGACAGCATTTCAGTTGACTAAATATTCACGTATCACCCATTCAGCTTTTGCATTGGGAGTATCCTTTAGTTAAAAGAAAAGCAAACAACCCTTATAATTGTTTCTTCAAAGTCCAAACTTTGACAGAAATAATTCTGAAATCATCAGGAAAAAAAAAAAGAAAAAAATTTGGGAGGAGAGCAACCAAATAGAGCAGTAAGGATGTGAAAATTATAAAAACAACTTTTAAGACATGAATTCATTTTGACTACTTTTTAAAAAATAAACAAATCTATATTTTCACAATCATCTTCAAAACAAAATGTTCTTTCAGGATAGTAGAATGAGTATTATAAACAAGTAAAAAACATTGGGTCTTCTGCCTTAATTGATAGTGATTATTGTGCTGAAAAAAACGTTTCTTTCTCAATATTTAATCAGAAGCTTGAAAAGGAAACAATTGGATACTGTGAAAAAAATGTTAGCAGAATTTTAAAAAGGAAATACGGATAAGAATATTCATAGTGAAACGCATATTTTGACAATGCAGTTTTGGAATAAAGAAAAGGGAGGCAAATGTATCAGAGCCTTGGGTGCATTTTGGCTTGTGAGGGAGCACGGAGCTGATCCCATTCCTCGGCTGTCCAGCACAGAGGTCCTATGGACAGACTGTTGAATGCCATCTCACCCTGCATGCCAGTGTGGGTCACAGAAACACCTGTGGGCAGCTTAAAGGTGCTCTCATCATGCCAGGTGAGACAGGTGAGTGACCGCTCCCCTAAACTATTTCTTTCTCTAAAGTACCCATGTGACTGAATTTCTGGGCCATGACTAAGTGTAACAGGGGCCTGAAGTCCTAGAACTGCCATCAAAATCAGCAGAATGTCCAAAGGACTCTGACCAATCATCAGAATTAGTGACTCAATGCTGAAGGCCACCAGGCCTGACATCAGTTACCTCTCACCCTCAGTCCTTCCTGCTTTGGACATGGTAGGTCACCTGGAGAATCACACACTATGACTGTTTTCTGCCAACATGACATCATCTTGACCTGGCTGCAGAGTTTTCTAAACTAAAGGCACCACATGAAGATTAGTCTGAGACTCCCTATTGTCTCAGTCCACAGGCAAAATGTTGTTTTCTAATCTTGGGCATTAACAGCAACAAACCTTACCAAATACAAAGTGCTCAGCTAAAGCCGTACAATATGACCTCATTTGATCTCCAAAGAGCCACTTGAAATAGGCGATAGTGTTACCACATTTGATAGGTGAGAAAACTTAGGGCTGGCAGAGCCCAGGTATGTGACACTCAAATCTGTGCTTTAAACACGATTCTCCCCTAGGACGGTGGGGCGGGGGTGGGCAGGCTACGTTGGGAGAGAGGAAAAATGAGAAGTTTAAGCCTTGTTCAGTTTGGCCTCAGAGATCTTTGGAAGGCAGGTCAAGGCACATGTATTTCATTTTCCCAAGCTAGAACTGGGAGGGCATGTGGCTTGTAATTTATGAGGCCCAAACTGGAGCTGTGAACTTGGGCACGCAGACACGATGTGTTCTATCCCACCCCATGCCCTTTTCCTTGGAGCCCGACTCACACTTTCTTACCATGTTGACATTAAAAAAAGATAATGATAGCTTTAAGTGCATATATTTGAGGGGAAAATTTCATTTTACTAATGTTTCATAATCAGATATCATAACCAATATGTTATAAGTAAAATGATCAGAACCACACTATAAAAAGAATAATGGAATTAACTGAGCACTCTGATAAGAAGTGTAAAGTAATAGTATTACTGTTACTCCACATATAGTTTTACATGTAGTTCTCAATACCTACAGAAGAAATAAGGACTATTTCTACTAACTGTGATAGAAGATTAACAGGTATTTTTGTTTTAATTAATATAAAAGTGGTATTAACACTAAACTTTTCAATTATAGTCACTTCCATAAACTTAAGTCTTCTTAAATTTAAAATAAGGATGATCTCTGCAAAATATCTAATGCAGTACTTTTACTCAATTTTATAAATTTTTTTAAAAAAAGAGTTCTGAAGTATTTTCTAATTCAAATAAACACATAATCCCCTTTTCCATATTAATGTTCCTATTGTCAATATAAATGGAGAGCCTAAATTCTTTGTTATCATCGCACATCAGAACCAAGGAATATTTCCAAGGTTATTTATTTTGTTATGTAAAATAAAGTGATATCACAGAGATGTTATATATGGTTCTCTATGCATTTGGATGGATCTGTATGCATTTTTTAGAAGTTATTTTTACAGTATTTTGGCCCAGCAAGTGCAATTTGTTCGTAAAGCATGCCAAACCTCATTCTTCCCACCATGTTCCTGAAGAAGAAAACACAATTGCACTGTAACACTTTATCAGAAAATGACAAAATATCCTTCCAGAATAACAAGGGGGTAAAGTAAAATCAATTCCTTGTTTAAAACACTTGTTACCGGTTATATTAAAGGTAGTATGTATTGAGGTGCCTCGGTCCGACTTGAAAAACATAATTTATTCCTTCTTACCACTGTGGTGGTGGTAACTTTTTCTTTCATGTTTGCCTCTCTAAGCCTTAATTTATCCAATTCTTTCTTCTTTTGATGAGTGTCCCGTCTCTTAAGTTCAGAGAGGTTTTCATATTCAACCATCTGTAGTCATAAACATAAACCCACCAAAAAACTTATGAAAACAGCAAAGTTTAGGAAATCTTTTTTTATTTTGTCAAGCTAATTGATATGCAACCTAAGCATACCATAGTCAATCTCCATATATCAACAATAAAAAAATAACCAAACTAGGGTTTGCCTGTTTTATAGTGCCATAGGAAAAACAGTGAACCACAAGGACCAAACTGCGATGATAAAATATTGAAATAGTACATTTTTAAGAGCAATAAAACAATGATTATTAACAGCAAATTATAAAAGCAACAGCAAAATGAAGTATCAAGAAAAGGTAACTAACAGGGTAGTAAGGCCTAAGGAAACATATTTAACTCTGCAGTAAAGAGTCATGAAAACATATGTTTGGGTGGCTTTCCTTCGAAGCCACCAGCCAAGTCACCCAAAGTGGCTACTCTGAATGAATGTGAGCATGATCAATTATCTCTATACCAGGGCCCAGTTGAAGGAAACTTGATGATTAATAATTTTGCTGAAAATTAGAATTCCTTGTTTACACTTTGGCCTAAGCCTTCTCCAAAGGTCTTGCAACTATACATACAACATTAGCAAAAAGCATTTTGTTTTGTGTTAGGGGAGGTCTTAGAGGTTTGAAGATTCTCATACCTATCATTGTTTTTCTTCTTCTTCAGAAAGTAAAGGGAATTAACAGGCTGTTACCACAGCCTATCCTGTGCCTTCAGGGAAAATTGGTGGCTGCCTCCTTCACGTCCACTTCAGCTGGTCTGGCCCGCAGGCACAGGCCATTCCTTTTGGACCCATTTCTGTGACAGGGGCGGGTGGTGTCTTACCCTGAGCCGATGACATGGCAGGAAGACTTATGGTTCTTGGTTAGGAAAGATTTTCCTATTTTTACTTGAATAAAGCAGCACCGAGTCCTCTTGGTCACTGGCAGTCATCTTGCTACCAGCAAGATGAGGGAAACCAGCATGAAGAAGGACGGCGAGGAGGGAGGAGCCCCTGAATTAACTCCTCCAGGACTCTGGTCTGCACTGGGAATTCCTACTGTGTGAGACAGAACATGACCCTACTGTCCTATCCAGTTTGTATCAGGACATCTGCTATTTGCATGTGAAAGTACTCTACCTGGAGCCATTTTTCAGGGAAATCACCAGGGTAAACCAACTTCCTCCCGTAGACCAAATCCAGGCACCATCTTTTTTTGTAAAGCTGGCTCTTGTTTTTTTAGGTATTGTTTAGGGCTCCTTTCCTGCTAAAATGGTAGAGTTGAGCCACTTTAATATTTACATTAAGGAATAGGAAGGGGGGAACTTCCCTGTAGACGTTGAAATGAAGTTAGACACTCGTTCATTCAGTGAAGTAATATTATAGGGTGCCTCCCGCACGCCAGGTCCAGCCTGCACTGTTGGTAGTGCTGGGACACAGCAGCGAAAGAGACAGGCTGGATCCTGCCCTATGGAGCCTTCCTCTGCTGGCCAGAGCACAGATCTGATGCCATTGCCGAGGGGCCATTTAAGTCCCAGGGATGTAAAGAAAAGGACAGGGCTCCCCACTTCTCAATCCACCCCCCAATTTGGCTGAGCACCCCACCTTTGGCCCCAGTAACTTATGTGAGCTGCTCCAGCATGGGAGACGGGGGTGCTCAGGGACAACAGAATAGCACTTTCAGGAGAGGATTGTGTCAACATAAGAAACTTCCAAACTGTAAGACTTCTTTTGAGTTTATTTGAGCCACACTGATGCCAATTGCCAGGAAGCAAAACTTCAATGGATTGAGAGAATGATCCAGATAATGGCAGTTTTGCACCTTATTTTATGCATTACAGTCAGAAGAGAAGATGTAAGTAGGTTCCATGAAATCCATTGGTGGTAGATTAGGGAGGTGGGAGAAAGGAAGAGGAGGAAACCTCTGGGATTGGATAAAAGGAAAATGATGAACACCTACTTCCTCTGCATAGGTGAGGACAGGACAGGTAACAATCAAAAATTATCATGAGAACAATAACAATGAGGGGAATTTGTTGTCATCTTCTGGTGGGGTGCCTGAGCTTTGAGAGGGAGAGAAAAAGGAAATTTGACATTATAAAGATATGTTATCATAGATGCAAAAAGACAATAGACAGGCTCTATTAAGGTAAAGATAAGACTTTTGCCAGGGAAGATTCTAGCCTAGGACATGACTGCTGTCCATGGAAGTTCTTAATTCCCGGCCATTCTATGTGGTAACTTTAGATCTCTGAGTCTGTAAGGCCTTCATGCAGGCCTCCCCTGAGCTTGTCAGGTTGGTTTTATGGTCCCTTTTTGTCCACAGCTGGAAAGAGCAGGGTGATGCTAGTGCTGCTCAACATCCTTGTCAACATGGCATGAAAACAATAAAATGCCTTTTGGTCCTTGTTGTCCTAAAATTTCCATTTCCTTGTGATAACAATATATCCTAGTAAGGTTTTGCCCAGTGGCGGAAGCCCCTCACCATTTTTGAGACATGCATTGTTCGTGAGCGTATGTTGGCGATATAGTCTTTCCAATAAGTCAGTTAGGCAACTGCTTGGGTAGCTGCCTGCTGAGTAGGCCAGCACCAAGGAATAGACAAGAGTCACCCACAGTAACTATGCTATTCACTCAGTTTTTACTGAATGCAGGTTCACGCAAAGCAGAACATCAACATACATTAATATCTTACATACACTCTAACAATCTAAGAGAAATATCACACACACACACACACACACACACACACACACACACACAGGAATCACTGGGAAATAAAGAACCTGAGTCCCAGAGTCTCAGTCTGCAAGTCTGGGAGACAGCATGGTGGGCAAGGGAGTCATTACCGTCTTGCCAGGAAGGATCACCAGAACCAAGTGGACAGCAGAATAAAGTCCTCAGTCCAGCAGGATAGAGGTTCTGGTGGCAGGTGCTAAGGGAGATGAGCGTGGCATGTAGCAGCACTCTGGTGTGTGGAGCTCAGCTGCCTCAGTTATACCTTGAAAGTGGTGTACTCCACCCATCTGGGTCTCTTGATAAGTGTCTTGGCACCCTTGATGGAAAGTGTGAAATTTGCCCAGGAACCTGTCTATGGGTGGTCCCACTCTGCAGACATGGCTATTCTGATCACACGTGCACAGATATCTTGGGCATGTCTCCTTGCCAGATGTGTCATGTGTGACTCAGGTAGTTTCTCTCTTGAAACAAAGTGTCATCTTGACTGGCAGCCAACTTGGTTGACAGGAGTGACTCCATTTTGTTTTGTATACTTTAAGCTGTCTTGACTGGACCAATGCCACTTTATTGGTCCTGATATCCACAGGATTTCAGCTGATTCCTGCTCTGCAGTCCAGGCAAACAGCCAGCTTCAACCCCACTATGGTCCAGGGAGCTGGGCTTTTACAAATTCGGTTTAGTGGCCGCAGTTGGCCTGAGGGACAACTTGCCAGCTCCTTCACAAAGAGCCTGTTCTAAAGATGATGAAGGCTGAACTATTCATATTCAAGAAAAATAATCCATGTTTTTAGTGTAAAACTATTCCTGAAGACATAGGTCTAACTTTCAAGAACAAAGAAGCTTAGACTAGATTGGAATCAATCACAATAAGAACCAAATGTTGGTCACTGCCAGTTGTAGTCCTTTAAATTTTTAATAAAGACTCCAGGAAAGCAATTTAATAAATTTTTTCTTTCTATTATTTTTTTAAAATTAAATACAGCAGCATTGTGAGCTTGAATGCGATTCCCTGCCTTTATACCTGGACGTTAGGGCAACTCTGATCGTGGGGAGGGCAGCATCAGGAGCTGCCCCGGAATTCTCACTGTGAACTGGCCCCCACTCCACAGGGAAAAAGAGACTGATGCTGGGGTCCCCTAATGGGACAGCACTGCCTCTCCTGCAGCAATCAAAGCAGAGCAAAGAACGACCAACAGTAAACCATTCTAATGGTGAATTTTAATTAATATGGCCTCGTAGACAGCAAGAAGCTGTACTTGTACCTCACACCCCCTCACAAAATTCCTGTTTCAAAATACTCTTTTCTCTAGGGCTCTGCTCAGCCCGTCTGCAGGCCGCTCCTCTCAGATTCATTCAGCAGGAGCAGCGGGCTGGGGCCAGACTAAAGTCCCTGGTCCTGTCCACAGAGGCCAGGCCTCAGAGGTGCTGAAGGCAAGCAGATGACATGGAGGCAAATTTCTAGCCCCTTATAGGGTTGCAGATGAGCAAGGGGCCACCCCACCCCAGCGGTGCAAATCCTGTCACTCATATTCTTTCTCATGAACTGAGATGCTGCTGCTATACAATTCAATATCTTCCCCAAGGGGCCCTGCTGTTCTTGTCTCTGCTCTAGTCCCATTCCAGTCTTCACAGAAGATACCACGGGAACACCGGCTACCTCGAGGACAAATAAATTATTTCCCATTGCTTGAGATTCTGTACGATTCTGTATTATAAAGAAATAAATCATGCCACTTACCTCTTCATTCAACTTCGTTTTTCTTTTCAAAAATTCTTCTCTTTCTTTTTCAATTTGTTCCTCCATATCTTGAATGTATTTTTTTTGCAATTTTATTTCTTCTTTCTCCTTGTTTATTTTGGTATAAGTCTCATTGATGTAAATAGCAGTAGTAGCTTTTTTCCCCATCATGTGGTTCAGTGACAGGACAATCTTTTCATGCTGCTTTGCCAGCTGCTCTTGCTTTTGACTAGGAGAAAAAAAATATCATTTATGGCATGAAAAGTATGGCTTTTAGGAAAGGAATTTAAAGTCTGTTTGGTGACATCAACCACCACAAAGAGGGAAATTGTAAGCCATACTGATTTGAGAATTGTACTTGTACTTGCCTAAACTTGGTTGAGACAGATGGAAACACAAGTGTCAACATGGACCTACCTCACCACACCCATCCTCACACAGCAGGTAGTAACTATGGGCTATTGTGGTTTAAAGTACACAAGGATTCAACAACAGTTTTGAACAGGTAAATGAAATCTGGCCAAAAGCTTTGCTCTGTAGCATTGCCATATCTATCTTATCATCCTGAGATATGCAGTAAGTCAAAGAAAGATAAACATCCCTCCACCCCTCCAGCCCCCTCTGATGCCAGGGCCCTGTGGGGAGGCCCCAGGAGAAAGCTAGTCTTCCTCTAACGGACAGGAGTCAAGTGAGGAGAGAGTCCATCTTCACTGTTCAGAGGATGCTTGAAACCTAATTTGAACCCTTTTTTTCTTCTCCCATCTGCAGCCAAATCTGAGTTCAAAAGGAGACATTAACCTCACATATCAGTTGGTCACATTCACTGGAGAAAGACCTTAAGACTGCTAGAAACACCTGTCCCAGGGCTAACAACAAATTGGAGGAGGGACAATTTGCACCATGTATTTATTTTCCTTTTTGTAAAAGCTCCTGAAATGTGAAGACCTTTTTCCTTTTTCTAGTCCACAGGGCTAAAGACTTAACTTCAGATCGCTGTGTGCAAAGGTGCAGGCAAAAGAAAACAGATTGTCAGTACGTTCAATTTCCAGATGTCAACTCCACCACAGAAATGCGGTAAACAGAAGTGTTGGGCAAGAGGGGCTCAGATCAGGGGTGCTTTGTGGTCTAGCAGAGGCTGCCTCCTAACGATGAATACACCTAAGGATCAAGGAGCCTCAAGAAGGCAAAGTGAAACAAGTCAAATCAAAGACCCTCCCCGGTGTACTGGGACGGGTTGCGGAGAGAGCACGCAGAAACCTTACATGGAGCCTAGGAAAGCACAGCAGAGCGCTTGCAGGTGTCCACTTTTGGGGTTGGGTTTTTTGTTTGTTTGTTTTGTTTTGTTTTGTTTTTTGGCTTTCAGTTCACATTTTTTATAACAATATAATCCATGTTTTTTAAAAAATTGTATTTCAGTTTATAATATTTTTGAACCAGGGTCCAAATAAACTATATACATTGTTAAAAATCAGTGTCTCTTAAGTCTCTCTTTTTTAAATATTTAATTTTAAAAAAATTATTGTTGTTCAGTTACAGCTGTCCCACCTTTTACTCCATTGTTTTCTCTGAGGACTGTCCAGGAGAGGACCACCTGGCAGGGAGCGAGGGTGCCTCAGGATATACCTTTCTTTGAAAAATGGGTGCAGAAAGCGATCAAAGCTTCATGATGCTAGCTTTTCAAGCACCCCATCTTGTTTGTCATTTGCTTTTCCATAAAGATTTCTCTAGAGCAGTGATTCTCAAGCTGGTCGGGAACTACCAGCAGCATCAGCATCAGCATCACCTGGGATGTTAGAAAACTTGTTAGATATCCAAGTTTTCACCCTCACCTCTAAGTCCTTCTAAATCAGAAATTCAGGGCATGGGTGTCCCCAGTAATTTGTTTTCACAAGCACCCCAGGTGATTCTGATGCACAATGAAGTTTGAGATTCATTGATCTTTAGGGGTGTGAGGGCGCTGGCCAAATGCTCTAAATTATCCCAGCTTGGGAACTGACAGCCTAGCTTATGCAGCAGCCTCTGGTAATCCTGGCTGGCGTGCTCCACATACAAATCTGCATTGGGAACCACCAACAGGGGTTAGAAAATGTGTATTTCTCAAACTTCTGTGATGATGAACTTTCTTTCTCATGGAACATCTCCCAGAACAGGTGATCTGAGAGCCAACTTCGGGAAAGGCATCCCTGGGCCTTGAGGTCCCAAAGCACCTCATTCCTCATGCTTTGAAATGTTGTGCGCCAAGCAGTCCTCTGGTTGTTTCAGTTTCCTGAGAAAATTCTTCCCCTATGATGAGGGCTCCTTGAACATTTCTCACTCTGACAAACTCATGTTCTGATATTTACACATTAGCCTTGCAAATTTGCTCACAGTACTGAGTTGTTCTTCAGAGTTTATCTTTGTTTTTTCTTTCACAATATATCTCTTCCTCCATGAGCTGGGTAAATCAAGACTTGCAATCCCCACTTAACAGATGCAGAAAATGAGGACCCCAGGAGTGAAGGGCTGGCAATGCAGCAAGGAATCAAGGGAAGAAACTAACAGGTGTCAGATCTTGAGCTACAGGCAGTTACACATGCTGTCCCACTTAATTACAGGTAAAATCTAGATCCCTCTCCAGGGAACCAATGCCATCCTCAGCCCTCCAGGTGATTATGACTGAACATCTTTAAGGAACTAAACTACCTATAATAGATCTGGTTTGATACTATATTTGCACCCAGCAAGATTTCTTCCTTTGGTGAGTGAGGTTCGTAAATTCAATTTTACTAAAATGCAAACTAAAAACACAGTGTGCCTCTACCTGTGGAGGTTGTGCACACAGCAGTGTGTGATCTGCACACAGTCATCGCTGCTGTGGGGCATCGCTCTGAAATCTTACAGGTCTCCTGGATGCAGTGGTTGAAGATTTTCTGCTCTGCTTCCCAGGTCTCTGCAGCTGTCACACACCCCTGGTCAGCCCGGGTCCCCTTTCACACGTGATTTCCACCTCTTACTTTGCCCGGCACCAATTCAGGTTAGAGGACAAACCCTTTAGCACAATTTTCCCACTCCAGTTCCAGACCCCAACTCCCTCATGTGCTGAATAAAAAACTGCTTACCCCAGAGCTTTATTAATGTCTTTCAGATCAAGTATTCTCTTCTTCAGATGCTCTATTTCATTATTCATCCTTGTAATTTTCATTTGTAATTCATCTATCTCAAGAAGGTTTAATCTGCGAGCATCCCTGACACATTCTTAGAAGTGGAAGAAATGTTAAGAGTTATTTAAGAAGCAGCACAATTATAGATAAGGACTTTTGAGAGGACAAACAAATTGTCTTTCTCTGAAGCTTTCTTTTAAGTATGCCTCTGTAGCAGACACCTCTTTCTCACCCCCTCCAGCTCCTTTAGTCTTATCCTCCAAACATTTCCCTTATTTCAGGCACTGCTATGGGGACCAGCTTTCCAGGTGCTCTGAGCAACTTCAAAATGGGGCAGTGTGACAGCACTTGATTCCTACCTTTTCTAGCCACTGCTCACCTTCTGCCTAGCACTTCCCTGTCACCTCTACCATGGGACTTCTTTAGACACCCACAACCAGGCATGTGGAAGTCAAAGTGCAGGAGGTGGGGCAAACATTGGACCAGTGATGGACAGGAGCCAGTGCCTGGATGGTCCTGAGAAGAAATGACTGTCTTAGGGGCTTGTTCTCACACTCCATTAGTTGCATTTAACAGCAGTCAACATCATACTGCACCCCATATGAACTCTCCCTTCTCTCCGCTTTGATCTCTTTATCCCACTCTCCTCCTCCTTGAATTGTACTCCTAAATAAAATAGCAGTGCAAAAGCAATTGCCTCTGGTTCTGCTGTCTAGGGAACCCAGTGATTAAAACAACAAACAACTAATTATTCATCAATAAATAACAAATTAGCATAATCACATAAGACTTCAGGAGATTACCTCAGTGCATGATAAAAGGTAACAATGAATGAATATTTGAATACCACTGTGTAGAAAGTCCTTAATGACCCATTTCTACACATTAAATTTCCTAGAAATGAACTGTTAGCTTCCCTGAAGGAGCAGGGTTACTTTTTTCTAGATTACTAGTTAAAGTGCAGCAGGGCTTCTCAAACTGTGTCTCAAATTTGCAGGTGCCACACCTGGGGATCTTGTTGAACTGTAGATTCTAATATAGGAGTTACAGGATGAGCCTAGGGATTCTGCATTTTGTGACAAGCTTTCAGGGGATGTTGATCCTGCTGATCCAAGAACCATATTTTGAGTAGCGAAGCTTTATTCATAAGGCCAATTAAATTTAATTGCTTAATTATTCCACATGTATGAAGGATCTTCTAAGCCCCTATGGTATTGTTTTTCTTTCTAAAATGTTTTTTCCTGTTCTAAGATAATCTAACCTAGAAAATAAAATGCTACAAAAATAATAAAACAAAAACACTCTTAACTCTGCCTTAGGCACAGCTTTCTTCTAGGTGCTATTTTTCTCTGCATGTGTAGTTGGTTGAATTTCCCTTGCCAAACTTGACAAACAGCATGCATATTGTGTTATAACTGACTGTATCACTCAGGGTTTAAGTAGGCCATAGAAATCTTAAAGCAAATTGATACAGAAAAAATTTTTTTAATTTAATTTTTAGAGAGAAGGAAAAGGAGGGAGAAAGAAAGGGAGAGAAACATCAGTGTGTGAGAGATACATCGATCAATTGCCTCTCACACACGCCCAATAAACGACCTGGCCTGCAACTCAGGCATGTGTCCTGGCTGAGAATCGAACAAGCAACCTTTCAGTCCGCAGAGCACACTAGCCAGGGCTGACAGGGAAATTTTAATATAAAGAATTACTGACTATAAAGAGAATTCGAGTAATGAAGAAGAGTGAGAAAGTAAAGAGGACTCTAAAGAATTCAGGAGCAGCAGGCATAAGGAACAGCCACTATCACTGGGGCTGAGAGGGAGAGTCCCCGAAGGAGCAGCACTTCCACAGCCAAGTTCTAGACCTTGTTGCAGGTGGCTGTGGCTCACTGGGTGGCTCAAAAAAGTTCTTGAAATGCTGGGCTGCCAGTCTGGCTTCTGGGGTATTGAGGGAACTTGTCCAAGGGAGGTGTCATATTTTAAAACTCACTGCAAAACCACTGAAGGGTGCTGGGGAAGCTGTTCATGGGAAGGTGGCTCACTGGTAGCAGTCTGCCATGATGTTGCCCAAGGGGCACTGAAGGAAGCTGTTGGGCACACTGGACAGGCACATGCTGCAGGACCTTGGCATGGAGAATCTGCATGCACTGTGAGAGTCTCCCAAGCTGAGCACCTGAAACCAGAAAGAGAACCTCTTCTTCCTCCAGTGCCCTCTGATGACAAAGCTTGATATTGTGCCAGCCGGTAAAGGGAGAATTTCCAGGGTCCAGCTGCCTTATGACAGAGCAGACAATGAAGATGGATTTGGATCTGAAAAGCAACAAGTGAATAACTGAAACATGTACTGAAAAAGTGTTTTACCTTGATTGGTGTGGCTTAGTGAGTTGGGCGCCGTCCCACAATCAAAAAGGTCATTTGTTCGATTCCCAGTTAGGGTACATGCCTGGTTTGCAGGCCAGGCCCCAGTTGGAGGTATTCCAGAGGCCCCTGACTGGATGTTGCTCTCACACATCGATGTTTCTAACTCTCCCTTTCTTCCTCCCTACTTCTCTCTTGAAAAATAAATAAAATCTTTTTTTTTTAAGTGGTTTTTAAAAGTTTGTTTTGACCACTGTTTTAGGTCGTCTCCCTGGGAAACATTGTAAAATTTGTGTGTAGAAAATGCATGGGCAGGGCTCTCAGGGGCATCTCAGAGGAAATACGGGAAGCAGGGCTGGAAGAAGGGGAGGTGAAATGATTCTGAGCCTTAGAGCTGTGGAGACACTTGGCAGCCGTCCTGCACTGAGTCAAGGAAGACAAGCCTTCTACCCGTCCAGTGACCAATCAGCAGCACCTAGGGAGAGCAAGCTACCTGGAGTGAGGCCTTTCTCTTTGTCAAGGACAATTCCTGTGGAGGAACTGAGCTGTGAGCCTCAGACAAGCCTTCAGGCAGATGGGAAAATGAAGTTGGACTCTTTCCTTACACCAAATACAACACTTAACATATGTCAAAACCCTCAATGTATGAGCTAAAACTATAAAACTCTTCTACGAAAACATAGGGGGAAAGCTTCGTGACATTGGACTTGGCTATGATTTCTTGAATATGAACCCAAAAGCACAGGCAACAAATAAAAAATAAATAAGTGGGACTACCTCAAAATTTAGAACTTTTGTGCACCAAAAGTCACTATCAAGAGAATGAAAAGGCAACCGACAGAATAGGACAAAATATTTTCAAAGTATATGTCTGGTAAGGGGTTAACATCCAGAACATAAAAAGAATTCCTTCAACCCAACAACAACAAAACAATCAACCTGATTCAAAGGTATTCAAGGACCTGAATAAACATTTCTCCAAAGAAGGTATACTAATAGCCAATAAGCACATGAAAAGATGTTGAACATCACTAATCATTAAGGAAATGCAAATCAAAACCATAATGAGATAACACTTGACACCCTTTAAGATGGCAACTATTTACAAAACAAAAACAGGAAAAGTGTTGACATTAGTATGGAGAAATTGGAACCATTATGCACTATGGGTGGAAATGTAAAAAAGGTGCAACCACTGTGAAAAACAGTATGGCAGTTTCTCAAAATATTAAACATAAAATTACCATATTACTATACCACCCAATAATTAATTCCCTTCTGCATACATACCCAAATAATCTGAGGCAGTGGCTCAAATTGATATTTGTACACCCATGTTTACAACTACATCATTCACAATAGCCAAAAGGAAACAATGCAAGGGTCCACTGGTGAGTGAATGAATAAATAAAACATGGTATATACCAGGTCTGTCTGGAAAAAGTCCAGCCATTGTTAATATGAGACTGGTTTGCACAACAAAAATGTAACCTGGTAGCCAAGGCGAGTGGACTGGAATACACATGCATGAACAATAATGACTTCACTGTACTAGCTAGTGGGGGGTGGTAGGTGCCTTTGAGTGAGCATGTGTACTATGTGGCCATTGCATTCAAAATGACTGAGCAAGTACAGCAATGAATCTGCATTAAATTTTGTCTTAAGCTTGAACATTCCTCCATGGAAACTATCTGAATGATTCAGAAGGCAACAGCTATGAGCAACTGGTAACTGGCAGTTTCATTGTGACAACGTACCCACTCATATATCATGTCTAGTGCAGAGTTTTTTGGTGAAACATCAAATCACCCAGGTGACTCAGCTCCCCTACAGCCCATATTTGGCGCCCTGAGACTTCTGGCTTTTTCCAAAACTAAAATCACCTTTGAAAGAGAAGAGATTTCAGACCATTGATAAGACTCAGGAAAATATGATGGGGCAGCAGATGGTGATTGGGAGAACTGTGTGAGGTCCCGAGGTGCCTACTCTGAAGGGGACAGAGGTGCAACTGTCCTACATATGATGTTTCTTGTATCTTGTGTCTTGTTCAGTAAATGTCTCTATTTTTCATAGCGTATGGCTGGATACCTTCAGGACAAACCTCATACATACAATGGAATATTTTTTAAAAGGAGGGAAATTCTGATACATGCTACAATATGGATGAACCTTGAAGACATTATGCCAAGTGAAATAAGCCAGTCACAAAAGTTCAAATATTGTATGAGTCCACTTACATGAGGTGCCGACAGTAACCAAACTCATAATGACAGACAGTAGAATAGAAAGGTGATTTAGGCCAGTCAGGCCGCCTAACTTAACTGGATAAATATCAATTTGGAATGGGCTGATTCTACATATCTTCAGTCTATTTGGACACTAAATTACATAAATTTAATATGCCACTTAAAATTTCCCAAAAATTATTTTGGATCTCACTGTGTTAGTGTTATGTACTCTTTCTAATAACTAAACCAATCTTATGTAATCATAAATTCATGTTTTCACAAGGTCTTGGCTCTATTTTTTTATATGACAAACTAAATTTCTATACTTATTAACCTCAAAATACCTTCCAGTTCCGTGCTAACATTATTGGGAAGAGTTTCCAATTGAAAATATAGTCTGCTGAGTTCCATGCTTTCAATTTCCAGAAGATCAATTGTATCTTTTCTCATTTCTTCCTAAAAATTTTAATTACACATTAAAATAATAAAAATTCTCTCCCAAACAATGCCCTATGAATGTTTTCAAAGTTTCATTTTCATTAAACACCTTCTGCAGCTATTTTTATTTGTAATAGAAAGTAGGAAATGTAACTACAATCAGTTTTTAAGGTGATAGTTTCTTTTAATTTCTGCTTATTTTCTTCTACTCAGAAATCACCTTTCCATGTGTGTTTCCTGTTTTGTTTCAATCAGTTTAAAGGTAAAGATGTCAACAAAAAGGGTAACATTGAGAATTTAAAAATATTCTCAATTAATTTAAAAAAAGAAAATTAAAACAAAAGAAAATACCTGTAAAAATATGGTTAGGTATAAAGAGACCAATGTTTCTCTTATACATATCGGCAAATCCAAACAAAAAGTTAGGTGGGCCTATTGTTATTATTATTATTAATTTATAATTTTGGGGGTGGGACTATTTGAAAAAATTCAAAATATGTTAGTGGAAAAACAGATAATTCATCTTTTAAATAAATGGTTGCAGTGGCTATAGTTACTATATGATCTGATAAATTACCATCCAATTTTATGAATAATAAAAAGCAGGTTACATAATTATATTGGGTTAGCTAAAAAAAGCATGTTTAGTTTTTTCCATAAAATAAAAGACACATTTTTCATTTTCCCCAGTAACTTTATTGATTTGAATATTTTGAGTATGTTGACTATATCTCTGCTCTTGGCTTCTTGTGGGCAGAGGTCAGAGGTGCTGCTAAACATCTTCCAATGCATAAGACAGCCCCACAGCAAAGAGCTATTTGGCCAAAATGTCAATAGTACCAAGAAACTTCGCAAACCACTTTTGATCATGTTTGATCAGTCACAGCACTTTCTCCATACACTGAACAAATTTTTTTGCGTTTCGGTTGCATTTTTACCTTTTTTGAAATAATGAATCGTAATATGCTGAAAATGTTGCATATGTTTTCCATCTTTAATATTAAAATGGTTGCACAAAAATTCACCAATTGTGATGTCTTTTTAAATGCACACTGACATGACAGCTGTCACAATACAACCTAACAAAGTTGTTTCGAATGAAGTTAAAAGACAGCTAAGCACTACTAGAGCCATTGTAACTTTTTTGGCCAATACACATATATATATATATATATATATATATATATATATATATATATATATATAATATATACAAGTATGGTCACTTTTCTATAAAATTCAATACAGGCATCATCTATACCCTGAAAGTAGGAAGAACATTCATGAAGGCGGTAACGTGATTATTTTAGGGTGGTGGGATTATCATGGTTTTTACTTTCTTCCTTTTGCTTGTCTATTTTTTCCTAAGTTGTCCAGAACAAACATGTAGTATTTTTATAATAGAAGAAAGTTGTTACCTTGAAAAATGGAGGGATTTATCTCTACTTAAGAGATTTCACAGCTCAGATATTAAATGAAGAGATACTAGATACTTTAATATGCTACAATTAATAATTTGATCCTCTCAATTCCTGGAGAAAAACATAACTAAAAACAAAGCAGAGGAACAGATTTGCACAAGACCACAGGGCAGTACAACGTGCACAGACTCTAAGTTATATGTATTCCATATGTATTCAATTAAATACAATTATAAAGCATAATTCTGTAGTATACATATTATATACTACATAAAATATAATTGTAAAGAGATTAACTTTTATCAGCAATCTATAGAACCAAATTCATTTACTTTACAGCCATATTTATATGCTTTTATATATTTGATATGCAGTAGATTCTTACTCAATATTTTTAAACCGAATGAAGAGACTTCACCATTCTGACCCTTCTGGGGAAGCACTGTAAACATCATCCAGGACCAAACAGAGAAATGATTGTGACACTTGAAAAGGAAATTCTTTAAATATTTCTTTGGTTAGTATAACCAAAAGCATTTCTGTTTGTTTTCACTGAACAGCATGGTCTACTTCAGTGAAATGGGTGCCAAAAAAATCTTTCACCGGTTATATTAGGAACTGCTTATAGAGAAATGAGTTCATTGGCCCCACACATGCAATTTATTTCAGAGGTTAAGTAATGCTTACATGTTGGGGTCGTAAGCATTTGCCCATTTGGCTCACCCCTCAACTGAGCTCTACTATCACTAGTATTGCTTCTCCTTAGGTGGCTTGCCTTCATCCACAGCACAGGTGTTAGTTCAGTGTTCTGCATGGAAAATCGGGCAACAGTCCACAGTTGAGCAACACTGGTTAAAATGCTTAGTTAATTGAAGGGAAACTTTTTTTTTTTTTTTACTCAGGGTAGATATTTTCCCTGTTTACCTATTAAAATACTTTGAACAGAGTTGGTGCTAAACTAAAGTTTGATGAGGAAATAAATGGAAGATTGAAAAAAAAAGGCTCTTATTAAATGATACAATACCAATTTCTTGACAGCTATAGCAATGTCCTTAAGAAAGATCCTAGCTTCTTCATTGCATTTAAAATAGTCCCTTTGCAGTGATCGTTCTAAAAAAAAAGTACAAAATTAAGATATCTTATTTATCTGTCCAAATCTTATTTAACCCTTTAAGATTTAGCTCAAATGCTTACACAGCTGGACATTACACCTTTATCTGTGAATTTCTATAGCACTTTATATAAATCTCTTTTGTACTTGTTATTTTCTATTTCATAGTATTCCAATTTAGGTATATATTTTATGCTCCTTGAGGACAAACTCTTCTTAAGAGTCCATCTTTGATCCTGGCCGGTGTGGCTCAGTTGGTTGGAGCATCATCCAAATCAAAAGGTTACAGGTTTGATTCCCAGTCAGGGTACATACCTAGGTTACAGGTTTGATCCCTGGTCAGGGCACATATGAGAAGCAACCAACTGATGTTTCTTTCTTTCTCTCTCTCTCTCTCTCTCTCTCAAACCAATAAACATATTGGCGGGGGAGCCCATCTCGGCATCGTTCATGGTAGAAAGAAGGATGTGTGTAGGACAGGACAAAATTCAATAGATATTTATGAAAGGATAGCCTATAATGTAGATTTAAGAGTGTTTTCATGCATATTTATAAATATATATCTTAAATATAGTATTTTTGCCCAAAACCACACATTTAACTGTATAAAAATCAAAGTTGATTCTTATAAACTTATGATGATTCCCATTTCATAAGTAAGAAATCTGAGACTTTGAGGTCATGTCCTATGTTCAAGGTCACAGAGCCCGTCGCTGATAGAATTTAGATTCAAATATAAGTGGTGTATCTCCAGGGTCCATGCCCTTAATGGCCCTATTCACCTCTCAGAGTGTAAATAGCAATTTCTGCCCTCAGTGCAAGGGAACTTGGATTTCTTAGTGAACTAAGTTCTCAAACCAAGTGAAAACCATTTACCGAGTTTGCAAGCAAGTGTGTGTTAAGGAGAGACAGGTCTTGCCTGCTATTTCCTTTCCTTCCTTCTAAGGAATGAATGAACACACAAACTCGTTCCAAATTGCAAATGATCTGGAGAGCAACATATTTTATAACTCACACTCAGGGCAAGAGGTTCATTGAAGTTTTTTTCCTAAGAAAAACTTTCTTAGAGTCCAAGAATTATTAGCAGGAAAAATATTTGTGCTTAATTACTAGGATTGAATGGATATGCTGATTTAGATGACCTTGGATAGAGGTGAATCATTTAGGTCTCTTCAGTGGTTAACAGTTTTACCAAAGCACTCCTCCAAACTTACAAGAATTGTGAAGTTAAATTAGTTCATGTGAGACGGAAAAGAGAAACTATTCCAAACAAAAAGTAAGATTATGATAAACAGCAGTATGATGGTCTAGAAACAGTGAGATGATGAGTAAAACAATGGTTTTATGAAACCCCATTCCTTGGACTATTTACTTCCTTAAGCTTAGGGGACTCGATTACAGGTTCAGCTTCCTAACTGAGGAAGCATTTTAACCTCGCCCCGTCCTGCCTAATACCCCAGGAGCTGCTCGAACACTCCCTGTCTTGTTTGCCTGTTAAATTCTCCAGGTGGCCACAGCATAATGTTGAGGAAACGAACTTGTCTAGAAAAGTGAAGAAGGGAACAGGGAACCTTGAATGCATCATCTCACGGCGGGTGGGCACTCCGGTCGCAGGCAAAGGGGAACGGCCTGGGGTCCAGGATTCGCCACCAGCTACTCGGGGGACTTGGGCCAGGTCACTGCAGCGGCACTCCAGCGGGAGAGCTGAGCCCTGACTAGCACCCCATCGCGCCTCTCCCGCCTTCCTTCGGAGCTGCCGCTGGAGAAGGCTCTGCGCAGCCAGGGAGGCGCTGGGCGCGGGAGGAGGGTTCCAGCGGAGCGCAGCCCCGGCGCCGCCCGTCAGGGGCCGTCCCTGCGGCGCCAGCTGGGAACCGAGCGGCGAGCGAAACCCGCTCGAACCCTGCCTCCTGTATCCCTGCCCGCGCCTCCGCCTCCGCCTCCCCAGCCTCACCCCGACCGCCCAGCCTCTCAGCGGACGTCCCCCAAAGTGCCAGCGGGCTTCTCACCCACAACCAAGAGCTGCTCCAGCGCCGCGGCCGCGACCGAGGAGCCTAGGGTGGAGGGGAAGGTGCATAACTCCAGGGAGGGCCCGGTGGAGACGGCGGCGGGCCGCAGCACCTTCTCGCCAAACCCCAGCTCTGGGGACCAGGAGCGCAGCGCCATCTTGCGGCCCCTGTGCGGCGCCCCGCGGCCCGAGCGCCGAACTGCCGTTGCCCCAGGCAACGGGGACGTTGACCGTTCACCGCTGACCGTTGACGGAGGCGCGGACCCCTTGCCTTTCACCTGGCAATCGTAAGATGGAGTGCGCTTCACCACTTCAAACTCTCCGGTGGTTCCCTGAGGGCCAGAGGATGCTCGGAGCGCCCTTCTCGCTCTGGTCCTGCGCCTGTCTCCTGCCGCCTCCCAGCTCTCAGAAATCACCTCTTCCAGGCGGCCGTGGGACAGCCATCAGCTTGGTTAGGGACTTCTCTGTGCAGGTAGAAGCCACCGCCCTTCCCTTGTGGGGACCTTACGTGGCGGCGCCGGCTTGTGGCCCTCCGTGGGGTGCGCACCTCGCCGGGTCTCTGACTTCAGCTTCGAGGATCGAGCGACCTGGGAAGGACGAGTCCCTCGCCAGCTGCCCTTCTCTCCTTCGTTTCCGTTTCGTCAGGCCAGCGCTCGGACCTGCCCGTTGGACTCGTGGTAACGATCGCTTGAAGCTCGGCTCTGTGTCCGGCTCCACAGGGGGAGCTTAGTGCTCACAGTGGCGCTGTGAGGCCGGTTCTTGCACCTCTTGTCTGGAGGTAGTGAGTCACTCTCCCCACTTCTGCAGGGCAGGGTGCGCCAGGGTCTTTAGATGGGCCCAGGTAGTTACTCACCCGCAAGGCATTTTGTGCTTTCACAAAGGTCCAGTTTGTAACGGCTTCTGTACCTTATTGAGCCTTATCTTAATGCTTCAGGCCACTATCATGGCTATCCTATTTTCTTTGTCTTCTTTTCAGAACATCACACGGAGGTGAGAGATTCAGTGACGTTCGGGATAACACCTGGCCCAGCCCCTGGAGGTGGACAAGGGCAGAGCAGTCCTTCCGACGCCAGGTGTGGGCGCCACCAGCGGTGCCAGAGCTGCCCTGCGACTGTGCCCCCGGGGCCGGGAGCGGGGCTGGGCGAGGAGCGCTCGGGGCTGGACGGCTGTCCGCGGAGCCACGGAGGTGTGGCTGCAGAGCGGGGGGTGCCTGCAGAGGAAAAGCAGGAGCCCAGCCCGACACTCGGGATGTGATGTTGCTGTCGGGGGCCTTCATTCCCAGTCAGGAGTTTGGGTTTTACTGCTGCAGGCAATGCTGCTATGAGTAGGAAGATGAAGAATGGATTAAGCTACTCCCGGCTGGCAGCTGCTTGGTAATTCAATGTATTCTAGCCTAAGGGAACACATAATGGTAGAGTAGAAGAGTGGCCCCCAGCTCCCGGGCCACAGATTTGTAATGGTCTGTGGCCTGTGGCCCGTTCAGAACCAGACCCCCAGGGAATCTCACCTGAGCCCCACCTCCTGTCTCTCCACTCCACTTCCCTCACCTCCAGGGGACGTCCCTCCCAGCTCCTGCAGGTGTCTCACTCACAACCAAGAGCGGCTCCAGCACCGCAGCTGTGTCTAAAGGTGAGAAACAGGAGGCGCACACACCAGATTCCTTCACCTCCAGCGTTCCTGGAACCTGCTGCCTGGATAATTAGCAAGGAGCAGAAAAGACATGGGACTGCTCTGATTTCCTTTTAATCTCGAATACAGCTCTATAATATGCCAAAATTGGAAGGACCCTATTATTACAGAATAGCTAAATGTGCTAATAAACACATTGAAGGGTAATTTGCAATATTACATTATTTTCTTTTACTAAAGGGCTCATCAACTCACCTACAGCTAGGCTCTCTTTTCCTGATTCGGGTCTCTAGTTCTCATTTATGGGTAGAGAGCTCACTGAAGTACATAAACATTTTATACAGGGGAGATTCCCAGGGCCAGAGAGACAAGGAAGTTTCTGGCTAACATAACTACTATCCACAGGAATGGATAACAAACAAAAATTCAAAAGCTTTGTTTTATTCCAATATTCAACCATTTCCCTCTTCAAGTATTTCTCTAGAGTTGAAGACAGTGCCCAAACTGATTTGCTTATCTTCTTTATATATATTGCAACACTGATTAAAGATGATAAAGGAGAAATGGGGACAGTATACAAATGGGAACATTTGAATAATCACCATCAAAATATTGTCTAGTTCCTCCACTATATTATTCTGTCTAAAAGCCATTCCCGCTCACTTTTTCACTAATGTAATAGAAAGTGAAGCATCACCATTCCAAAATAATTAACAACTTATTTTCTCTGGGTTGAGCTTTTTTTATGTTAATTATGGGAAAGCACACATTCCTATGGAGTGGAGCAGGCAGTTAAAACCAGCGCATAAGCAGAGGGTCAGCAGGTACAGGGCGGAGTAGTGCTGTGGCATAGGACACTCTCATTCCCTTAGAGTTTAGCCTCAAAATAGAGTCCTTTCTAACAGTGACCTTCCACTGATATAATGAAAAGTTAGAGGCCCAAAATGGGTATCTCAAAACAGAAGCAGTATCAGAACTATGTTACTACTAATGTTATTTCCAAATCACCAAAACATTATAGGCACCAGAGGACAAAAGTAAACATCCATAGTCAAAAAAATTAAATTGGGGCCATAGCATAAAAGGGTGGAAAATGTATAATGTAATTACTGAGGACAGTGTTGCCATTGTAAAACAGTATAAAATTAGCACTCTATACAATAAAGCAACTTTATGTTTCCCTCAAAATGATGCTAGTAAGTTTCAACATTTCATAATTACGTATTTTCTATGGGGAAATTACTGAAATGATTTTGTTCTCCAACATGCTTGGTAGCTGAGCACCTGACCCTTCACTGGTTTCCAAGCAAACACAGTGCAGTAGACAACCTTTCATAAAAATAACCAGTGAGCTAAAAGCTACTTAGTGTCATCGATTAGCCAAGGATTACTAAGACGATCAGCTGTACTATGTCATATCCTATGTAGTATTCTCCTATTCAGTTGTCAAATCCATTTAAAAAATTTAACTTTTTTCTAACAAAAGAAAAACTTTCCTACCTCTATTTCAGAGGCCGACATGTACACAGCTAGAGTGACCAAAGATAACACTAATATAATGTATGGGAAGGCATAATCTGAGAAACAAACATGGACATTATGTTGAAAATTAAGCAAATTTTCTGAATGAACAAAAAACCCCAAACAGTATAGATGTCCCCAATATTGTAATGTTTTCAACCAGTCCTAGGAGAGACTTAAGCTCAGCCCTAAGGCAGGGTCAGCCAACTTCTTCCCTAAAAGGCCAGATGGCACCTAAGGCAGGGTCAGCAAACTTCTTCCCTAAAAGGCCAGATGGCAAGGCTCTTTGGCTCCACAGCCCACACGTCTCTGCCCCAGCAGCAACTCTGCAGCTGTTGTGGGAGCGCGTGCAGCAAGGATGCGCTGGACAGCGGGACGGCTCCCATCAGGGTCAGGAGGGAGCTGGACCGCGCAGGAGTGGATCACAGAACTCAGTGTGATGTGCAGTTTAAAACAATTGTTTATTTCTGGAATTATCCACTTAATGTTTTTGGACCACTTTTGACTGCAGGTTACTGAATCCACAGAAAGTGAAACTGGATAAGGGGATATTTCAAATGCAGTACAGTAAAAATGCTGTAACCAAAATGTTTTTCTTACAAAATATCACCTTTCTCTTAAATGTTTTAAATATATAGCACACTAAAACAAAGGGACACACTGAGAAAAAGATACCTTGAATTATTTTCCATACCATTATTTTTAAACAATTCAGTTACGAAACCAATCATTCCATATTGCAGTAAAGCCCATTTGGAACAATTTCAAGTGTTAATTCAAGATGCACAAGCCAGAAACTGAATTTATCTATAGAGGCCTGATTCCAGCTTACTAAATAATTGAATGGCTTGCTTGGAATTTAGAACCTTTCAATTCATAGACAGTGATTAGGTCCTGAATCAGCCATTCAAAAACAAAACAAAACAAAACAACAAAAACCACATTTCATTTATAATTAGCCAGAAAATGTTACAAATGATACAAATTTAAGACCTGGCAGTAAAAAGCCTGAGGAGGAAGAGGAAGTTCCTTACAAGGCCCAAATCTCAGGCATGTGAGGAGTAGGTCCTGGGCTCATGGCAGGATTTAGTAGGGTTTTACTTCAGGATCAAAAACAATTGGAGATTTTGAGCCTTAGGTCTGGTGACTGGACCTGGAAATGTGCATTTTCATTCTCCTGGTGATTCAGATGTAAATCACACCTAAAATCTGGCTTCAGGAATACTCCCAAGCAGTACGTTGGCCACTGGCGTCTTCCTAGTAACTCCCAGTGTCTCTCTCCCTAGTGTAAATAACCTGTACTCTTTTGACCATTTCATGCACAGCTAGAACTGACTTCCCTTCTCACCAAACTATTTGCTGCTTTTTCCATTTATCCATTTCTCATTCCGTTCATCCATTCCCCAGTTACTGAGTCAGAAAGCTACTTTAAGGTATTTTCCTCCCATTCCCTCAACCCCTGCATTTAATGTTACCTAGTTTAGTTAACTTTATCTTCTTTATAATGACTTAACCTCTGTAAAGGGCTCAGCTTCCCTTTGGTTCCCTAGGAACTGCCCTGTCACCTTTCATCTAGAATGCCGGCTGGTATAAGTGCTGCAATATCATGTAACTGTATCCACTCGCATGCATAAGCTCATATAATGATAACTCTCAGAATCTTAATACTCTATTTGTTTTTTATCCCAGCTGTGGTTTCAATGTTTACTCTACCTGTTGTGTATGTAAAGCACCAGGTAAGTTCTGTGTGATGTCAAACATTCACATGACACTTTGACCTCATGAACTTTGGATGTGCTCATGATTTCTTCCTTGTTGTAGGCACAGATTGACCAATATCTGGGACTTGTGAGGACTCACATAAATGCTTGTGGCAAAGTTGGCAAAGCTCACAAAAGTTGTGGCAAAGTAAGTTGTAGAGTGCAATTTACAAAAAGGAGAGGCTGTCTTAAGCAGGCATAAAAGTGGATGAGGTAGGGGTAATAAAAGGATAATAAAATGATAGGTTGACTCATGATTATTCATTCACTTACTTGAGTCATATTCATGGCTCTCCCCAATGATATTATTTCCGAAAATTAGTATAAATTTTAAAACTCTTAATTAAACAAAATTTTCACTGGTTTATTTCAGGTATCATGATGAATGAGAGGTTTTTTTTTTTTTTTACTCGACTAATTTACATATTTTGTTTTAATTTTATTTTTCAATTACAGTTTATAGTCAATATTACTTTTATTAATTTTAGGCATACAGCATAGTGTTTAGACAATCATATACTTCACAAAGTGATCCTCCTGATACTCTTTCAAGTACCCACCTGGCACTGTACATAATTAGTACAATATTAGTGACTGTATGCCTTGTGCTGCACTTTTACGTCCCTGTGACTATTCTGTGACTAACAATTTGTATGTTGCAGTCCCTTACCTTTCTGATGCAGTCCCCCAACACCCACCCCTCTGGCAACTGATGGTTATAGATACAGAGAACAGATGTTGATGGTTGTGAAAAAGGAGCGGGGTTGGGAGGCTGGGCAAAAACGGAGACTAAGATGTACAGATCGGTAGTTACAGAACAGTCACAGGGATGTAGAGTACAGCATGGGGAATAGGGTCAATAATACTGTAATAACTGCACACAGTGTGAGGTAGGTACTGGAAATATCAGAGTGGGGGAACACTTTGCGAAGCATGTGATTGTCTAACCACTACGCTCTACACCCAAAACTAATACAAGATAATATTGAATGTCCACTGTAATTGAAAAATAAAATTAAAAAAGAAAAAAAGAAATGTGTTTATGGACACATACATAAAAATTATATTTTTTAAAATATTAAGCTATTTCATCACTTAAATTAATTAGCAACACACAATAATGTCATAATTTCATTAATAACATTTGTGATTTATTACCTTTTAATGCTGTCTTTTTAGGGTCCAGGCTAAAATCCCAGGCGCTAAAAGGCACACTGAGTAAGCTGATCTCACACTGGGACTGGACACAAAGAGGAATGTCCTGAGTGGTAACAGTTCTGTTCTTACGTGTTACAGCAGATCAATTGTTTCTCCCCCAGTACCATAATCTGAGACACAAATTTT